AGCATATTAGCCTGTAATTGTATCTCAACATGTCCCTTTTGAATGCGCCCACTCTTTAATGTCTGTTTTATTTCCTCTTCTCTCCCCATGCAGCTCTATCTAACGGCTACGGCAGCAACTCTCCACTGACCCCCTCCGCCCGAATATCTGCACTCAACATCGTCAGTGATCTCCTACGCAAAGTCGGGGTTAGTCACATTCACACTTATGATTCAAAAAACATATCTCTTTGTAGTACTCAAGTCTGTAATGGGGCATCATGCTGTTCTGTTTCCTTCAGGCGCTGGAGTCCAAACTGGCTGCATGTAGGAACTTTGCCAAGGACCAGAAGGCGAGGAAGGCGTACGCTCTTGACAACAGCAATGCTCTCAACGCCAACAACAACTTTGCACAATCTCTTCATACGTCATATTTTGACAAAGCGTGAGTTCAAATTTCAACATTTGCATAAAACATTTTACCATTATGTTATTGCTTCATATAGAATGGTAACTAACAGTCAAAGCATATAGAAATGTACAATAATGCATAAGCACAGACACATGATTGTGGTAGAAATAAAGTGACCAGACATGAACTTAGACTCTAACGATTTTCTAATCAAAGGGTAAATGCTCAGTTCAAAATGGTAGCCCCTTAGAGCAATGATTTAAGCAGTGATCTGACTTCATAGCAAAATTATGTTACAATTATGCTGCCCATGTTGTATGTTATAATTATGCGGCTTTTTCTGTTTTTATTACATACATTTAATTGAATAAAGCTATACTAGAATGACAACATAACACAACGAGAACAGACTACACTAACATTGCATTTGTTACATAGGCACTACCAACATAGCTATATCAGATAATTAGTGTTTATATTGTATTTGATTGCCCGACCTGAGCTGTTATTGCCTTTTCCCAGCAGGACAGAGATGGTCACGTTCCCGGATTTGATTTTGCTCACTCACAACCACAGGTCCTCAGTGTTCCCTCTGTATTTGGGTGCTGCATGTAGTTTCTCATTTTAACCTCTTCTAGTTCTTCTAGTTCTAGCTGTAGAAATAATACCCTAGCCTGTAGCCACTAACATGACTGGTGATGGTTATAGATACTACGTGATGGTGTCTTTCCCTTTTTAGAATACTGTACTCCCCACTAGAATGTTACATAGTGCACCTTTAATTTGGGAACTTTACAGCAACTTTACTACAGTTTGTGGGCTTGTTATTGATGTTGAAAGCCTGTTATTGGAGTCAGCAATAATCGATTATCAGACACAACAGCAACACCACTTTTAGATATTGGTGTAATCCTCTTTACAGTAGTTCTCCTTAACTTTTTAGTGTATGGTTAGAAAACAAGGACCTGGGAAAGTATAGCAGCAGAAAGGTTGCCTGGAAAATTCTGGATTTCAATGCAATTAAAAAAGGGAAGTCGGTGTGACATCTAGTTTTAAAGTCATTGTTCTGTTACTTTTTATGAGTGTCACACTCTTTCAACATAAAAAGTGAGTCAGGTCATATGCCCTATTGCAGTAGTGTTAACAATGTGATTTGTATGCTAATATTGCATATCATGACTCTGGAGTATCAAATCTAATCCAGTTTTATGTAACACAAATCAATTTTCTATTTTGCTAATATTTTAGCTATGATTATATTTATTTTGTCCACTTTATTTATTACCTGCAGATGAATTACTGGCAGAATCTTGCATTTCAGAGCTTTCTTGACTCTGGCCACAGTTTTTCTCACAAGCCTTACTCAGATCTAATCACTTAACATGTTTGTAATTGTTACATGTTGACTAAGAGAAAGCAGTTCAGCAGGTTTGCTCATTCCCAGACTCCACGTGATTTCACCAGTATTTATTTTCACCTACAAAAGTATTTTATTCATTCAAACACGGAAACTGATCCTAGCACATACAATGTCTCTTTTGCCCATGATCTAGTTCAATTAAAAACAATGAGGACAAATCACACACCAGGGTCAGTTACCTTTGCAGCGTCGGCAGCAGCTGTTGTAAATGACCTCATCTGGGTAACATTTATAATTATTATGCAGTTTTGTGTCCGCTTTGGGATTAAGGTTATGCTGAACGACTGTCTTTGCCGACCTCCATTTCTAATGTGCTAATCCCAGTGTCCTCAAAATTAGGGTTAGCCCTCACACGCCTCACTGAGTTATAGTGTTACTAATGCTTTTTAGAGCCCCTTTATTAAAACAGGATCTGCTGTCTACTCATGATACACTACAATGTCCATAAAGATGGAAATTTAAATTGTTTAGTTCCAACAAAAACTGACTTCAAAAAATGACTTCAGTCGTTGTCTCTCTAATAAATAGATGTAATTAGGGAGTGCTGAATATATTGAAATGGGGTCTTTTAACTGTGTACATCAAATGTCAAAGTAGCTTGACAATTGTTCCTCAGTCACATGCATTTAAAACACTAGGGGGAGTTTGACATTTTGGGTACTTTCCTGAACTTGTATATAAGAGAAATTTTAACTTGTGACTATGCATGTGTTGTTTCACTTCTGTATTGCATAAAGTTACATTTTAACTATAAAGTTTGCTGAAAAACAGAGGCTAGTGCTCTTCTCCATGTGGTATTTCTTTATTAGACACTAATATTGGGTCATGGGAATTTAATTGTATGTGTCTTGTAACTAACATCACACTCTCTCACACAGGGCTGTGAATGGAGTAGATTCTGAAAACAACCCAGCCAGCACTGCTCCACCTGCAGCCACTGCCTCTGGCCTTGTGCCTCTCACTGTCTGACAGCATCCCCCCAGAAAAGACCACCTTTGTCCCAATTCAGTAAAAGATAACACTCAAGTCCAGGCGTGGAGCACTTAATCCCAGAAAACAAATCTTTACAAATTAAATGTACTGTTGTTGGGATCACTTGTTATTGTCTCGACACATGTGCTTTGTCATTTCTGTAACTGTATTTTCCTGTCTAAATATTTTATATATGGTGAAGTATTTGCCTATGATATTCACGTATATATTGGACTATGGCCAAGTTTAAAAGGCTGTACTGTGGGGTAATATTAAGAAGTCACTATCATAGTATTGCTACTTTCAACAGCTGTTAAGACTTAATGGTTGTTTTTGGTATTTATATTGTGCCACATAATCAGTGCTAAATTTCCCATATGTACTCAACGATTGCCAAAATGTTCTTAAATCAGAAATTTGGCCTTTTGAAAATAAAACAACCTTGAATTTAATTGGGAAAATATTTAAATACACAAGTAAGCCTCCTTGATGCCATGGTCCTGGTCATATTGATCATTATTTACTAGTACAAACTGAGTGTTTGTTGTCCCTAGTCTTTATAGAGACTGGTGTTTGAACCACAAAACTCATTTGTTACACTTTATATTATTTTTATTCATGTGCAATATTTTATTTTTTATTGTCCAATGTTAATTTATAACAAACTGGAGATATTATTGGCATGTTTTAATAAAAATATGTAAGTTTGTACTTGCTGTTTTGTATACTCTGCTGATTTACATAGTTTTTTTCTATTTTGTATCGCAGATTTGATAGTGTACACTCCCCTCTACTGGTCAGAAAAAAATACTTGTTCTAGTAAACTCAACAAAACTGAAAAACTGAAAAAAACAAAAAGATTTCCACCACTGTCATAACACATATGGAAATGCTGCACGCATATAAAAAACAAAACATAATTTGCAAATGATTTAAAGCATAACAAGTCGATTACACTCAATGAAGTGATTACAAGGGTGTATACTGCACATTGCTGTGTGTAATATGGGGAATTGCCATGGAAGAGACTGAATGGGAGGCAATTGAAAAGATTAAGAATTGACCACTGGCACAGCTTGTAAAGGCTTGAAAGGCCTACTCATTCAAAACAAAAAACACATAACACACAGTTAAGGCCTGTCAAGTTGTTAACACAGTGTGGACAACTTTTAACTACACACAGTCCTTTAATTTATATTATAATGGTTCCCTTCTGACACTCATGTGAAACATAGAAAAAGTAGATTTCAGTCCTGTTAAGAGCCTCCTTTCTTCTTCTCCAGTACTTCAGCCAGCTGCCTCTGTCTCTGCTCCATCACCTCTAGCCATTTGGCATTGTATTTGGCCTGTTCCTGGGCCCTCAGCTCGTCCACGTCCTGAAAGAACCAGTGCCTGCACAAAGACATAAATCATTTATTATTACAGAGCTCCACCCCTTTCATTATATTAATAAGATGTAACAGATACAATTAAACATACAACATCACAAACAACACAATATCTTCATCCCTTTAAGTTTATAGCCTACCCACTAAAAGAAACTTGCAGGCTTACTTGAACAGTATTATTTTGATGTGCATTGGATTATTATTGCATTTATTATTTGTGAGTATACAATAAAGGCATGGTGACATAACTAGGACATAACTAAAAGTTGTAAGACAGATGAGACTATATGCTTTAAAAATGTAGATGACAGTAAAACTGAAACGTATGTAGCTTTTGCACGGCAGGACAGGCAAATCCCACAAAACCCTGTCAGGTGCTGGAGAACCACCATAGCCTCACCTGTTAATAAAAGCTGTGGCCAGTCCTAACAACAAAGTCCCAAAAAGGAAGGGTTTGGCAAAACGTTTTCGAGCTGACAACTGGGACTGCTTCATTTTATAATGTTCCGTAGTGTCCAAGTTCCCAAAATGTTGGATTTGCACAGTAAAATTTAAGTTACCATAAGATAACTCTTGCGCATAACTATAAGCATGATAAGTGGTGACCTCCTCGATAAGACGTCTGTAAGTCACGTACAGCCACTTCCGGTTTATAAATATACCATTTACAAGAATAATATTAACCAGGCAGATTTATGAAATTATGTGTTAAAGTAAGTCAGACGTGCGTTTACAAAGATAATACATAAGTAATACTATATAAATTGCAAACGTGATTTAATAGTTGTGTGGAACCATTATCAAGTGAGTTGATGTTTCGGGGGGAGCAATTTAACGACGGAAATGAATCTCAAACGAGTACTGTTTACATTATTGTATTTACATTATTTGTTAAACTAAATTCTCTCGTGTAGCGTTGAAATGGCCAGGAAAGGTTCCGCTGAAGGATCTGATCGCTTTGAATATTTACAGACCTTGGTCACTGAATTTCAGGATACGGACAGTGAAGGTAAAGATTAAAGATACCTGGAAAAGCGAATAGCTGAACTTTGAATTGTAGTATTATTGCTGGTCTTACTGGATTATTTTATTTGTCTGTTCAGTTCTGTAAAATTTATAATTACACACAGACAGCACAACTGTATTGTTATTACAGTCTTACATATGCTGTAAAGCTCTTACTTGCCCTTTTTATAGAGTATTTGGTAAACTTGTGTTAATTTACTCTTTGATCCTTTAATTGTTCAAGAGATTTTTCAGTCTGTTCTTTTATTTGACATCTGTTTCTCAGATGCTAAGGAACAAGTGCTGGCAAATCTGGCAAATTTCTCATATGATCCAAAGAACTATGACTATTTGAAGGATCTACAAGTTATTGACCTCTTCCTAGACATGCTGACTGAAGAGAATGAGAACTTTGTAGAGTTTGGCATGGGTAAGGGAAAAAAAAAACATACAAAAACACACCCACATACATACACACAAATTTATTTTATTTAATTGCTTTTGTAGGGGGATTGTGTAACCTGAGCATGGTGCCTGAATTCCGAGACTTTATTCTACAAAATGATGGACTAAACTTGATAACAAATTGCTTATCAAGTCGGAATGAAGAGACTATTTTGTCGGCCATCACCACCCTTATGAACCTCATCACAGCTAACTCTCGCTCTGAAGTCACACAGCCAGGGATACTGCACTGTATGCTGCGCTTCTCTCTGTCCGAAAGCCCTCGTCTCAGGAACTTAGCTTCAGTTTTTCTTCAGGACTGTTGCAGCGAGGAGCAGGTGACCCAGGCTGAACAGCAGATGCAAGGACAGCAGCAGACTGCACTTGGGATTCCACTGCCTAAGGACTAAATTTATAATACTTAAACATTTTATTATTTGATACTGTGAATCAGGAGCCCTACAGTGTTTTTAAGGATACACTGGTTCCTTTCAGACTATAGTGAGTGATCAATTTTGCCTACCCTCATTTTATATAGATCTTTTAATATTGAGTCAAGATCACAATGCATCTTGATTCATGTAGTGTCTTTATGTAGCCAAGAGTTTACAAAAGCCAGTTGATTCTTGAGTCATACTTCACTGTGATTGGTTAAATGGGCCTGTCATTCACTCTGACCATGACAGAAGCTGACCAATAGGAGAAGTGGGTGTGAAAAATGGGTGTTTGAGCATGGAGCTGCACTATAGGCATGCTTGTATCAAAATATTACAATATTATAGGGGTACAACTTTATTATATAAAGGGATAACTTCATAATTTATTCTTTATTACCAAATCACCCAGTCTTCATCTTCACATAATGTTTATATAATCTGAAAACCACCAGTAGCCAATTATGCTTTCAAACATGTAGTATGTTGTGTGCCGAATCTATGCATTATGGGACTGGATTTACGAAAGGTTTGTTAGAAGTGATAAATCAGGACTAAACAGGTTATTGCCAAGTCCGTAGAACTTGTATATTCCGATTATTGTTTCCACACAACTGTGCAAGCTTGTATTATTGACTAATTGATGACATTTTAATCAGATTTAAAAATTTATTGATACTGATTTAAAAGACAAGCTTGAATTATTACCATTCACATATATTTTTGGCCTTCAGTCCACATGTTGGTATTTTTAGAAGTTGTACTGCAGTTTAACAGTTGGTATGCAGTCAGTATTTTATACAAAGATAGAAACAGTTTAAACAAAAATAGTTTCAATATTTTTATAGTACATGTTTAAAATATAGCAAGTAGTACAAAAACATCACTTGACACTAAAAATATAGTATTGAAAAGATGGATAACTAAATTTACTCGGGACTCTTTGTTTTCAGACCATTTGTACAGTACATTCTTCTGGCTCAGATTTACAACATACCAGGCAAATGCCACTGCGCAGGTTAATTTTAATTGGCTGGCCCTTATACCTGGCACTTGCTATGAGCATACCACATCCTGAAGGATTTTGTTCAAGCCCAAAAATATGCAAAATAAAAAATCTTAAATAAACTTGGGGTTCTCCATTAGTGTTGAGAGCACTATTTGTTTTTGCCCAGGCTTTTAAAGAGCTATTTCTGGGTTGAGTCCTTCAGGTCTAGACAGAAAACGACATCCTATCCTTAAGCTCAGCGTCAGGTGGACGGCACATGGACCAGGACGGGACCAGGAGGAAATTCTTTACAGTTTTGGGTTAAAGTCGACTCTGTAACACTTGTCCATTTCAAACTGCACTATGTTCTCATGTTCTCACAGTGTTTGTCTAAGTGTGCGTGAGTCTGAATCACATTCCAGTGGCTCAAAGGTAAGCACCTGCCACTGAGATCAATAAAAAGCCCTGCTCTTCCCGTAAAAAGAGAAACGCCCATGCCTGGTTTTAATAAAACTTTATTTCATGTCGTAAAAATTATTGTATGGGTTTCTGGATCTTAAAAAATTCAAAAGAGTGGTTTGGTTCACTTGTTCCACACGATTTGTACAATACCTGCAGGATTTAATTTGAATAATATTATTCTCTCACCACCACTGCTTCATATGCAAAGGGTACTTCAATCAGAATAATGAGTGTTTGAGAATATTTAATGTAAAAGAATCATAACAGATGTCACTTCAGTCCGAGTTCTTCTTCTGCCATCTTGCGTAGTTCAATTTTCTGGATCTGGTGAGAAAAATAAAAGGCAAAATACACAAATGTCTGAAAGCATTTCTTAACATGGTACTATAACTATTCCAAAAGAATACACCAATAAATCTACATCAACAACCCAATACTCTGAGATTACATCAGTCAGAAAAGCAAAAATGATGCAGATTTTCTGCAGAAATGTGACCTTTATCACACATATAATTTAAAAATAATTTATGTAAATGTCTACTCAGTTTCCATCCTCAAATATGCAGAAAAAACAATATTAACTGATCATAATGGAAATCATATTATGAGCAGGTGTCCCAAATAATCCCTTGGTGCCAAAATTACAACTCAGATACATCCTCACGCTCAAGCAAAAACTGCAACTGCTTTAGTCTCGAATACTAAACCAACTCATGCTCTTTCAAATTCCTCAGTAATAATTCACTAAGGTGGAAGCAGAATTTTGATTAAATCTATAAAAAAGCTTATTTATTCTCAGACACAAAAGTTACACAACACCCTTCAGTTCTACACAGCCATTCTCACCTCATCAATAATAGTCTGGTGCAGAAGTTTGGAAAACCATCCATGTAAATAACCCCAATGCAGCGTTAATGAATTATTCAAAATTCCCAGTCAAACTCTCCTATCCATAGACACACTGTACCAGTGTACGCATCATGCACACCCTGCTCTTCACCTGCTCACATTTGTGTCTGTAATTACGTATTATAAAGACCTTTTGGGTTTGAAATGGACACCAATGATGAGAACATGAATTGAACATTGCTTTACTAGAAACAAACGCCACCAACCTATAAATGAGTCTGTTTCTAAAAATCAAACCTTGTAACTACAATAGCCCGAGCCCATAGACTGTCTGAAGGGTGGTCCCTGATGGGACGAGGTGGGTCGACTCGATTAATCTAGCAGGACATGGTTTGCGTGCAGACTAACTAATAGCTCTTTTTCCTTCTGTCTGGGCGTCCAGGGCAGGACCATTCAAACACAACCACATGTCTACAATAACTTATTTTAGCCAGCATATCATGAAAGAAACATAAAAGTAGAAATGTAATCTGTCAGTTTTTGGGAACGCCTTAACAAGGAAGCCACTAATAATAACTTTGATCTAACAAAGATCTAAAATCCATTTCATAATATACATTTGGTAAAAATATAACACACACACTATATTTCCCATTGTGTAATGATGAGGTTTAAAAATGAAGATGGATTACCTTCCCAGTAACGGTAAGGGGGTAGCTTGTGACAAAAAGAATGTAGCGAGGAATTTTAAAGTGAGCAATCTGTCAAACACACAAATTTAGAGTGAGGTTTGTCATGAATAAACATAAAATGTTATTGTTAAAAATATAATTTATAACATTCTTACATTATTTTTACAGAAAGCTTTGATTTCTTCTTTTGTGCATTCCTGTCCATCAACAACCTTTATACAAGCACAGACCTCCTCACCCATTCGCTCGTCCTTCACTCCAACCACCTGCACACAGTTACATACCACTATAGTACACAGTATAAAGTATAAGCTTGGCAAATACAGTGTACCTGGTTTGTATTTATCAGCCTGTTTTTACCTGAGCCTCTTTGACTTTTGGGTGTGTGTGAAGAAACTGCTCAATCTCAGCAGGATAAATATTCTCTCCTCCTCTGATGATCATGTCTTTCATTCTGCCTTCAATTTTCAGGTAGCTGTATGCATCCATTTTGCCAATGTCCCTGAGAAGCAAAAGGTGTAAATTCATTAAGGAATAGTACTGTCATAATACTAAAATTTCAGAATTGATTTAAATACTAATGAACAGACTCAATACTTAGATAGAATATAGATATAGAATACTCAGAATAGATAGAGAATACTTAGATAGAATGACATTTTTGACAGAAAATAATTGTACTTTTGATACGTTACCATGTGGTCTAATACTAGTTTTCATTAGGTCAATTTAAAACTGCTCAGGAAAGGTCAAATTTTGTGATCAGTATTTCTATACTTTTGATATGCCTATTAAGCAATAGAAAATTTCAGTTTCAGCATATTTTCAATGTAATAACATAATATAAAAATGATACATATGAAGTAATATCTAGAAGGCACTCACCCAGTTTTGTACCAGCCCTCTTTGGTGATGGTCTCTTCAGTTTTGGCCTCATCACCCCAGTAACCCAGCATCACACAGAAGCCCCTGACCATGACCTCCCCCAGCTCCCCCAGAGGCACTATCTGCCCTGTACTGGGGTTCACTATTTTAGCCTGTGGACACAAGTACTATGATTAACATTTTGAATATTGAGACACTGAAATTACAGAATTTTGATCTTGTACCTCAATATGATCAATGATGTACCCTACGGTATCACACTTTCTCTCCATGCTGTCAAAAGGAGTTCCACAAAATGTCACTGGGCTGTTTTCTGTGGTGCCATAGCCAATCTGAAAAAGACAAGGCATCTTTATTTGCAGAGCACATTTTATATAAAAAGAACAAAGAAAGAAGGACCACAATGAGAAAGAAGGACCAGAGTAATGTTTTTTTTTTAAATAAGGTAATATAGCATAATCAAACAAAATTATTCAAATTTTTATATAGCACTTTCGCACCTTCAAAGTGCTATACATCAAGGAAGCACTCACCCATTCACACACATTCTCATAGACCAATGTGCACAGACACTCGAGGCAGGGTGATCTGAATCACCAACCTTCGAGTCAGTGCACAAACACACCAACTAAGCTACTGTCACCATATTATACTGTAATGAGTGAGGCACTGTGTTCAAATAATTTTCCTTGTCATTAAATTTAAAGTCTAATAAATGCTCATGTTTTATCCTCACATTTTTTATAAAGTAGACAAGATAGCTTAAGGTTAGGGGAGTAAAGCTCTTTATACTGGCATCAAGTGACATTGTGTCTTGAGTGGCCAACAGGACTGAATGTGTAATTATTATAGTTTAATATGTTCCTGCTACATTCCCGCTATTAGTCTGTCCCAAGAAGCTGTGGTTATAAAGATAAAGGTGCACTACATAACTTTTTGGTCGAGGCTCCGTGACCAGCTTGTTTCTATGGATGTGTGACTGCTCTGCCTGAAATGTTCAATTACATGTGGTTTTATAGCTAGAACAACAGAAATTCTGATTGAGCAGGGTCACCTCTCCACAGATCTGGCCATACTGTGAAACATTCCAGATAAAGCGATAAATGCTTTTCTCTGTAGAAATGTTGACAGACTCTCCACTAGAAAAATTAAACAATGCCTTTAATCCAGGGGTGTCCAACTTTTTTCATCAAGGGCCACATATCTAAACACAGATGAAGCAGCGGGTTGATCGAGGGCCGTAGACCCTGGGTTAGGGTTAGGGTGCTCAATACGGTGAAAATTTTTAATATATGCATGTTTAACACTTTAGAATGAGCCATCAGTCTTTATCTTTCTAAGATCCTTAAAACAGCACACTAAATATTAAATATTAGCTTTATCAAGGTACATTTTCAAAAAAACTTGCTGTAAAAAGTTAATTTCTAATTGAATTGATTGATGTAATTTGAGCCAATTCACCTGGAAGCCTGAGGGCCAAGAAAAAATTGTCTGAGGGCCACATTTGGTACTCAGGCCATAGTTTGGGCATGCCTGTTTTAATCTATCACAGTGGTTGAAAATGACTGTAAATGAATGCTGAACTAATGTAAAGTACTTTTATGTCCAGAAACTAATTGTATAAATCCAATTACTGAAGTAGTTTCTCAAAATGCAAAAATAAAAAATAATTAAAAAGTCTTCTGCATATATATAAAATGTAGAGAAAGTAGTAAACATATATAGACATATCTTGACATATCTTGTATATACATATAGACATATCTTGTATAAATATGAGAAGGTGAGTCCAAACTTTTGACTGGTAGTGTATGTATGCGACTAACACAGGAAACTGAACTTATAGCGAATGAGAAGATTCATCTGGAAACGGTAAGTGATGATATTCCCAATAAAATGCTAAATTTGGTAAGTAAACTCTAGATTTTTTTAACATAGCCAGGTCCATCTGTCATTTACCTGAACCTACCTGAACCAATCTGAAGCCAAACTCTGGACCTGTGTTTTGGGAAAGCATAAAGCTGTGGATTGAAATGCAATTGCTTATGGGCTAATTATGGCTTCAAATCTGTTTTTATATTTCCTCGTGCTGCCAGGAACACGCTTTGAAAAATAACTTACAAACTAATGAAGCCCACCGTTGAAACAAGATAGTCTTTTGGTCATAAAAATGTGATCGTGGCTATTACATAACTACACTACAGAGAGAGGAAATATGCAGGCAGGAACGTAAAGCGCCATGTTGAGGTTGCATTCCTGGGATGATGGAAGTATCCTTTGCCATTGTTATGATTTTAAACACCTCTGGCCAAACATCTGGAGCCAATTACAGGTTATAAAACGACCGCACACGAGCGGCTCTTTTTCACCAAACCGCAGACTGAAGAAACAATACAGGAGTCTGGGCTCAGGTTTGACCTTATGCCACGTTAGTTCATGTACACCTGTAGATCATCCAAATGTAAGACAATGAGGCCTACATTATCTACAGCCAAAGTGCAAAGGTGAGGAAATTAACAATCAACGTAAGATTAAAGGTAAACTGCATAGCTTTTCTTGCGGCGAGTTCGTCACCTGCTTGTCTCCATGGAAATGGTATTGCTTTGTCTGGAATGTCCCAGTATGGCATTAAACATTATCCATCTTGCATTTACTCAATACTACTTGCATTTTTACTCTGAGTGGGCTTGCCCCACAACATATCTGACATGTAACATGGCCCTGTGGTGTCACCTGCTGTCTCTATAAAGAAAAATAAGCACAATGCCATACTGCAGAACATTCTAAACATACAGTACCTATGGAGAAAAGCTGGTGACAGACCTCTATAAGCATGCAAGTATGAAAAACACATATGATAGAAGAAAATACCATTTACAAAGCATCTCTGATTATTGGAATTCACATTGATGTCACAGTTTTAATAAATATATAAATCTGTAATATATTGAGTGTGTTTGTTTGTTGTGTGTCTTTTTTTTTAACTCTGGACAAAGAGTCTGTAATAAAGTTTGATGATGATGATGATTATTATTTTAAAATATAAAATTCCATTATTATTTATTTAATTTTCAGGAGCAGTGTACATTAAAAAGATGACTGTAAATGTACCAGAATTAGTCAAAAGTATATTTTTCATATATTGTCCCTGGACTGATGTTAACATTGTCTAACAATGTAAAATCTAAAAACTAAATATAAAATGTAGTGGCTGAAAAAATATGTATATACTGAAAAAATAATTGACTAGTACATGTACATTTATATACATTGAAAATAAAATAGGAGTAAAACCAAATATGTGAAGTTCACGCCAAAGAGCAGAGCAAGATAATGTGAATACATATGCATAAATCCTATTGAAGCTCATTTGGGGTTAAACTCTCAGACACTTGCTCTCCTCTCAGCCCAACACGCGACATGCCCTCCAGTTTTTTCTCTTTTTTTCTCAAAGTAAATGTTATAAATAGTGCAGTGTGCAGTGACTGGCCATCCTCCTCCACTCAAAGTGAATTTCTCAGCTCAGCCCACCTTTGCTCACTCACCTTTCAGGCACCATAACAAACCTGACCACGCGTTTTCTTTTCTACTTTATGTAAGGGTAGTGTACACAGCTCCACATCATCTCCAGCATGCGTTGTGTAAGTTGGCTGCTGTTGGGGACCTCTCTCCTGGTTTTGGGTCCAGCGGTCACAGGCGCCCCGGGGCAATGTCCGAACCTATGCCATTGCCACGGCGACCTACAGCACGTGATCTGCTACGACGTGGGACTGAAGAAGATACCAAGAGTTTCCGAAGCTACGCGTCTGCTCAATTTACAAAGGAATAATCTGGGTAACATTCCCACTGGCGCTTTCAGTGAGAGTAAAGGACTGGTTTCGCTACATATGCAAAATTGCCACCTCAGAGAAATTGGCTCCCAGGCGTTTAAAGGGCTAACAAAGCTCGTTTATCTCTATTTATCCAACAATGAGATCACTACCATCAAACCGGGCGCGTTCGAAGATTTGACAGAACTGACATATCTGCATCTAGATGGAAACCAGATCACAGAATTGGCAAAGGGACTATTCGCTCCAATGATAAACCTGTTCATATTACAACTAAACAACAACAGACTAAGAGAGCTTCGACCTGGGACATTTGCAGGTGCCAAAGTCTTGCGTTGGCTTCACATGGCCAACAATACTCTGACCACACTGCAGCCTGGATCCCTGGATGAAGTGGAGAACCTGGCGATCCTGCATTTGGATGGGAACAGGATGGCGACCTATCCCATTGCAGCCATGAGTAAACTGAGAGTGGTGGAGGAGCTAACCCTTGGCAGGAACCCCATGAAGACCATCCCAGACCTGGCGTTCCAGAGCTTCGGACGATACATGGAGAGACTGCACTTAGACAATATGGGGCTGGAGAGGGTAAGTTTGCTGTATCAAGATGTGTAACTAAACAGGCAGGTATCTTTATATATAGTCTGTAGTTTTGCATTGATCCTAAGCCCATAAAAATGACAAAGGTTGCGTGAGGGCATCTGACATAACACTTGGGGGAAATTAATTTACACTGCTACAAAGTAAGTGATTCGTCAGGGTAAATTTAGTTAATCATTTATCTATGTATCCAATATATCTATTAATAGTGATCCGATAATATGTTTTTATAGTTGTGGTCTTATATCACTTCTTTTACTTTGTAGTGAGTACACTGCATGCTTATACCTGTGCATCCATTCACAGTTAATCATAAGATAACTAAAGTCTCAGTGGATCAGTATTAAGTGTAAAAATGTATATATACCATAAACTGCTATTAAGTGATATACAAGGATTTTTAAAATCATAGAGGGCCATTTCTCCAGTAACTTCAAAGAGGGTGATGACTGCAATTAACTGAGACTTGGGTATTTATTATATGGTAATATGACTACAATTACAATAAACAAGTCATAAAATATTAATATTAGTTGTACTTCCTTTTATATTAGCTCTTAAATGCTTAAGTATGAAGGCATTACAGAGCAAATGGTAAACTAACAAACCATCTAGGAGCGGTGTGGATATAGGTATTTTTAGCATGTTTTTGTTTGCTGGACTCCTTCCAAGCGTGTCCAAGAGTCTAATTATTACACAGCAGTTATTTTCAGTTCATGTGTTTTCTCCTCGTGCTTTGGCCAGGTCTAGTAAACAGTTCAGGAGGGGTTAGGACCTACACCAGTAAACAGAGGTGTTCCTTGGGGCTATGAACTGCTGTATTTTTAGCTAGCCATCTCCAAACTTGAATGAACAATTAGGTCCTTTGCGAGCCTTTCCTGGCAGAGAAGAGACTTGCAGAGAGAGACACTACAGAGAGACTTCAAAAAACATCTTAGACATTTTGGAAGTCCTCCATCTTCCATTGCTTTAAAATGCCATGCCGTGTGCAGGTTCACAGTGGAAATTTCCAAAAGTGAACACACTCCTCATCCTTCATCCAAAACTATTTCAAAGGGTTGTCTCTCAAACTTGACACGACGCACTTGGACCAGCTAGCACCTCTCTGAAGTTTTTAGCACCCTTGAAGTGGAAAAGGAGCCCAGAGAAAATCCATGTTTGCATAGAGAAGGATGAGAGAGGGCTTTCATTACAGACTGCAACTAGAGAGATTCCCCTGCATCTCACAGACGGGACACAGGGTCAGGCTGAGGGTGTGGTACTAAATCTGCCATATACACCAATCAACCAAAACATTATGGCCACAGCATAGACAGGTAAAGTTAGTGGCACAATTTATTTGAATTATACAATCTGTTAGTAAGTAGGAGTAGACTAAACCAGGATTAAATCAGCATTAAACAAGGACCAAACCAGGACTAAACAATGATTAAACCAGGACGAAACCAGGATTAAACCAGGGCTAAACCTGGACAAAACCAGGACCAAACCAGGACCAAACCAGGACCAAACCAGGACCAAACCAGACCAAACCAGAACCAAACCAGAACAACTGAATATAACTGGTATCAGAAGCCAGAAAAATGACTACTAGTAGATGATATGGTCATGTGATTACTGAAAATGATTACCAAATAGGTGAAGAAAATGTCAATAAATATTCTACTGAAGTACAAGTTACTGAAGAGATTTTTTCTTTATTTTTTATCTCCAGTTCTCAGATGGAGCATTCACAGGTGTCACTGCCATCAAGTCTCTTTACCTGGACAACAACAGACTCAAGACCCTCCCCAAAAGTCTGGAGTATGGAACTCTGACCAATATGACCCTGAACAACAACCCCTGGACCTGCAACTGCTCACTCTCTCCACTCAGGAGGTATCTCCTGATGATATCTATACTGATATTTTCAATCAAATTAACCTGGCTGTGTGTGTGTCTTATTGAGAAGTCAAGATTATTCAGTAATCAATAATTGTGATTTTTCCGGTCACAGTATAATTCTAATGTGGTGTTGATGTGGGCACTCATCTCTAAATCTTGAGCTATGCTTGGTTAGGATGACTTTAGCTGAAGCACTACCTTGCCTATCATGCATGTTTTGGGTCGAAGGGTCAACCAGAGTGATGGGAGAGAGCCCACTAGACCAGGGGTTCATAACCTTTTTGATCTTTTTCTGTACAAAGTAACCTGGGGCCCAATCTCATATTATATTCTACTGATTGATGGACCCTCAAGGAGGTACTTGTGGCCCTATGATTAAGAATCACTGCACTGGACACAGGTAGAAACATGCAAATTCCCACAAGTCAAATCCAGAACTGTGAGGAAATATGTTCATTCAGACAACTTGAGTTAATAAAGCTGGGCACATGAAGAATATATTAGACAATGGGAATAATTGCAGTAACTGTTAAGATTATTGTCAGAAGAAGTGTCATAATAACACTCCTTATTTATTTTCTTATTGCCTCATAGGTGGATGGACTCGAGCCGTATCCGCCCTGATGCCCAGTGTGCCTCTCCGGCTCAGCAGAGGGGCAGGCAGATACGGGACAGCTCTGCCTTCAACAGCTGCAAAGTCAAACAGAAGAGAGCCAAGAAGGGCACACGCTAATAAAACATGAGAATATCAGGTACTACAGGAGAGAAAATGTACTATTGACTTGAAAACTTCCAACTCTTCTTGAATTTCTTCCTTTGGGATAAATAAAATCTCTCTGTCTCTGTCTCTCTCTCCGTCTTTCTCTCTTTCTCTCTCTCTCTCATCATATTGCCAAAAAAGTCAAACAAACGAAAATGTATCTTTTTAATTAATGTAAGGTCATAGATCAGTAGAAAAGTAAAAATAGTTATTTTTAACTATGGTACTGAATGGTATTATGAAGTCGATATGTTGCTCTTATGCCTCTTGCTTTAGATGAGAAACTATAATCACAGCTGAACCTGGTCTGTACCGGCAGACAGAGGCCACATCCAAGTTTTTCTCATTCTTGGCCTTGGTATATATAGATACATACTAAGGTTTCATGTGAAAGCTCATAACCTTCAGAATTCACTAGGCTCCTGGGGCTGCACTAGCACTGTTGTTTTTTCCAAATAAATGATGCTCTGTAATTTACTTCAAAACACTTGTCATTTCCTGAACCACATCCCCTACATTTGGTCTGTCCTGGTCAAAAAAAACCTGTCACAAACTTTTCATTCAACTATACTGCTCCTGTTTTTCTTGGTGCTGAAATTGGCTGCTCATTTTGTGCCTTTTCACAGGACCTATTGACACGACCAGCAGCAAAACGGAAAAGCCTAACTCATCCTTTAAGACAATAAGCATTTGTAAAATCTAGGTAAAACTACACATGGCACAGATTAAATATAAGAAGGGCATTCATATCACCTGTATTTTGTGTATATTGAAGCTGGTTGGACAGGTATGATGTGAAATGGAGACAATTGAATGCATAATGTATTGACCAATTTCCACGATTCCCCCATTTAAATTAAATTTAACTTATGTCTGAAATAAATAAATAAAACATAATATTTTTCTTCTGTTGCATAATGAATCTGCTATTATTGCAATATACATTTAGAAAGAAAAATGTCAGAAGTGTGTAAATAACATTACATGTAATCCTCTGTATACATGTACAATAATTCTCTGCAGTGAATTTTTCTGTAAATGTCTAAATGCAATATCTTATAGATATCATGCTTACTCATGTTTAATCTGTAATTATCTGGACAATGGAGTGTTAACAAATTCACTACCAATAAACCTCTACAAAAGACACATCCTGCCTGATGTATCCATACTATCCATATCCATTTGACATTACTTGTTTATAAACCAAATTATTATTTTTGCATTTCTTGGATTAAAATCTCCTTTAGTATTACATAAGAAAATGTCGCCCTCTTGTGGCCAATGACTTAACATTGCAAGTTTATTTATTTATTTATTTATTTTTTCATGTATTATATTGCAATGTTTCCCAAACTTTTTTTTGGGGAAACCATATTTTAAAAGTCACAAACGTTTGCAACCCAAGTCAATAGACATATTCGTAAATCACAAAATAAAGGTGGATTTGATCATTATTGAACATTAATGAGGATATTTTATTATCCAAATTAGGAGTGTCAAATTATCGTGTTAATTGCGATTAATTAATTACAGTCATATTTAGCGCGTTATGTTTTTTAATCGTGTTAATCTCATTTTTAATCTCTAACTTTACTGTTTCTGTATGCGAGTTGCTTTATTATAAAATCTGTTTTTATGTGTTGTTGGGACAACAACACACACACAAAAAACACATTTATACATTTTTTTATTTCGGTAATTCCACTCATTGCCGGAAACCCACACAAAACGCGCGCAGTAAGAGCGACGTAAACGTCATGTTAACGTTGGCGGCGTCAGTTGCACAATGGACGAGGTCGCAGAGCCAGTAGAACAGAGGCAGCATCGTACAGGTAAAAACACATTCGTGTCTTGGAAATTATTCTCCCAACGTGAAATATAAAAGAAAATAACAAATATAATATCGCCTACAACTTAAATGTCACTGGTGAAAACAACCTGCATAGGCTCATGATGTCTGCACTACTGTCCTATAGTGACCTGCCACATGAGGGGACGCACACACACAAACACACAACAACACAAACACACACAAACAAACACACACAAACAAACACACACAAACACACACCTTCATCATCGTCATTAACCTGAGAACACGCTGACCACGTTTCCTTCCGTAGTTACTGCACGGACACCGACGTGCTCCCGTGCGCCGCGTGTGGATCGTGTTTTCTCGCGTACGCTGCGTAAACCGCGCTTCCTCCTGTGCGCCTCTAAACCAGAACTAACACCAAGACTAAAACCAGGACTAATCCAGTCCAGGACTAAACCAGGACTAAACCAGAACTAAAACCAGAACTAAACCAGAACTAAAACCAGAACTAAAACCAGGTCTAAACCAGGACTAAACCAGAACTAACACCAGGACTAAAACCAGGATTAATCCATTCCAGAACTAAACTAGGACTAAAGTAGGACTAAAGCAGGTCTAAACCAGGACTAAAACAAGGACTAAAACCAGTGATCTCATATATAAAGCATTTCTCTATCAATAATATTTTTAATATGGTTAAGGAAAGACTGGACTTTTTATTGTCTTTAAGTAAACAAAGGTTATTATGTTCAGATTTCCTCGTCTTTGCTACTTTACAGCAAATAGTTTCTTATTTATGGAGACTTAGGCTCAACAGACAATTTGGAGAGATTTGTTAAACAATAAATTACTTTATAAAGTCACTTTTTAAAATCTATATCAGTCTTTTGATCTGCCACAATAATGTAATAATGAATTTAAATGAAAATACCTCAAATTGAAGGCTTTTCTCAGAAATTTTTAGGTGAGATTAAAATGAGATTAATTAGATTAATTAATTACAGATCATAATTAATTAATCTCTCAATTTTTTTAATCGCATGACAGCACTAATCCAAATATCTCTGAACAATTAGTATTACTCAAGTTTTAAACAATGAAAAGCAGTAATTGAACCAGCAATAAAAGGGATCCATAAGTAGCCTATCTGGACATGCCTGAAGTGCACTGACCTTTGCTGATTTAACACTCTTCTTTTTGGACAACCAAGCAAGTATTTCTCAACTTTAGCTGCAGGAAAACTCGTTCAGGGCAGGCAGATAAGATTCACTGACTCACTCACTCACTCTCTCAAGTGTCTGTATATTGCAGACCTACATGCAGATTGTGACAAGGTGACCCACTTGACCGCAGTCTTTGGGAAACACTGTTATATTGAATAAATTACTCACGGTCATTCCTTTTACGCCCATTACAGATATCACTTTTTTCACTAGTTCTGGAGGACATGGAGAGCCAGCCATGATCCCTACAAAAAGGGAAAGATGGAAACGCATTTCAACCTAGGAATAATAGTTGCACAGAACATAAATTCAGAACATATAGACTCACCATCTTCCACTGATGACAGGTCATATTTATGGACGTCCGGCTGGTTGACCATGTCCACGTACATAGTGGGTGTCCCATAGATAATAGTACATCTGATGGAGGAGATAAACAAAACAAAAAACATCTGTAATAATACAATACTAAGGGAACAATTTAGTGGGAGAAAGCGCAAGGATCACTGTGACATTGGATTGTGATAATATCAACCTATCAATAGATAAACAATAATAGATAACTAATATTAGAAAAAGGAAGTAAATAAGTAGAAGCAGCAGCAATAGCTGAAGTAGTAGTGACAGTGGTAATAGCTGTAATAGTAATGGCAATAACAATTGTGAACATCAATAAACTCCCTGACTCCATTTTTGTGGATATAAAAAGCAAGCACTTTTCTGAAACTTTTCTGAAAGAATAAAATAAACCCATTGTACTTCAGGTCTTGTCTTTCCAGTTTTCTCTGTAACAAATGCCCTTTGTGTTGCGGCAGTCTGAGAAAAAGCTGGCATTGTCCTTTAAAATTCCCCACAGGAAAAAGAAAACAAATCTGAAACAGGATTTTAGTCAGGAAGTGTGCTACTGATATGAGAACCCCTTAAAGAGTCAGAGACATTTACAGTGACTACATTTAGAGGAGAGTAAATGTTCCAGCAGCCTTGTTTAACATTATACAGTCATTTATTTTACATGCAATTGTAAAATGCTCCAGAGACAGGGAGAATTGGTTGGCACTAAGCTTCCTTCTTCTCTCTTCTCTTTTAGTTTTAGACTTAGACTTAATGTTGTTATGATTATTTATGTTTTGTCTTGTATGTATATTGATATTTTAATTCTGTAAAGCACTTGGAATTACTTTGTGTATGGATTGTGCTATACAAATAAACTTGTCTTGCCTTCAACAATTCTGTGATCAGAATTTCAAACAGGGCCATTAGACTTTTTCTAAGCCAGGAATAATGTGGTACTATAAACAATAAAATCTATTAACATAAAAATACAATAAATACTAATCAGATGATCAGAATTTGCAACATTATTTTTTTATTGTGCTTGAAAACATCCAAGGGTGAGCTTTGATTTTTAAATTTTTTTTACTTTAATTTTCCACAGACTTCACACCCAAGTTATTCATATGTTATTTCAAGGCACTCTCTTCACATGACATTCAAAACTTTCACTTCATGGAAATAATGTAGGCCATAGTTCACTACTTACTGACCTAGTTTTAGTTCACATGTAGATATCATCAAACAAAGTGTCTCCATGCTCCATTCACCACAGCATTCAGAAATCAATGAAAGGTTTACAACATAGTAAATACAAAGTTATCAATGCAATGGTTTACATGTTTTTGAGTTTGGTCTGACAACTTATGGCCTAAGGTTAAGTAAAAATATGTAATGACTAATATTTTATACATTTTTTTCAATGAAAACTTAGAAAATCCATTAATTCTTATTCATCCTTGTGTCTTATTCATTTATATTTTGTGTTGTGTATAAAAGCAATTTTCCATCCTAACACGTTAAACACTTCAAGACTGTAATATTGATGTCGATACCTTTCACTCTCCATTGCTGCTAGATTGGCCTTTGAATTATACCCAGGAGATGGAAACACAAGAGTCGTCCCATGTACAGCCACACACATCCCACCCCCCACTGAGCCGAAACAGTGGTACAGTGGCACAGGGAGGCAGATCCGAGTGTGGGGCTACAAGAACAATATAGTAAATTACTTAAAGGTCCTATATTACGCAAAACTAACTCTTCTGAGCTTCTAACAATGTTATCATGTTGTTATCTCCTCAAAAGCATAACTGGAGTTGTGTTATGTTTCATTCACACATGTTTAAGTAGTCCTGCATTATTAGGCTGTCTACACCAAGGCTCAAAAGTCTCTATTTATTAAGCTCTGTGACCTTATAATGTCATGAAGCGGTAGTTTTCAAGTTATCAGCTACTGTTTATCTTTTAGTAGAAATAGGCAACTCCAGTGTTGAAATTGTCCAAATGATCCTACTCGAGGTGTATGGAGTATAAAAGTGGGTCACTTCCTGTATTACCACATGACATCACAAGGTGGAGTGTTTTCTGTTTCAGAAATGTCCTCAGCATAAATTTGCAGAGTTTGTGTGTTAAACATTAGTGAATGAAACTCAACACAAACCTCAGATATTTTTTTGAGAAGGAAACAACATTATAACAAAACAGAAAATAGCGTAATATGGGCCCTTTAAAAAAATGTGGCAAATAGTTTTTCTGCTTTGCAATTGTCTATCATTTGCAACAAACAATTATACCAGCTTCTTGTCAGAATTGATGGTAGTTGGTTTTCTTGGCTATCTTTTCAAATCTTTAATCACCTATGAACTTTTTGTTGGTCATATGCCTTGTCTCTATATTTCAAACTCAATAAAATCTGGAAAATATTGACAAAATATGAGCAGCCTGCCAAATTACTTAATTATATGGTGCAGTATAAAATATAAAATGCATAAAATAAGGTCTTAGAATAAAATAGACTTAGATACAATATATACAGTGTGGACAGCAGTGCAAATAGATAAGAGTGTTGTTGTGACATGCGTCATATAAAAATGAATTACTCTCACGACTGCCTCTTTATTACTGAGTCTGGAGTCTAAAGCATAAAACATAATTGGCCTCAGTATCAAAGGCCCAAACTTGACTTACCTTCCAGTGGTATCCAAACCGCCGGCCGACATAATAAGCATCATTTATGATGTTGTGGTGTGACAAAGTGGCACCCTTGGGAAATCCAGTTGTGCCCTAGTAACAGATATAGACTGCAGTGTGAAAACAAGAGTGGGAGAACCCACCCCACGATGTCTGGCTATGGTGCACACTACAAAAACTAAAATCTTGTCAAGTTAAAATGACTTGAATTAACAACATGTAGTAGTAGTCAAAATAGCAAAATATACCTAGTTACACTGAAGATAAAAAAACAACAACTGTTCGTACTTAAAATAAGAAACTAGATCATATGTTACAAACAGCAAATTGAAATTATATGCAATAATTCAATAATAATGTATATATTTTTTTATCCAGGCTATTATTAGTGTGACTGGCCTATTGATCTGAATAATTAGTGAGAAGATTGACTTGGTGCATTTTTTGTGTTTGCATAAAGCCAGTTTGTTGCATTGTGCTCCATAGACTCACATTTTAAAATGCCCATTTTGATAATCCCCTTTTATTAATAGCCTAAAAATGTGTTTGTTCTTTTATTTTATGTTTTCCTGATGAAAACCGCATACAATTATGCAAAATGTAAGGTTTTTTGATTTTTTCACCAAATGACCCCATTTTCCATGAGCCCTTAAATCCATCTCTCTGTTATTACTATATTGTCATATAGTGGGATATACTGTAACTCCATGAATTAAAATGAAATGTGCCTTTTCCTAATATCCTTGTGACTGGTTCACCCAAATGAACAATCAGTAGGAGGATTAAGCTTGTTGCATTTTTTGTTTTGGTTTACTGTGAGTTTGAACAAAAAGGGTTTCGCCACGTTGATTTCTCCCATAGACTTCGATTGTAAATGCATAGTTTTTTCTCACCAATAACTTATGGAGGGAAAAAAAAATTTAATGCACATTTTCTAGCAGAAGTCGTAGAGATTTTCAAAACTGCACTAAATTAATATCTTTTTTCCCCATAATGTGGATGATCTGAAGCCTTAGCTTTAAAATGAATGCATATCTTCATGATTTTGGAGATCCCAGATCAAGGATCCCATATTTTCTGTTTTTATTGCTTTGTTTACAAATAGGCTGTTTTAACATAGGGACATAGCACTCCTTGAAATTATGTTTTTTACTCCAAACATTCAGTCTCAAAGATATATTCACTACCAACACATCCAATCAATTTGTAGTGACTTTATTTTCATCTGTCCAAATGTATCTATGTTTTGTATAGAGTGACAGTGAAGGTCATGGGGGGGCTTTTTTTTTTTCTAAAATTCATTTGGTTTACTGCAGAGAAATACAATGAAATCAATGATTTTGAGAGGGGGTGTCAAATAATGAGTTTATAATGGATGTCAATGGATACACAAATTTCTGAAACATGTATACAAAACTTCTCACATTGCCAAAATTGATCAGATCAGGATGAAACACACGTCTATAATCCTGTAAAAATGCACACCTGTGTGAATTTTCATGGCAATTGAACAACCACAGTTAAAGTTATCACGATAAATGTACCTTCAGATACACAAATTTTCCTTAACAAGGTTCAAGGGCTAAGTGTCAATATTGTATACTATGCCATGGTATGCTATGTATATGCCATATATCATCTATCTATCAAACAATCAGAATAAAGATATTACTATATTATTAAAAATGAGCCTGTAGTCTCACCGATGTGAACTGGATATTAATGGGGTCGTCAAAGCAGAGTTTCTTCTGAAGGTCCTGGAGCTCCTGTTTATGTCTGCTGTCTCCCGCCTGCATGATGTCATCAAAATGAAACATGCCCGGCTGGCGACTGTCCAGGACTATCACTGACTGCAGATCTGGCAACCTGCAAATACACAGGGACCGTTCAGTTTAACCTTTCACTGAAGCAAAGTGGATAGAATATTTTTGTATTTTTCCCTGTAAAACATTTGTCCAGTTGGCAGAATTGAATCTTTCTTTTGATTTGAAGCCTATCTGGACGACTGAGGGACTACAGAGACATTGTAGATTTGATTTTTTTTGTCAATATATCACAAGTAGGATAGGGGTCTTTCATTTTGTTAAATATAATTTTCAGGCCGGAAAGCTTTATTGGACATTACAGAAGCAGTATGAAGGGGGGGGTAGAGACATTCAGAGGCAAACCTACAACATTAAGACGGTAACAATCACATCTGTGCAAAACCACTACACCACCACCAGGCATGAGGGCAGGGGTCTTAATCACTGTTTTTATTGAGGCAGAGTCTTCAAAAAGAAAATCTATGTTGCATCTGACAATTGTTTCTTAGCGAATAGGTCTATAACTTCACTAAATCATTTTATTGGAGGCCTTTCAGCGCCTTAGTATTCGATCTTATTATTAGTGAAATTTGGCACACTGGTTCAGCACAGGCTCATGGTCCCTCACAGCCAATTTGGGGTCAATAGGTCAAGAAATATAGCGCCACCAACAGGTCAAAGTTGGACATGCATTCATGCTTATAACTATTGACCTGTTTGTCCAATTTTCACAAATGAGGTGTTGTTGGAATCCTTGGGCCAAGCCAAGTTAATTGCACCCTATGACATTTTCCACCATATTGGATTTTCCGCCCTTTTGGATTTTATAAAAAACCTTCAAAATGTATCTCCTCTCAAATTTTCTATAATCTTCTTGAAACTTGGCACACACAATCTTCAGGGGGTGCTTTAATTAGCAAAAAGGTGTTTTAAGTGATATCTCTTGATCTGTTTGGATTTACAAGAAAATTCCTGTGCCTGCTGATGCTATTTGACTCGACAATACACGTCGTAAAAGGTTTATCACGTAACCTTTTGCATTTGGCGGCCATGTTGAATTTTGTAAAAATGCTGTCTTTTTTGGGTATCCCATAGAATGTCTTGGAATAAAACTAGGAAATTTGGCATGTTGATTCAGGCCAGGCCCATAAGCACTTTCAGTCATTTTCAAGTCTCTACCTCGAGAGCTATAGCGCTACCAGCTGGTCAAAGTTGGACAAATAGGAAGTGGACACTGACGTATTGACACCAAACTGCATAAATGGTCCTGTGGTGACTTGCCCTGGACTCTCAAAATGTTTTGTGACCTTTTACCTCTAGGGAGTGTTTTAATTGACCAAATTGGCATGTATTATGGAACATCTATTGATCTGCTTGGATTAAAAACAAAATTTCATTGTGCATGTGTTACTGTTCCTGCTCTTGCCTATTCTGCAGCTATAGTGCAAGGCCTCCACATTGCTGCTTGCAGCTGTATTTATTTTTATTTTTATTCTCCAAAAATAAGTGTAATGCATATTATTATCACCACTTTCTTTGACATATTTTTGTCTGAAATTTCACTAAAGTTGGAAAGCCTGGGATTTGAACCAAGGTGAAATGATGAAAATATGAACTCACCTTATTTCCTGTTAAATAGTGAAGAAAATAATATCATTTGTAATACAAGCTGAATGTGAATGTGAATGTGTCAGTACCGTTTACTCTTGAGGGCTCCAGGGGCACAGGTGTCTAATTCAGGGCAGATCTCTCGGAGCATCCCACAGTACTTTTGAGTGGCAAACTGAGTGGGGCAAACTACAGCATTACAGTTGACCTGGTCAGAGAGGAGTAAAGGATTTCTATTACAAATAAGTTCAGACAAGTAAATTTAATATAATGTAAATTCACTAACCTTCTTCAAGGCGTATTCCACCTCTTTGACCTGGTACGCTGGGTTCACAGACACCTGCAGCAAAGAAACCATTTACAATTTATAGAAAATATATTTAATTCATTAACAAACATTCAGTACAAGTCCAGTATGCATATTAAACACAATTATAATTTCAATTTATTTAAAGTTTATTTCTTTGGTCATTAGGTATAATCAAAAATAAAATAAATAAATCACATTTTATTTACATTAAAAGCAGCAATATATTTATATCAGGTGTCCATAATAGGCCTGTAACAATAACAAATTTTGAAGCAAGATATATTGCTACAGAGAAATATTGCCATAAACTATAATACTGAAACTACTTTATGCCACAGACACAAAGCAAGATATTGCCAGTAAAGCAATTTTTCAACAGACAGTAATAGGCACGTTTTGTAATCAATAAATGTCAGAATGAACCAATAATTAACCATAGAAGTTATTTACCTTACTCTCTGGCTCAAATCTTGCATGTCTTACATAAAAATGACAAAACTCTCCCAATTCTTACAAAGAAATTGTACACACGATAAATACTGAGCACCAAAATATATTGTTCCAGCTTTCGTATATTGAACAATAAGTCAATATAGTAATGATCGTGACAGGCCTAGTCTATAACGTAACTTCACACAAGATAGAACTATATTTGTTTCACAATGGAGAATTCACTTGTCAATATGGTTCTAAAATACAATAATAATAAAAGTAAAACAGTAAGAAGGTGTTTAACCGCACTATCACCTGTCAGAAAGTCACTGTCATAAATGATCTTACGCACCAGTATGATGCCAGCTTTTGCCGTGGCAAACTGGAACAGCACCCATTCATAAAGATTGGGTCCCCACATGCCCAGGCGGTCTCCCTTCTTGAGCCCGATGGCGAGCAGACCCGCTGCAGCCTGGTCTACCTGTATTAACAACACAGGATAAGGGTGTTGATAAATAGCATAAAATAAGTCTTAAAGGTGTACTGTGTAACTTTGTTGTTGGGGCTCCATCACCATGTTTCTATGGACATGTCATTGCTCTGCCTGGAATGTTCCACAGTATGACATTAAACAGCTTTACCCTAAATGTGTGGCCATACCAAGCCTGATCCCATCAGCTCTCAGAAGAAAAGCAATGCCGGGCCTGGGCAGTACTTGGATGGGAAAGCACTGGGAAAATCAGGTGCCAAAGTGGGGCGCCAGTCACAAAAAAAAAAAAAAAAAAAAAAAAAATTGTTGTTGTATTCTTAGGCAAGGCACTTCACCCACATTGCCTAGTGTGAAAGTGGTGTGTGCGCGAGTGATGGTGGTGGTCGGAGGGACCGATGGTGCGGATTGACATGGCAGCTGCGCTTCAGTCAGTCTGCCTCAGGGCAGCTGTGGCTACAATAGGAGTTCACCACCACCGGGTATGGAGTGAATGAATAATGCTCTATAAAGCCTCTTTGTGACAAATGTCTGTGAAAAGCGCTATATAAATAAAAACTTACTTACTTACCTTACATTTATTCAATTACAGGTGGAATTATAGCTAAAAAATCTAAAACAAATAAAAAAAATAGGCATTCTGAGTATGAGCTCTCCAGTATCACAAGAGCACATTCTGTTTGAGAGAAGAACTCAGGCTAAATATGCAAGATTTGTGTGTGAATAAAACAAATGACAACTCCAAATATGTTTGTGATGCTAGACACAACATTGTAGCATAGACCAGAAAATATTGTAATATGGGTCCTGTTAAGTGGAATAATGAAAATAGCAGTATAGGACAGACATAAACGTTACCACTTGATAAATCAGGTAAAGGTGCATGATGTAACTTTTTTGCTGGAGGGCAGAAACTGGATGTTACATGTATTAGATTTTTTTTAACACATTTTATTTAAAAATGCACCTTTCTGGGCACTCAAGGACACATCAACAAACATCAAACAATACAGGACAAGTTATAAAACACTGGTGCTTTAATGGGGTTAGGCCAATTTAAATAATTGTAGTTAATATGATTAACTGAGATTCAGAAGCTGGACCACGCCTTCTCTCAAGTCAACCACAGCTTATCTCAACCACGCCTTCAATTACCCAGAAGCCCTATTTATAGGACCATCCCAACATCACTGCTGTGTCAGCTCTCTCGACCCCCTCTCTCCCACCCCATGTCTCTTTTCCATCCTCCTATCCTCAGACATCATTTTTAAGGGGGGGGCTCCCTGAGCTCCCACCCAAAGTCTCCCTCCAGCCATCACATCTATCCACCATCAATAAATATCTTATTGTATTCCATTTGAATGTTGGAGGTGAATCAAGGTTACGAAGGTTGGGTTGGAATAAATTCCAGAGCTGGTTAGAGGGGGCAGAGGGGACAGAGAGCTGCAGAGAGGAGAAAAAAGGAGGAGCAGACAAAGCAGGAGTGTGTGGTAATATGGAGGAGATCAGGCATACTGTAGGTGGGGGCCAGAACATGAATAGATTTAGGGGTGAGTAATAGAATCTTGAACTGAATTCGGAACTGACCCAGAAGCCTGTGGAGCTGCTGAAGAACTGGATTGAAGTGGTTAATGCAGGATGTTCTGGTTATTAAACTGGCAATTATATTCTTACATAAATTACTTTTGGCTGATTTTTGGCTCATTCGTTTTTTGCAGGTAGCTAGTAGTAGATAGCTGTAAATGTATTTTTGCTCCCATCAATTATAAAAACTGTGTAATCAAAAAGATATAGGTGTCTCTCCTGTTTTTCTAAATCTGATGTAAAGCCACTATTTCTGACTAATGATATCTCTTCTTGCAAGTCAACAAATCATAATAGTGATTTCATATATAACATGTTTAAAAAGCCTTACATAAGTTCAGTCTTTAGACATGGCCCTGGTTGACATCTGGGAATTTTTATTTCAGTGGTGGGTAGCCTTACAACCTGAGATATGAGCATGTCTAAACTGCGGTCGGATGTATTCAAGCTGCAAAGACAATTTAGGTCACTGGGGGAAAGGTCACAGTGTATCAGTTTTGGGATTTTCAGTGACTAACTTGAACATTATAACATTATTAAAAGGTCCTGGAGTTTGTTTCATTCACACATGTTTGAGTAACTACATCTCTCAGCTCAAAATTCTCTGTTCCACCGTGTGATGTCATGTAGTGGTAGTTAAGAGCCACCTTCCAGGGCTCAAATCATCCAAATGATTCTAGTGAACGTGTGTGGAGTTTAAAAACACAGTGGAGCACTTCCTGTATTACAACATGACATCACAAGGTGGTACAATGGGTTTTCTGTTTAAGAGAAGAACACAGCTATGCACAGTTTGTGTGTTAAACATGTGTGAATAAAACAAAACACAACTACAGGTAGGATTGGAGTTGTGATCAAAAAATCAATAATTGCGATCTCTATTTAGAACATCTCGATGATAAGGCAAGCACATTTTAATCAGCAGGTCTACAGCCAATCATGTGGTTGTAAGAGCACATGGTGCTGGCAATTATTTATGCTCTTATGTTTAGGAAAAGTAGCATGAGCCATGGAGTGTTTCTTTACGTCTACGCACATGTTCACAAGTTTTGACTTAAATCTGCAATCTTACTAAAAAGTCCAGTCTCTTTACCTCTGCCTGTGTGTGTGCGCGGTGCCATTTGCTTCGCTTTCCCTGCCCTCTCTGATCCAGACTCCTCACCTTTTCTCCTCAGTTTCTCTCCTCTTGTACTTCTTTTCATTATAGTCCAAGTTACAGAAAGTAAATGACTATTTTCTCACCGTTTATGGGCTCAGCTTAAGTCCTCATTTAGCACACAGACATCACAAGTGTTTCTGTTGATAGTGGTAGTGTGCGCGTTCACATGTGTCTGCCAGCAACAGTAACAGTAATACAAACTGAATGAGTACAAACTCATTACAAATTTTACATGTGGATTTCTCCGTAATCAGCTAGCAACTATCAACACAAAATAGTAGTGATACTGAGAATGGTCTTTATGCCTCCAGGTATGTTTGTGATGAAGAAACAACATTATAACACAGATCAGAAAATAACATAATATGCCGCATTAATATTACAAGGTGCAAAATAAAGTTTTACAAATGTGACAGCTATTGATGAAAAAAAAAAATAATAATAATATATATTTTATAGCCTAATGCAATCAATCATCTTCTGTATCTATGACCAACTTAATGTTATAATTGCTTGCATGGCTTTGTGATTAAACTGTTGTAAACTGTTGTAGAAGAAAAGAATACCTTTGAGCCCGTGTTACACAAATTTAAAGCTTATGTGAGGTACAAGGTCCAAATATTAAGGTACTCTTCCAACAGAACTCATTGACAGAAATGAGATTCACACAAGAAACAACATTACACAACATCAAATCTGATACAGTTTGTGTATATGTTTAACTTAATGATGAGGTCAACATATATCCAGAAAATCTGAATTTAATTATTAATTAAAAACTGAAGAAATAATGCGCATGTAACACAAAATTCTAATACTGGCCTCTGATAATATCGCTTTTTAAAACTAAAGTTTGAAAGTGTAACTATGTAACTTTTCTGGAGGAGGGTCTGCCACCGGCTTTCCTTTATGGAGACGTTAATCTTTGTCTTGAATGTTCCACAGTTTGCCATTAAACTTATCTATATGCATGGAGACATTTCTTGTGATGTTACCAGTCTGTAAGAATGCATGTCTTTCTAGGTATTTTTGAACAACAAAAACACCTGCAACTGAGTAAAGACTAGACTGATATATTGAATACTGTACTGTGAAAAAGCAAAGCAAAAGCAATAACATCTCCATGGAGACAAGCAGGTAGTGTACTCAGTTATAACAGTTACAATTTTCTCAACATTTTCCTTACAGAAGCACTGTGTAACTGTTCGCATTAGTCAATGTCATCACTGTCTGCATGAATATCTGATAACGTCTACCTCCTCATTTAAGATATTTAAGATATACCCCTCACTGACCACACCAAGGAAAAAACAAACAAATAGATTTTGGGAAAAGGCTTTTTGTTATAGAGCCTCTGACAATTGGAATAATCTCCCTACATCATGAAAATCTATTAAAATGCTTGACTCCTTTAAAACCTCCTTAATCACAGATCTTATGATACCATGTGCTCGTATCAAATGGAACAGCTGTCTCCTTGCTGTTACTTAAACCTCTCTCACTGTTGTCTTACTCAACTTGGAGAGTGCAGCATTGGGTGAGTTGTGATTTGTCCTTTGTGACAAATCCATTGTCATTCTGCTGTAATATATATGTTTCTTGTTTAAGCAAAGGATTAAAAGGACACCCCATAAAATTGCAGTTTTCTAAGATTCTAGTGTCTTAATTACTTACATCTTCTTGAAACTGTGCAAAGGTTTTTCTGATACCATCCTTGAGAAAAATCACGGCCTCTCGGTCTGGCACCCGCTCCACTGTGCTCAGCAGGAGCTCTGGGATAGTTGCATGTAAAAGAGAAACACTTGACGTCCCGTGGGCATAACTGGTCGTTAGGGTTGGAATGAGGGGTGGGCTGTCAACGTGAATGCATCTATCAGAGAGAGACAGAAGTTCAAATTATTTATTTATTAATTATTTGGCACAGTGCATATTAAGTGTAATTGTAGTTTAAATATGCCTGATTATAGCATTATAGCTGTTGTCCCTAGGCAGGCGACAGAGAAAATAGTACAAAATGCAAAACAATTATAAACAGACATAACACAGAGTAAAAGGCCAGATAAAAATGTTCACAGACTTGGTTTTCCGTCATCCACAATTGTACCTTAAATTGTTTGAATGTTTTAAATAGACTGAATGTAGACAGAGATGGACTTTCACTTGACCAAATGTGTTGCATCTGTAAAAATGTCTCAATCCTAGCTTTTATAGTTCCTTGAAAAAAATGTGCTGTACAGCTATACTCCTTTGAATAGAAACGGGTTTGGCAGGACTACCGGGTACTTGAAATCATTATGTACAGTCATGGCAGCAAGTTACACTTTCCACAGTATAATTCAATGGACTATGCACATTGGCCACACATGCATTGACACATAGCCAACACAAACTACAATCTTACCACAATTACATCACATTGTGTTTACATTAAATGCTTAGTAGGTGAAAAGTCATTTTTATTTAACTTTAAAAAAGACAAAAGAATGTATGTAGTCAGCTGAAATGAACAGCCCACATTCCACTTTCTGTACTCAGGGGGTGATGGGGTGAAGAAGAGAGAACTATTTTTGCAAACAATTTAGACTATATTTAAAGATTCTATATTGCGAAAAACAGAAACTTGTGAGCTTTAAACCATGTTGTTACCTCCTAAAAAACATAAATGAGTTTGTGTTTTGTTTCATTCATACATGTTTGAGTAATCCTTTATTAATAGTCTCAAAATCACAAGGTGGTACAGAGTGTTTTCTGTTTGAGAGAGGAACTCAGCTTAAACATACAGTTTAGTGTCTTAAACATGTGTGAAAGAAACAAAACACAACTCCGGATATGCTTTTGATGAGGAAATAACATTATATATATATATAACATAGATCAGAAAACAATAATATGGGCCCTTTAATGCAACGTTTCGTCTTTATTCATTGCTTATATTTGTGATACATATGGAAAACAGATGCAGAGTCCTCAAATGGCCCCAGAAGAAACCCTGGGATCTCTTTGTCTCCACCAATTTCATTCTCTAAAACAGAAACGCCGGTGCAATGCGCAAACCTGCAAGTTTTGTGCAAGTAGTCTAAAATGTGCAGCGCCTTACACGTGCTACAAATCTTATTGATAGCGAATTTGTCTCACAATCTGGGTATTGATCTACTTTTTGATGTTGCGTAACCACGTTTGATACTCGCTCAGAAAAATGCTACCCTGTTAACTTTCGCTTTTTAAACTAAATCTCATCGTTTCCCCATTGTTGACTCACCGACTCGCTGCAGGAAGCGCGGCGGGATGACGAGTCCACTGCCTCCAGAAGAATTTTAGATTCTTGGAAAGGGGTGAAAGATTGCGAAGAGATTGGGAAGATAGTGCAAATTTAGGCATCATGGTGAATGGAAAGCTGTGGATGAAGAAAACACCGCGCCCAGTCGGAGAACTCTCGGCCGCTTCGCGCGCCTCTGCAGCCTGCAACAAGAAACTGGATTTCGCCGCGGGGAGGGCTCACTACTACGACTGTTGAGGTGCACAACAGCTACTCCCGTCTGGGCTCGGACCTTGATCTATAACAAACAATTTCTTGGCACGCGTTTAAAAGTGCAATCTCTCCTTGAGCCTGAAGGGGGCGTCGTTAAGAAAGAAGCATCTCATTAGGGTTATATCATTGTTTTGCAAAGCCCATTCACATCAGATAAGATTTAATATAGATGTTCATGCACACTGTTGGCCTATGTAATTGAGTTACTTGAGTAACACATTATTTCTGATCTCTTCTTAATAGTATGATTACATTATCTTCTTTATAGTTATTGAGTATTAGCAAAGACTGCCACTCACTGTTAATGAACATATGTGTAAGTATAAATGTGGTTTTAATACAAAAAAGTACACAAGTTCACAAGTAAAACATGTTGATAAATGACATCAGTGTAAATACTTTTTTTTTCTCTTTTAATTGCAATGTTTAGCTTTGTGAAACACATGAAGGTCATAACTGCAGATTTAAAATTTATAATTTTAATTATAATTATTATTAGGCCTAAACTCGAAACAATCATACATACCCTACTAACACAGTCAAATCACAACACCCAACCATTTAGGTTCACAGCCCCAGTCCCTCCTGAGTCTTTATGTCTTGAACAGTTCTTCTTTTAAACTATAGTACCGTCCTTTCTTGTCCATCAGCTCTTGGTGTGTCCCCTCTTCAACAATTTCTCCATTTTCTAAAAAGATGATGTGGTCAGCTTTCTCCACAGTCTTCAGCTGATGGGCGATCACCAGCACGGTCCGCCCCCCAGACCAGATCTCCCCCAGGACCTGAGACAAACATTGTTTCAATGTCATATATTTAGATAAAGATTCAGTTTGGTGCCTGAGAAGATGGTTTGTTTTGCCATAACACTCTTGTCTTCTATCAGTCAAAATTTCACAACTGTTAACTAGGCTACTCATGCCAAAGTACTTTTTTATAACAAAGACTGTCATAATTAAATGAAAATGTTACACATCAAAATGTTCCTGTGAGTTCTTCTATACACTTAATAGAATTTTTTCTCTAGAAGTACTCCATCACCATATAAAAAAAATATTGCTGATCACTCAACCACTAAAATAATCATTAGTCGCAGTCTTACGGACCAGGAAGATTATATTCTACAGTATGTGGGCTTAATGTGATAAATAGAAAATAATTATAAGAAGCTTAAAGTTCACTTCTGGTGGAGGGTCCATCTGGTCCATTACCTTACATTTAGTCAGTAACATGTTTTTATTGAATTAACCCTCCTACACCCCTAGGTACATTTTTGTATATCGTAACTTTTCTGTTTTGCATTCACTTTGTTTTTTTTGCATTACTTTGGCTTTGACTTTGTGTTTTTTTTTCAAGATCACATTAATTGAACAATCTATAATCAAAATACTCACACCCGTAGTCCTTAGGTACATTTTTGACCCTTTGACTTCCATTCAAAATGTCTTTTTTACTGGGATAATTTTGCCAGTGTATTTTTACGTTTTGATTTATTTTTCATTCTGTGGTGTTGAAAACCCTTCAGCATTTTAAGTTTAGAATTTTTTTTTTTTATATTTTTCTTTTTACTGTGTATCTTCCATTGAAAGGTTATATCAATAGAAAGACATTTGTACATATTAGTCCACACTGAAGGCCAGAGACAGAGATTTGAGGTGAAAATGGTATGGATGTGTTGTAGACGAGTCCCAGAGTGCACTGAATATGTTTGCTTGGGAGTGTGTGAGAGTTGGTGTGTGCCTGTGTATGTGTGTAAATTTTCAGGTGTATGTACCTGTCATTGTTTATGCCTCTATTGATAAACACTGCAAATGTACTTTTGAAAATTACTCTGTAATTGCAATTTTGTTTCACTTGATACTTGTTTTTCTCCTACTACAGAAGGTACAATGGTGTGAGCTGGGTTAGGATTAGGGTCAGACCTTTTATTAACAGGAAAAACCTGTAAAAATCCATTATTTATCCTACACAGACTGCACCTTCTAAACAAAAACTGTCCAGGATGTTTCAGGAGTGGATCCGTCTTGTAAACTATATATATATGTATATATAGTATTATGGTATTTTTTTTCAATGTAAATTTTTGTCACGAAGGACCACAGATATAACTATTTTACAGGGTTCAAGGGTTAAAAAAACATTATTCCATTATTGTGAGTAGGCAAGCCTCTCCACAGTAATGCCATAGTCATCCAGGCCATATCTGCATGGAGAGAAGCTGGTGATGAACCCTCCATTAGAAAGGTTACACAGTGCACCTTGAAGTAAATTTCTTTGAGAATAGCAGAAAAATTACAAAAATAGAATCATATAAATAGTGGCATGTACTAAAATAAATGCTGTATTAGTAAGTTGTGTTATAAATAATACATGTACCAAATTAATCCATTTTAATTCCTTGATAAACAACAGATGTTGTTAAATTTAATATTTGAGCATAAGGCAATAGCCAGATCTCTGTGTACTAAAGTCACTGATTATTGGCTTTATTCAAACAAGCTTCACCCTTCACATATTAGGCAATGAGCACACACAAACTCTAACATTGAGTTATTAAATACATTATGTAACTAAGAGCCAGGTTAATGTTAAAATCCTATTTGTATTAAACTCACAGCGTGTTGTGCGCGGATGTCCAGTTTGCTGGTGGCTTCATCCAGAATAATGACCCGTGGATCTCGGACCAAAGCTCTGAGGATGGCAACGCTCTGCTTCAGCCCCTCTGACAGTTTGCCCCCAGACTCACCCACATCTGAGAAGACAGTCACAGGAATATTTTACCTTTTATATTTAAAGGTCCCATATTTCACAAAATTGACTCTTGTGACCTTTAAGCCATGTTAAAATGCAGTTGCCACATCAAAAACATGTTTGAGTAACTCTTTATTATTAAGTCTGTCTACAACTTAAAAGCTCAAAATGCTCTGCTCCAACTTGTGATGTCATGAAGCTGTTGTTTTCAAGTTAACGGCTACCTTTTACCTTTAGTTCAGTAGAGACTGGTACTTCCAGGGCTGAAACACAGCACTTTATTTGCAAATTGTAAATGAAAATGGTGCATTGACCAAACATGTGTGGGTGTGAGTGGGGCGTGAATCAAGGTGTATGTGGGGGTAGTTTTTATTCAAAGATAAGTTAAGTTTTCTCTCTCTCTTAAGTAATTTGTTCAGAAGGCATTTTAATTTTTTACCTGTGTCATATCCATCATCCAGATCTGAGAAAAAAGACTCTGCATTGATCTTTCTTGCAGTTTCTTGGACTTTCTCAATGTTGCTCTCCTTAAGTCCGTACTCAATGTTGTACTTCAGAGAGCCACAAAACAGCACTGGATTCTGGGACACAACTGCCATCTTAAAATATAGATAGTTAGGTTAGATGACATGTCAAATAGACTTTTATGAACTTTGAACCCTGTTATAACTCAATAGTTTACTCAATTGTATAGTTGTATTTTGATTGAGTCATGCATCTTGGAGTAATCTTGTGTGTGATTGCTCAGTGTCTTTGCTTTTTTTTAAATTAAAAAAAAAAAATCAGACTCTGTCATAAGTATAGGGTTCAGAAATACAACAGAGCTAATCTGCTGCATGCAACAGTGAAATTTTACAAGAAAATGTAAAATTGTAAAGTAGTAAATGTATATACATCTATGCTCTACCTTGTTATGGAGATATTTCAGTTCATATTTATGCAGTGGTTGTCCGTCAAGCAGGATCTGTCCCTGTTGTGGTTCATAAAGTCTCTTTAAAAGACTGACACATGTTGTTTTTCCGCTCCCAGATGGACCCACTAGAGCTGTCATCTGTCCTGGACGCAGCTCCATGGAAACAGACTACAGAGATAAACATTACAAATATTTTACTTCTTGAATTGAGAGTAACAAAACTATGTATAATTTGTATCGCACTTAGAAGGATGGGGCGTGAGGATGTATAAACTTTTCAAACTTTTCTTGTATAAAGGGACTGTAGCAAATCTGTTTTCATAGGTATCAACCACTGTCACCTCTGTCTAAAGCCAAAGCAAAGCAACACATGCAGCTGAACAGGAAAAACTGGTTAGCAGCACTCGCTCATCTCACAGAAAGGTCTTACTGATTATATCTACATCTCATTTGTATTTTAATACAAACAACAAAACACACATTATTATAAACTTCTCAGTTTCTGTTTCACAAGTTCAATTCAAATCAGTTATACATTATTATGTATAACTGTATAACTGTATGTATGTATTATTTTGACAGCTTTTATGCCAGATACTCAAAGAGTGCGCTGTGTAACTTTTCTGGTGAAAGTGTTGTGGAAAAAATTATATATTATATTACAGCAGATATGGACAGGGCCTAGGCCTGTTCCGGCCAAAGCCAAAACAGCCTCTCACCCCCAGCAGTATCTCACATGTCTCCCATGTCTGCCCCCATCTCTCATGTCTCTCCCCATGTCCCTCCCAGAGCATCTGAGCTTTCAGTATTTATACAGAAATACAAGTTACATACATATCAATGCAGAGTGACTTTGGTTTCAGAGGCTGGTGCTAAATTAACATACAGTTGATGATAACAAAAGGCTTCCTGAAGGCGGAGACAGTTGTGCCTGATGAACCTTTACACATGTTAATGACTGGTCTGGGTTTCAGGTAGAAATGACATTAATTTACACAAGACAGATTGAGAGAAATCTTTCCACAATCTAAATTTCTATCACAAGGGTCTGCCACCTGCTTGTCTCCATGGGGATGATATTGTTTTGCCCGCATTAAACGCATCCATCTTGCATTTCCTCAATAACTTGTTTTTATTGACCTAAAAACTTGCATTTTTAATGTGAGTGGGCCCGCCTCGTCACACAACGCACTGTGGCGTCACCTGCTGTCTCCGTAGAGATAAATAAGTGTAATGCCATACTGTGGAAAATTCCAGGAAATATCTCAGTGGAGAAAAGCAGGCGACTGATACTCCACCAGAAAAGTTACACAGTGTACCTTTCTCTTGCCCTCTCTTTGGTTGAGGTTTGAAGTGCCTACCCTCCACATAACAATTAAATAAGGAAAAAACAATTATAAATCAACTTTCTGAAACCACTGAGTTACCTTGAGTGCAGTCGGTGCTGTTTTTTCCGATGATGCTGAGGGGTAAGTGAAGGAGACATTTTCAAACACAATTCTTCCCTCCAGTTTCTCAGGAGCCAAGTCTCCTGCTGTTTGACACTTTGGTTTTCGGTCAAGGTAACTGAACACTGTAGATATGACCCCAACAGTGCTCTTTGTATCTCCATAACCGTACATGATCTCCTGTGGGAAGATGCAATTATTTATAAATATACCATTAATATAATCAAACATAGAGGAGTGTATCTCAATGTGTGGAAAGGTCATGAGCTGTGGTATAAAGATATTTTAAAATATGTGCAGAGTTTGGGGATTTTTAGTCATTTTTAGTCAGTCTTTAGTAAGGGCACTTGAGGTATAGTCAGTATAATCAAAGGCAGTTTTATTATCAGTGTTTTGTTTCTTTATCTGGAGCTTGCATTTGAGGTTTCGAACATGTGTCTAGAGTTAGATTAGTCGCAATTTGAGGTCATTACTTAATACTAATTCACATAAGTTTAATACAAATTAGTACACTGTATTATTTGTTTGGTCTTTGATTAACAGTGCACTGTCTAACTTTTCTGGTGGAGGGTCAGCCACCTGCTGTTCTTCAAGGTGATCTTATGGCTTTGCTTATAATGTTCCACAGTATGGCATTAAACTAACCTATTTAGCATTTCTTAAATTATATGTTTCTCTTGCATATTTTTTCTTTTTTCTCAGATCACTTCACCACAAATTTGACCAGTAATTCGGTGGCATACCCTACTCCAGAAATAGTTAGGTTGCGAATTGAGTGTGGTAAACAGTACTTGTGTGAAAGTGTATTATTTTAGATATAAGAAGGTATTTTAGGACTATTTAAAAATGAAAATTATTTGTCTTACCCTCAAATTGTATGACATTGGCTTTTGATACAGCAGAAAAGTGACCAAATTACCAATGCTGAGCTGATCAGACAATATAAGTCTCCTTGCCAACACAAAAAAAAGGATCCTTATCACAAAACTGACCATCTAAGAGAGGGAAACACAAAGACATTAAAATAATAAAAACATAAACTATTATAAACATTGCAAAGCTAAACCTATACTTACCCTTCTGATGAAAGTAAAGGCTGAACTGTAGATACCATACTGTCTTTTCACTATACGGAGCTGCTCTAGGGCGGCGTTGTACCTCTTTATTTCTACATTTTCAGCGTTATAACTCCGAACAGTCTCAATGCCACTCACTGTCTGCAGAACCAACTCACTGATCTGTGCCTGGTGAGACTGAATCTGCTCCTTCAGCTCCTGGTGACAGATATACACAAATTAAAGTAGAGAAGCAACTGCAGAAAAAAGATGAAATAAAAAATTTAAACAGCATTGTAATACAGCAATTTAAATGAAATCGGCAACGCAATGACACAATCTAGATGTTATCAGGTTATCATGTTTTTAAGTTAAGATAAAGGAACCCTTAACTGTCTAATGATAAGATATACTTTTGGGTTGAGCAACATAAACTACAACCAAACATACCTCCTTCTTTCTAAGTGATACATTTATGTGTAAAACTACACACAACAATTTTATACAATATTAAGTGTAAGGTGGTTTAAACAGTATAAGCATAAACTGAAATATTCTAATGTTATTGTTATAGCTTTAGCATTGCCATTTCAATTATATTTTATATATTCAATAATAACAATAACATAATATAAGACATCTCACCGTGGACAGTGTGGTGTATTTGTCCTGAACTAGGCCTAAAAGGGGCATCTCTAAAACAGTAAGGACAGTGAGCTCCCAGGATAGTCGAACCATGACCGCCAACATCAGGCAGGTTTTAACTGTGCTCCGCACCAAAGCATTTGCATTCAAGGCCACAGTGCGCCCCATCCGGTCCACATCCGAATGCAGCCGAGAAGACAGTTTGCCTATAGGACAAAAACAGGATGAAAACCTTCACAAATGAATAAAATTGTACTACTGGCCTGTACAATGCCTGAAACCTATCAATAAACAACTATTAACCAATTAATTGACTTTTTTTTTTTTCAGAAACAATGCAACAATGATGAGAGCTTTTTCTTCTTTTTCCCCTGACAGAATCTACTTTGTTTATTTGAGATTTGATTGTATTATTTGAGACAAGACATAAGGTAGTGAGTATTCTTTAAATCTCAAGTGTAAAGGCTAAACATGCACAAATAGATAGTCATCTGTCAATGCTTGTTTGTTGAAGGTTAATACAGTGTCTTTATTAATGACATATAATGTAGCATTATATTCATCCATCCATTTTTCTTCCACTTATCCAGTCTAAACAGGGACTCCCAGACTTTTTCACCCCAGATACATGCTCCTCCGGGGTAACACGAGGCGTTCCCAGGCCAGCCGAGAGACATAGTCCCTCCAGCGTGTCCTGGGTCTTCCCCAGGGCCTCCTTCCGGTGGGACATGCCCGGAACACCTCCCGAGGGAGGCGCCCAGGAGGCATCCAGAACAGATGCCCAAGCGACCTCAACTGGCTCCTCTTGACGTGGAGGAGCAGCGGCTCTACTCCGAGCTCCTCCCGTGTGACTGAGCTCCTCACCCTATCTCTAAGGGAGCGCCCAGTCACCCTGCGGAGGAAACTCATTTCGAGCGCTTGTATCCACGATCTCGTCCTTTCGGTCATTACATTGCAGTATATTCAGAGTACAATATTTTGTGACATTTACCAGGGTTGTTCTCTTCAAAGAACTGTATTTCTTGCTGTAGAAGTCTGTGGAACAGGAGGTGCTTAAGTCTCCTGTTCAGTCTCGCCAAGCTGAACATGAACAACCCTCCTCTGGCCCCGGAAAACATGGCACTGGGCAAAAAGTCAAAATAACATTTATTTTAAAAAATATAATCATTGAAGAAGAACATAAGAGAATAATATTTTTTAAAATGTTTGGGTGATTTACCTGCCAAAAGAGACAACTGCCAGCTTCGCAATGGCATAGCCTAAATCATTTTCAACCATTGAGACTTGGAGCATGTCTATGACTTCCCCCTGGTACAGAGGAATGAATGTATCACCTGCAAAGACATTGAAATATATATATATATGTAAGAAAAAAACATACACAAATCAAATACAAAGAATTTAAACATTTAAACAAGCAGCAGCACCTTAGCTTCCCAAAACAAAAGCACCCACCTATACTATCTTTATTGAAGTGTGATACTGTTATCCCTCCTCTGTAGTATATGAATTTTTTTTAAATTTCATTGTATGTCTTGTTTGTAAGATAAAAACCTTGAATGTTTAACAAGGCTGTTTTATAAGACGTATTGCTAATTTTTGACCAAAATGTACTGCCTGCTGCAACTACATTTCTACTACAAAAGCTACATAAAGACGTTTATGTTTTAAGATAAAGCTTCGTGTTTCTACAATACATCTTATTATGAGAATGGTGAATAAGCAATTTCTAATAGGAATAAGTCATATATCATGATTTATGTATGCATAAATGTCCCATATTACACTATTTTCTGATCTATGTTGCTTCATCATCACAAACATACCTGGAGTTGTGTTTTGTTTAATTCAGACATGTTTCACACGTAAATCCTGCATAATCAGTTCTCTTCCACCTTGTGATGTCATGTGGTTATAAAGGAATGACTCCACTGTTGCTGACGATTTCAGGCAATCTCTATTGAACTAAAGGTAAAAAGTATACCAACTTGAAAACTACCACTACATGACATCGCAAGGTGGAACAGAGCATTTTGAGCTTTGGAGATGCAGACTGAATCATAATAAAGGATTAGACAAACACGTGTGAAAGAAACAAAACTACAGGTGTGTTTTTGATGAGGAATCAACATTCTAACATGGATAAAGGCTCAGTTTTGTTTAACATAGGACCTTTAATCAAACTGAATCTTATACTCACAGATTACAGCCACAATGAGTGCACTAAAGGCTGTGATGAGATAAAACACATCTGGTTTGAAGAACTGCAGCAGCCTCTTAAACAGCTGTCCTGCTCCGTGAATTTTAGGCTTTCTTTTGGCAGGTTCTATGCGGAGTCCTTTCTCCCAGATAATACAGACCAGCAGGGAGGCCAGGGCACTCAGGGGGACTTGTGTGAGGTCAGGTGGCGGTCCCAAATACGGGCGATCAGGTTTAGACAAAAGCATTCGTCCACTTTCAAAAACTGGACAGAGGAGGCAGAGGAGACACACCAGCTTGTGCAGTACGGGCTCTGGCTTCCCACGATCCGACAATAAAGTTGATAAATGATACAAACTTATGTACTTGACTACTCCAAGAACACACAGTCCCATCAGTCCTCCACAATTTGGGCACTGTAGCAGGAGTAAAGTTATCCAATATGCCCACCCCAAAACTAAATCCAAAAGAAGGACGAATATTGCACATGAGGTAAAACCCTTCATCATTGCGCTCGATAATCCCACTGTAACAAAACAAGTAAAGTAAAAATGACTAAGATTACGTTGTTCCTCGTTTTCAGTATGTGCTCACGCCTTTAGTCCATGTTCAGTAGTTCATATGTTTTGTTTTTAGCTTGGTAAGTATCCATATCAAGCTAGCTACTTCAGTCCCCAGTTCACCTTAATAAAACAATCTAAAATAACAAGTCGAATGCAGGAAATCCTCCTTGTGATCAAAATCCAAGCTCTATCCTTTCGACTTAGATTTTTAGGAAACGTATTGAATGTGTGCGCCGTTTTCCTAGCTTTTACTTCGCACGTACTTTCAGTTTCACTTTCTTTTAAGAAGTGTAATAACCGTAAAGTCCACTAGATGGCGACAAATCATATGTTTTTGTTTACAGGCCAAGTTTCACCAGTAGGGTCAAGGAGGGCATTGTACTTTTTCTGATAGAGCAGGGGTGTCAAACTCATTTTGGTCCGGGAGCCGTACCCAACCTACTTTGATCCCAAAGGGGCCGGATCAGAAAACACATGTCATATAAACCCCAAAAATAAAAATAAATTCAAATATTTGTGCAGAGAAACACAAATCTATTACAGAAATCTTTTTTAATTGATGAACTCTTTCTTTTACAAAATATTATAATATTATGAACAACCTGAAACTTTAAGAAAAATGCTATTTCAACACAATGTTTTAACATGAACATGTATGTAAATAGGAATAAGTCAATTTTTCTTGGAAAATCCTGCACTTGGCTCCACTTTTCTCATTTTGGACATTTTTCTGATGAGGGTGTCACGGTCAACAGTCAAAACGATCGTCCTTTAAGAGCGTTTGGAAAGAGACAAGTCTTCATTTGTGCTGCTCTGGTAGGAGGGGCCACATACAGAGACGCTGGAGACCAAATTACCAATATTTTAATAGAAAATATAATTGAAATATTTTAGTAGAAAATCAGCCGAGGGCCAGATTAAAGGTCTTGGAGGGCCGGATCTGGCTCCTGGGCCGCATGTTTGAAACCTGTGTGATAGAGGGTCTGCTAACTCCATGGTCAGTGGCACGTGAAAATATTAAAACCTATTCTTTCTGACACTGGGTACGCACTGGACCCAGACGAGCACTAAATGTCTCATTTTTTCCCTCCCATCCCAGCATGCACAAGACAGCACTTAAATGTGATACTTAACCGATTTCTTCTCCTGGTGTCACCCAAACACCAGTCCAGCTTTAAACAAATACATCTTCTATTTGTTAAATTACAGGTGTTTTTATTTCTCAAAACTACAGCAAACGCATGCATACTCGGAGCAGGTCCACTTCTCCAGAGATCTGATCTGTAACTTGGGCTGGTGTTGTGACCTGCTTGCCTCCATAAATTAAATGGCAAACTGCAAACATTTTAAGAGAAAACAATAACATCTACATGGAGTCAAGCAGATAGATCCTCTACCAAAAAGTTATACAATACATCTTTAAGGAATAAGGTCTATTTTTGCACTTATTAAAAAATAACAACTATTACAGTTAAAAGTTTGTATTTATTGTCCCTGATTATGACAAATAAATATTTAATAGTTTGGCCCAAAAATTACTTCAATTTCAAACTTGTTCAGTGCTTTACAGTCATGTGTCAATTCAGGCAATCAGGCCATTCTCATTTATAATATGGAAAACAGTTTGAAGTCATTTAGATTAACAGAATATTTTTGAAATATATATTGTCACACAAAGAGTGGCACATTTAGTCAATAAAATGGCTGTAACATTTTCTATGCATTTCTACCACAAAGTAAATATCCTCGCTCTGGATATTTATACAGTCAGTAAAAAAAGTTACTGATCATTTAAATATGTTAAGACAAGATGGAGAACATGTAAAATGACCAGCTTATATCTTCAGTCTGTCTGGAAGGGCTTGATTGTACTGTACTAAACATATGTATTGTACAAAACAGCAATCATTTTTAAAGGCACTATTCATCTGAGCAAAAAATGCACAAAAAGCATCATAACTTCACACTTCTCTTACAGTCCATGAATAACATTTTCATTTTGCCATCTCCTATCTAGCACCATTTTAGAAGTAGTTAAACTAAATCTGAATGGTGTATTCTCTAAGATGTCTTCAGTCAACAAACAGACTACCACAAAGTTAATGGCAATTCTGAATTACAGACAGAGTAGTTATAATAATGTGCTTACAAATATAACAATGTGTATTACTTGGTTTTGTACAAGATTCAGTGACAGCAGCAAGATAAAATACAATCAGTGTGGTTCTATAAGTGCACCTCTGGTTTTGGTATCGACCAAACAGTAAAGATGGTGATATATTTTTTAAATGGTGTACCTGATTCAAAGTTCAGAGGTCAGAGAAAACATTGTGCTCCACCTCATATAAAAGTAAACTTTGTGGTTCTAAATTTGGATTTTGAACATGAGACCACTTCAGTCGGGGCAGTGTGACCCAGAGCGTAGTGTTGTGTAGTGTAATGCTTGTTATTTTTGTGGCAATGTCCCTCCGAAGAACCTGTCAGCTTGTTACCAGTAAATATTATGTTTATTTGTGTCTTCTTTAAAGGCGCATTGTGCAACTTTTCTGTTGGAGGGTTTCTCACTTGCTTGTCTCCATGGAGATGTTATTGCTTTGCCTGGAATGCTCCATGGTATGACACTGAACACTTCTATCTAGCATTTATGAATTACAGGTGTTTCTATTGCTCAAAAATACAATAATTCTCTCTGTGATTAGGGTTACCTCTCCACAAATCTGACCTGTAATGTAGTCAGTAGTTGTCTCCCTTGAGATAGATAGCTTTAATTTCTACCATGGAACATTCTAGACAAAGCACTAACATCTCCACAAAGACATGCAGATGACGGACCATCCACCAGAAAAGTTGCACAGTGCACCTTTAAAGGTGTAAAGTTCTGGGGATATTTTTTTACATCAACCATATAAGTGGATTTTTTTGGTTTTTGATCCACAGATTACTTTTTAAATCCACAGATAAATAATTGAGTTTTTCCATTAATAAACGTTTAAATATACTGCAGTTTTGTAATAACAAGCAGACAAATTATTGACTGAGATGAGCCCTGAAAGATGTTGGCAGCAACTGATGGGCCAACTCAGTTTCGATGACTTTCCTTAACAAACATCAAATCATACTGCAGCTAATACGGACCAGGCTTTTCTTTAGGGAGGGCAAAAGTGACTGGTTCTTTACAGGGACAGTCTGTATTTGTAATCAATATAAATTCAATCTCACTTAAGGCTTAGGCGATATGGCAGTTGAAATCAGATGACAATCTGTCTTCTAAGACTTCATACTTCAGTGTGATTGGTTGATCCTCCTGTCATTCACGTAGACCAAGAGCTGCGGGATTTGGGAAAAATATCAATTTGTTGTTTTTTTTTCGGTCAAGCATTAGGATTGTGATAAGACTTGCAATTTGTTTTAATAATAGAATTCTGTTCAAAGTTCACATTTCACATTCAGGAAAACTGACAAAATGACTGATATGTGAACTAACACAATAATACAAGGGTCACAATTCAGAACATATTTATACAGATCTAAACTGTCTTAGCAGATTTATGAAGAATAAAACTGATTTTTTTTGTTACTTTGTTGTTTGTTAAGGAAATTATAGTACTTGCAGCCTTTATGATTTACTAAATGCATCCATTCAAATTGTAATTTTGATTAATCACTATAATTCACTATAAATGTTGTAGCCCTACTCAGAGTATAACAGTGGTTGACCAAATGGGGGAGAGGGTGGTAGAGTAGAGGTATTTGTGTTTGATTACAGAGCTGCACTGAACAGAGAAGTACAAAATCAATAATCAGGAGATCACAGTTTCATAAATAATACAGTATATAGATTTTATATTGCCATATCGCCTACCCTTTGACTACTCCAATAATCACTCATTCAAACATCAGTCACATGGTCTGCCCCATTGGCTGAAGCCTTAATCTGGTCTTCCTCTTTGGGCTCATCTCTGTATGGACACACAACCATTTCATCAGTGTAAGTGGCTGGATCGGGCAGTGAAGGCTGTTTTTTCTCCCTTTTGTCCAGGTAGTAAAATGATGCCATGAGAAAAACGGCAGAAGAGGCAACAACGGCGCTGCAGGCATAGAATACGGGGGAGTACTGGCCTGACCTGTCCACCAAAATCCCTGCAACAACAAACAGAAGCAAAATAATCAATATTTCTCACAGCTCCAGTGAAGCAGGAAGTCACATGTCCATGCCTCAAGTAAGTGTGGTTGGTTAGTGTAAACAAAAGAAGCAGAAAAACATGTAATTCAGTACTGCAAAATCCATTTGTACAGCACAACCTCTTTACTATTGTAATGGCTATTGAAATACTATATTGAACAATTGCTCAAACTGGACTCTTAAAACAAACAAAGTGCTAGGCTTATCTAAATAGGTAAAGGCGATATAAAACCAGCAGAATCAACATGACTAAGCTCAATGAATACAGTTTTGAATTAATACCGTAAAGTTGATACACAAGGAGATGGGGCAACGGTGTCTCAGTTGTTAAAACAGTGGTCCCCCAACCCCATGATCGGACCAAGTTCTGTCATTGTGTCCCTAAACAAGACACTTCACCCACATTTACCTAGTATGAAAGGGGAGTGTGTGCGAATGATTGGTGGTTGTAGAGGTCAATGACACAGACTGGTCAGTCTGCACCAGGACAGCTGTGGCTACAATACTGAGGAGTGTAGTGTATTGAATGAATGAATAATGACTTCAGTGTAGTGCTTTGAGAGGCTTCCACAAGTATAAGACTTCATTATTATTTAATTAAAACATAAAAGTTGAGTAAAGTCATTAAATAAAAAGAAATATGACATGTAGGCTTTTAAATGTATATAAGTTATTAACAGATAGATGTAGGAGGACAGCACAGCACTATCCATGTTAAAACTAATTTGTGTTTAGTGTTTTAGTATATTCTATTCAATGACATATACTGGGTTTTTGATATAAACTGACAGTAGACATATTAGTGCTAGCTTTGTCATTTATTGTTGCCAATAAATGAGCAGAAACAAAATTGTTCATTTACTGGTCAAATACTGTATATCTCACTCACTACTTGATGATACTAACTAAATAACAAGTCAAATCCTTTCTATGTCGGGGTTCATAATGATATTTCCATCCTTTTTCTTCCGCTTATCAGGGGCCGGGCCGTGGAGGCAGCAGTCTAAGCAAGGACTCCTAGACTTCCTTACCCTGGACACTTCCTCCAGCTTCTCACCCCAAGGCATTTGCAGACCAACTGAGACACAGTCCCTCCAGCGTGTCCTGGGTCCATAATGTTATGGTAATTTGGTGTAGAAAAATATTATTTACCACAATACAGCAGAGGAAAAATTTTATTCTGTCAACTAGATAAACCTTTTTTAATCAAATACGTTTTGCAGCTCATCCAAACTGGTTCTTCAGTTCTGGTCAGATTGCTGGTGGACACTGTCTTATATCTGCCTGAAGGAAAAAGCTAACTACTACACTGAAACTACACTGAAACTAGAGTAGAGTGTCCAGTTGACAGAATTCTCCTTTGCTATGGATCCTACCTGGACGACTAAGGGATTTCACAAACTTCAACACAATAGGTTTCTTTTAAACTATGCTGGTGCACTATGGCCAAGGGATTTAGCAGTAACACCCAAACACCAAAGCTACGCCTCAAAGTAGATTTATTCTGATTTGCTGAAATGTCTCTCCACAATCTTCACCTCCATTTTACACAGTTGTCTGTCCTTTCTAAAGCCTATGAGACAAAACTATTTTAAAATATGCTTCCTTACCCGCCAGTGGAGGTCCGATGAGGAGGGTGACACTCTCCATGATAGCGAGGAGTCCCAGAGCAGAGGGGAACCTGCTCATTTCCACTATATCCATCAGCACAGTGAACATTAAGGACCCCACCAGGCTCATTGACAGCCCATAGATGATCACATAGGACACCAACACAGGAAAAGTTGCTCCAATGCAGCAAATACTATTACTCAGCCCATTCACGAGTAGTGCAGAGGCAAATACGTAAATATGGCGTCCTTTGAACCATGGCATGCTGAAGATTAGCCCAATGGGAGGCCGTATTACAATGTTAACTACACCAAGGATGGAGAGGAGCATTGCAGCTTGACTTGGCTCCATGTCGTGAGCTGTGGCATAGGGAACAAGATATATCAAGGGTACCACAAACCCCAGCATCATCCATGTAATCCCTATTGAGTACACGCAGTATTTTGGGTTGTTGCAAAACTGGTCAAAAGCCATATGTTTTTTGATTGCAGACAACACATAGTTTGATACCGTCTTTAAAAACCCTTTGGTCTTCTTATCATTCCCCTCTTGGGACAAAGATGGCTGATGGTTTATAAGGGGTGGTCCTCTCGGCCTCTGTGGTTTGAGGGGTCTCATCACTGCCCCACATGCGCAGCAGTTGAGCAGAACAGCGCCTAAAATCAGGAAGCTGCCCCTCCAGCCGTACTCAATGTGGAGGTAGTTGCCCAGAAAAGGGAGAACACAGAGGCCCAGAGCAGTGCCCGTGGAGGACATGGCGTTGGCGAAAGCACGACGGCGGACGAAATAGTGTCCCAGGATGGTGACAGCAGGCTGGAAGCTAAAGCAAAACCCCAAACCTGAAAACAGCCAAAGTAAGAGATCAGTAATGTGAATTTTACACTGCAACAGGTACACTGAATGACTTTTAAGGTGGAGGTTCTGCCACCTACTTGTCTCCCTAAAGAAATTATCGCTTTGCCCAGAAAGCCCCACAGTATAACATTAAAACATTACGTCTCCATGGGGACAAGTTATTATTGGTCAGATCTGTGGAGAGCAGGCCCACACAGTAAAAATGCATGTTTTTAAGGCATTTTTGATCAATAGAAACACCAATAATGGGAAAAAAGCTAGATATGTCTAATCACTCACTGTACATACAGGCAAACGATAACTCTCCTTGAAGAAAAGATGGTAAATGGTATGAAGACCCGAAAAGCTTTTGTTTTTCTTGGGAAATTCTAGTTCCCAACCACCAATGAGCACTTTCACTGACTACTTACACACACAAAAAACTTCCATGAATATTTTGGATGTTTTCTTTTTTAGGAAAATGTTTAACTCTATAGTAACTTTATCAAGTTTAGCCAAACCAAATTTCTAAATAAACAAATTGCATCAATGTAAAAAAAAAAAAAAAAAAGCTAAATTACATTCAAAATGACCTACCGCTATCAAGGCACTGGTCCTATTCTTGCAATTATAATTGCCAGACAAGGACTAAAACTAAGATCTAACTCTTATTCAGATGTAAATATATGCTTTTTGATTTAGTAAACAGAACACCTATATTCTATAATAATTGGACTGAAGTAATTTTTTTGTTTTGTTTAGTTTGTAGTTTTATTGGACAGAGATAAATTTAGTATTGACCTTTCCACCTCTCTTCTCTAAACGTTTCCACAGTATTGACACTAGTATGACATTTCCTGACCTGTAATGACCCCTGCGGTGATGTACAGCTCGATGATGGACTGAGTAAATGAACTGGCGGCCATTCCCACTCCGCTCAAGACTCCACCCAACATTATGGTCGCCCGGCAACCCAGCCTCTCCACCAGCACGCTGCAGAACGGCCCTGTGGGTGAAAGGGTAATGCTCTTAGTTAAAAATGTGCCTTAATCCTGGAAGTTTTACAGGACCTCTCTGCAATGACATTTTAATCTAGAACAGGAGGTTAGCAGGTATTTTCCCACCAACTTACCAAAAGCAGTACCTCTACTAATTCATCTTAAATCTTTGGAATGATCAAAATGTGACATAAGCACTGGTAAGGTATTTGAAATTAAGAGTAATAGAAGTAGTTGTTGTGCGAGAAAGAAAGGAAATAAGATCAAAAGTGCTAGAGTCTCAAGTTTAAAGAGTTTGCAGAGTTTGACAGTGACCTATAATGACTCTTTGAGAATATTACTAAAAGTGGTGAGGGTTTGTAGCATCAGTGAAATGTTCTAAACTGTGGTGTGAGATCATATGCTGTGACAGTTACATATTCTATTTATAAATTTATGTGTAGAGTCATGAACTTAAACAATCAGATCATTCAAGCTCTAGTGTGTACTGTGAGGACTCAGATTCACCTCTCAGCTATTGAGACATTGGAGAGCCAGTCTGTATACTTGTACATTATATCATGCCATGTATATTTTATTTTACTACTTATTTTAGAAACTATGAACCAGATATTATGGGTTCTTAATAAAGACTGAGCTGAATTAAGTAGACTATAGACTATAATATTCAAGCAGTGCCAAAGCCATACATCAATCATACGACTAAAGACTTTGAAGGTACTTTCTACTTTTGCTCTTTGCATCAACTTAAATACTTGACGTACACAATTTGAAGTAAAAGACATTTCCTCAACATCTGTGAATAATGGTACTCATTTTATATATTCAGTTTAGTCATTTTCCTTTGAATTTTCCACTAACAGTAGAATAAGTCTGAATCTATTATAACAGTAACTCTTCCTATGAAAGATTACGAATATAAGAGCTTTATTTGAGGTCACCTCATCTTAAATTAAAGAGCAGTGAGTTTGTTGTTGCATTCCTGTTTTGCAAATCTCTGGGAACAGGGAGAGCTCCATATCGTCAGGTGTGAAATATGATCACTGTTTGACCTTTACAGGAAGCACATTTAAATCATATGTTAAATCTTCAACTTAAAGGCGCACTATGTAACTTTTTGGTTTGGGGTCTATCACCTGCTCGTTGCTATGGATATGTCATTGCTTTGCCTGGAATGTTCCACATTAAACTGGTCTACGTTACATTTGATAAATCAGAGGTGGTTTTATAGTCCAAAAATACTAAAACAGGCATTGTGACTGTGAGCAGTGTTGCATGTAACTTGGTCTGGTTTGCCCTCCATGAAGATTTAATATCGTAGTGTGAAAAATGGTGTGAAACTTTCCAAACAAAACAATAACATCTCCATGGAGAAAATTATTTGACAGGCCCTCCATCAGAAAAGATATACCAAACACAATGAGCAAAAACAAAAAGCAAGGCAAGTAAATAAATTAATTTGGCAAAATAGACTTGATCAAATTAATCACCTGTTTTAACAAAGTAGGCAAATTTAAAGGTGCACTGTGCAACTTTTCTGGTGGAGGGTAAATCACGTGCTAGTCCGCATTACTTTGCCTAGAATATTTCACAGCATATTCAAATTTAGCAAACTGGCCTAAAAGATGGCACAACCAGGCCAAGTCACAAGTCAGATCTATGGAAAGACAAGCCCAAGCACAGTACCAGTGCAACCTAAAACCTAACCTAAAACAAATAAATGCAAAAGCTATAGATTTTTAGTGCTATACTGTGGAACATTCGAGGCAAAGCAATAAAATCTGCAGACCCTCTATCTGAAAGGTTACGCAGTGCACCTTTAAGTAAGACAGTGCAAATAGTAAATTCTTGGTGTATTTAGACATTAGACTATACTTTTTAATTGCTCCACCATCTCCTTTAATAATACAGCATCTGTCAATCCAATTATTGAATATATTTTACTGTTGTTAAAATAGGGCTATAATAAATCAGCAGGTGGCCACTCATTCACCTTGGTCCACTGTTGACTTTGCAAAGCCCCTCCTGAGAGACAGATGTTATATAATCCACATCAAACCAGGAAGAAGTGAGTGAGTCATGCAAGAGGGGTTTGGTAAAGTCAACATTGGACTAAGGTGAATGAGCACCATAGAGACTCTAATGCCTTTTCAGTTACCAAGACAAATGCAGACCCGATGAGGTACACTGAAAATTGTAAAATCAACAAGTGGTTTGAGAAACAGCTTTCCTAACCACACTGACAATGTAAAAACTCAACAAGAAGACCACAATCAAAGTGAAGATCACGAATGAAATAGGGCCAAACTTTGTTTAGGATAAAAACAACATTGTGCCTATCAAAGTCAGGATAAACCAGTTCTAATTTCCAGACATCCTGATTTAGTTTTTCCTCAGTTTTGTACATTTCTAACATTTAGTAATGTTTTTGGGGATAATATGTCTGCCAACATATACAGTGAATAAATAGTACTACATTATATTATATTATATCAAAATATCTATATATATTTTTTTTTAGGAACAAGCTGTTTTTTCAACAACGAGACTTTGGATAGGAATGAACAAAAGTATAAAAGTAATTTGCAAGTATCCAAGTAATTCTCTAGGTCAAATCTTCTATATACTGCCTGCTAAGAAACACATGGTAATTTAACACAATTATATTTTGAAAACATAAATAGACAGACAGATAAATCCATAGCTAGATAGATTGACTGATAGATAGATAAATACATAGACAGAGCACATAACTCCAATTCTGGCTTCCTATTAATTTTAGAATTGATTTTAAGACTTGATCTGTTTTTAAGGCTTTGAACAGACATGCCTCACAATACTCTCAGGCCTCATTCAAATTTACCATCCCCTGCGTACTCTGAGGTCCTTAGGGTCCAATTTTAAATCTCGTCTTAAGACCCACTTTTACTCTCTGGCTTTTAACACCACGTAAGTTGTCTGGTCCTCTGTTGTCTTTTATTGTTATTGTTTTATTGTTTTAGATTTTATTTATTTATGTATTTCTATAGATATGTTTTATTTATTATATTTTTACTGTTTTAAATTGTAGACTTTTTATTTATAAAATCTCTATGTGCAGTGTTTTGGAAACAGTCTTTGTTTGTCATAAAATGTGCTGTAGAAATAAAGTGGACTGAATAGATAGACAGACAGACAGAGAGACAGATAGATAGATCGTCTTGTTCGTGTGTTGTCTGTGTGTACATTTGCATGTTTGTGTGATCACATGTAGTAAATTCACATTGTACCTCCTGCGTGCAGCACTGACGTCATGATGGAGGGGACCCAGGACGTTTCGCTGTTGGTTGCATGGAACTCCATTTGCAGGTCAGTGTAAAAGATCCCCACACAGGATGGGAAAGCGAGGGTTAAGGCCAACACCAGGATGGTAGCTGTAAGGACCACCCAACCCCACCCCCCATCAGGAGCCCCATCTCCGGTTACAGCTGCAGTAGCGTGGGGCTGCTGGTGCTCACTTCCTGGTTCTACTTCTCCATGGTTGTTAGCTTCTTGATGCTTGTCAGTGTCCAAGCCGCTGGCACACGCTTCAGTCTGTAGGTAGCGTTCTCGGACCCCACCCACTCCATTTCTTTGGGTCATTTTTAGCTCAACAGTCCTGGTAAAACCCCACCGTTAGCTATGTAGGTTGTGTAATAAATATACTTGGCTTTCCATGACACAGCAGTGGCTTTGGGCACCACAGAGAGGACCTAAAATAAATAAATAAAAGAGTTAAAAATTATGTATTTTACATTCATAAAAAACTGGCATGGTACTGGCATCTTGACTATGCTTCTCCAAACATTTTCACTCATATTTGTACATGCACAAGGCTTCTGTTATTGCACTACCTTTCTTATCCATCCATCATAACCAAAGCAAGTGGAAAAAACTAAATTGATACAGTTTTAAGTTGATGCCTTTGTTCTGCTTATCAGTGCAACTAAGGACAAAGGGTACAACTATCTGGAAAATTCTTTATGAGCTTTTGTGTTGCATTTTTGTATTAAAAGCACTCTATAAATAGAGTTTGATTGATTGATTAAAGTCACACTATGTAACTTTTCTGGAGGGGGCCCTTGCTGAGCTTGTATTGTTTTGCCTGTTATTGTTTGTTTTGTCCACAGTATCACACTAAACTTTATTACCATAGCAATAACATATAGACATAGGCAGAAAATATAGAAAAAAACAACAAACTGAAACAAATTTGTACCACCAACACAATTCATTTATTCATTCTTACCATAGAATTATCCCCAAAAAACTTTTGTAAATGCATAATATGGTTTAACACACAAACTGCAATTCATAAACAAGAGAATGATGCACTTAAGTAATTAGTTTGTATTTATAAAGAGAAGAAGTATGTCTGTATTTATCCAACCCCTCACATCTCAAATCTAATCATAGAGCAGGAAAAATAACAAAAAATTCTTCAATAATACTAAGAAAAAGTCCCCTCGATAAATATTAACCCCCATAAATTATTGTTCCATCTGTCATGTATTGAAGTCGATGAACATCTACTGAGAGAAATTTGAAGCAGATCCAATAGAAAGGTTACACAGTGCAGCTTTAGTCATACTTGGAACAAACTTCCTGTATTGTTTTGGGATATAAGGTATTTGCTGCCCACTCCTTTAGTAATACGTGGATAAAGGAGCCAGTTCCAAATCAACATGGTGTTATCAGCACTGAGCTTATTTAGAGAGGTAGTATTCTGAGAGGCTGGGAATACAACATTCGGACAGGCAATGAATTGGCATAAATTGTAAACTGACTTCTTGTGAAACTATCTCTAAATCAGTTGCAGCTTTTTAGGCTTAGAAAACAACTGTGGAAACAAGAAACCCATTCTATTTATCTGACCTGGCAGAGAGCAGAGCACACTGTCACTTGAGTCAGTCTGGATATTATGACATTATAACATCCTGGATAAATGCAGCCCACTGTGAAATGTACCAAGTGTTTTTTCACAATTTTCTCCTAAATACATAAGAAACAACTTCAACTCACAGCAAGAGATTTAGAGATTACGTTACTGGGAAGTGGAAACACGTCCGCATTATTTTTGCCCAGGGAAGTAGGCTTTATGTCAAGAACGAGCATTGTAGTTACACAACCTATATGTCTCTACCATTTAATTGATTATACTGTACAGAAAGAAACTGCTGTAAAACTCCAGGCTATTTCTAACTGATAACTAAGCACTTGTATAATAAATATTTGACGGTGTTCCTCAGCCAAAATAAACAGGCTCCAAAAAGCACATTGAATAGCTACAGTATATGGAGTCGTGCGTAAAGGCTGTTTGTCTCATATTCACATTCCCCACGTGGCAATCATATGGAATTTCAAGTTTTTCCAGTAGTAAACCTCTCTTGGACAGTGCTTAGGTGGCATTTTACAGTTAAATTCTCATAAACAGGTTAATTACATAAATATCCATCTTTTGAACGAAACGGAACCGCTGCCATTCTTTTCCATTCAATGCCACTGTACTTAGCTGCTTTGAGAATCGTCGTCCATCACTGAAAAAGAAAGCGTCGCAAATGTATTTCTTAATCTCACCTCTCATTGGGGTCGGTACGGTGCGTCCTCCCCTCACGGTCTGGACAGAGGCGCGGTCTGTGGTCCATCGATGACCGCCGCGAGAGCTGCTGCTACTCGGGCTGAGAGCTGGTGTCAAGGCGGCGGTAGGAGGAGACTGCCGAGCCCGAGGGGAGGAGGGGGGGTTACGGGCTCACAGTCACAACAAGCCCCGGTGTCCAGCCCCTTTACAGCTGACAAACGCAGCCAAGTCAAGAGGCGCTTCAGGCGTCTGCCAGTCAAAGCGTCATCTAAGTTAAACGCTCTATTACACTAAATTGATTCTTGTGAGCTTTTAGCCATGTTATCATGTTGTTACCCCATCAAAAACAAACCCGGATTTCCGTATTTTTTCATTCACATATGTTTGAATAACCCTTTATTATTAGTCTGTCTGCATCTTCAGAGCTCAAAATGCAGATCTGTTGCACATTGTGATGTCATGTAGTGGTAGTTTTCAGGTTAACGTCTTAATTATACCTTTAGGTCAGGAGAGATCGGTGCTGAAAGAATCCAAAAGGAACAGTTTTCTGTTTGAGTATGAATGAATATAATAATATAGGCCTTTTCTGTATTTCTAAAAGATGTGATTTATTGATAGTTTTTTGTTGAAGTTTTTGAATAATCTTGGACAAACCGTTCAAAATAAGTGCTGACTTGTGGTGTAGGCAACCAAATAACAACAATTTATCTATTTTTAATATTGACTTTCTATTTGTCGCTGCCTTAAACCTTAAGACAATATTTTCTCTCTATGCTTGTTCCTGATATTGTTTGCTTTTAACAAAGTAGGCTACACTGTGTAACATTTCTGGTGGGGAGCTTCTTGTCTCTGTTATTGCTTTACCTCGAAAGCTCCATGATATGGCATTACATTTTATCTCCCATTATTCAATTTAAGCTGATTTTATTGCTCTAAAACACTTAATGATACTACAAACAGACTATATTCTTACTGTGAGTGGGCTGTCCTTCATCTGACCTGTAACTTGACCTGCCAGTGTCACCTGCTTGTTACCTTGGAGAAAGATAAATTAGATGCCATACTGTGAAACATTCCAGGCAAACAATCCTTGGAGACAAGTAGTGAGTGGACTCTACACCAGAAAAGTTACATATTACTTCTTTAAAGCTCTCAGTTGTGGTATTTAGGTTAATGGCTATGTATAGAGGTATTAGACTAATGTTACATAAAGTAAACACCTGCATACTAATGAGGAAACCAAACCAATTGTGTTGATTCATTTAACTATACTTAAACAGGTAAGTCCAGATAGATTAGATAAGAAGAGTTTAGAGTAAGTAGTAGCAATTTAGATAAGCAAGATATGATCTGTAACAATTGTAAGGATAAAAGACACCCAACAACAATTTAAACACAGACACACTTTATGATTAAAAACCAGACATGAGTTCTGTTAAAACTGTTACATGTAAAGAAACAATGTTTGATAGACAAATTCAAACAATATAAAATAAATAAAAATGAACGAACAATTAGACGAAATGTTTTGTTGTTTTTTTCTGGTCAGCTTCCGAACATTTCTCCACAATCTCCATTAACAATATTCACATTTGACATCAATACTGTTGATAAATGAAGACAAAGCAACTGTTAATAATGATGACATTTCTTTTCAATACATCTAAATGAGTGTACTAGAAGTGTGCATGTCCACAAACGCATGCAGGTGTGTATAGATTAACTGGCAAAATGATCCATGGATCCAAAATCTTTTAGTGGGTTAACGCTTAAAAATAAACAACTTAAGGGGATCTGAAATGGTATACTTAGCCATTTTCAAGCTACAAAACAACACAGACCTTGTGATTGAGGAATAGTTGTAGACCATCACATTAAAATCTACACCTACCGCAGAGCCATGCCTCCCCTTTCCCACCATGCATCACATTAACTTGGCTTTACTAACACCGAAGTCGGACAGATTCCAGTACAAAACTCCATAATTGGTTGAACAATGCATGCTCTCATGTTTTTCACGTGCCAAAACGAGATATTTTTTGCAGGTTGGTTAATAACATTGCACATTTTTGTCGACTAAAAAGTTCACACACAAGGTTGGGTTTTGTCATCACTACAAAGTTTAGACGATCAAATATGGGATTCACAATAAGTGCTTTGAAAGTCAACATTAAAATAGCAATGACAAACATGCAACTCAAGAAAATATACCAAAGCAATCAAAACAGTTGGATTATTACTAAGATCATTGAAATTTCCAAGAATTTAAGTGTTGAGTTCAGTCAAAAACGTATTGGCACATGGAAGATTTTTGTTTAGTGTATTATTAAAAAGAAAATGAAAAGATCTACAGGTGATATGGCCTGATGTAGTTAGACATGATATTGGTGACTGTATACACCTTTTGATGGGCCTTTGTGTAAGGAGACACCAAATCATAAGTGGGGACAAACTGTGCACAACACCGCTCAAAAGGCACAACACTGGACAGAGATGCAGGAAAAAGGGGAAAATAATGATCAGGGAAATAAACACTACAGTCAAAGGCAAAAACATCAGAAAACTAAACATGGGACTGAAACTGGGAGCATGACAACAGCAAAGCTAAGGGTTAGTAGTATTTTTGTTCATGCTTAAATAATGTGACTTTTTAATACAAAGAATGATTTACCCAAGTGTTCAATGCTAGTGTATGTATATATGATATCACATAAAGATTACACGCTCCTCTCTTGATTTCAGGAGCACAGATTTTCACTGCCGCAGTCAAGTGTACACAATGATATGTATGAGTATAGCTTGACTCAAAAGTTATTACATTTAGAACAACATTATAAGCAATGATACACAAAAGATGGTAAAAATGTCTATTGCTGCTGATTGGTTTAGGTTTTTGCATGTATAGATTATAATGATGGAAAACATGTGTATTAATGTTGCTGTAAATGTAATGTAATGTGCAATAAAAAGCAAAGTAACGTCTTTCACAACAGGTAATGTCTGATGGCAGAAAAAGAAAGAAACAAGAGTTTATGTGAGCTTTAGCCTTGCAAAACGTAACTTTAGTGACTTATTTTTAGATATATTAGAGCTTATGCATGAGGAGCACAGTTTAGATCATAGTTATGTTGCTACAAGTGCTGCAAAACGAACATAATGTAAAAACGAGGATGTTAGATTAGCACAAGGCCAGGGAGAACAAGTGCTTTTCAGGTTTTGAGGCTGCAAACGAACTGCACAGTCAGACAACATCCCTGGACCAACAGTGAACCGTGACATTTCGATTTACAATTTTAAGTTATGAAAAATGTCAGTTAGGGATATGGTATTAAAATGCATATGACAGGTTAGACCACTTTCTCAGTTATCTAGTATTCCTTACTTTGACCATTATAGGCAACAGATATGACATAAATAAAGATATTCTTATTCCTATTATTCTATTATTGAGTAACCATACCGCAAACAAGGACCAAAGTTTGTCAGATTTATACAATAGAAATTTTTTCATAAATAATCGTATCACAACTTCTTGTAATCAATTTCATACATTATTGTAATTTAATCTTCTGTGCACATTTTCTCTGTATTTTGGACACACGTTTCAGCATTGATGACATAGACAGAAGCGTTCCTTTTTAGAACTCGACTTCCTGTAATTTTCAATTGTTTTCAGCTTTTCTTCACAAAATGCCACTAGACTGACTGACTGACTGAAGGAATGAATAGATAAAATCCTTCATCTACAGTAGTTGCAGATGGGTGATAAAGAGTACATATTTCAAAATTCAAATGAGGTAATAATTAGAAAAACTTAGAAACCTGTCACATGCACTTTCAATGATTTTTGGGGTGTTGCTATAGAAACGTGCAGATGTTGACATTTTGAAAAGCAGAGAGGTACTGCATACAAAATCTCATCACCACATGGGAAACGATTAGGAAACTGATAGTTCAGTCATAAATAAACTTTCTCACCATTATATGCAATAATATGACTATGATACAGAAATCAACAAACACCTTTGCATTCATGTTTTCATATAATTCCATTGTGTGTCGACTATATAGATTTATATAGATTCCTCGCATGCCTTGACAAATTGTACACAGGTTTTTTGTCTTTTTGTGTCAGTTGTTTTCATTTGTGTTAAAACATTACAACTGTGGGAGTTGAAAACAATTATTTCTTGCATGTCTCAATAAAAAGAGCTCCCAACCGAATTATCTTTAACAGGAATTGAACTAAGCCAGGGACATCTTGTGAGAACATACCGTGCTAAACAGTGAAATTTTATCATCTACTGCTCATCCCATAATTTTATTCAAAACACAAAACGGCTCAGTCAGTGGAGTTGTCTTCATTCCTTAATGTCCATTTTAAATCCTGAGGAGAAGTCTGCTAAGTTATCATTGCCAAACATATGAGAGAGGCATCCGTTCAGTTCAAAGTGCAGTGATAATAATAATGATACGAATAATGATAATAGTAGCTCTGTGTGTGTGCTTCCACCGACACAAACAAAGGGGCTACATCTAGCACCGTAGCCTGGATTTGCCAAAGACACTGACCGTAAAAGCTGCAACAAGAAAAACTGCTCCGTCTCCTTGAAAGTCCCTCCAGAGTGGTCCTCACAGCTAACCATACACAGGTAATGGTTTGTGTTGCATCCCGCTGTGGAAAGGCACACCAGAGAAGGGTAGGGGTGGTGTGGACAATGTGGGTGGCAATCGAAGGGGGTAAGTAAACTCATTGAGAAGATGTCCATGATGTTGTTGTGTTGATAAAGTGTTATTTAGCTCAGGGTCTGGTCTCTTTACATCCGCGAGCCACGTTCTTGAAGGATCTGGATGAGATACAAAAGAAGTAATAAATAATTTGTCTTTGTAAAATATGTAGGTCAAGTGGGCAACAGTTGTTCAGGACTGCAGTTGTGTTGTACAACTGTTACAAATAATGATAAATAAATCACAAAACATCTGAGTTATTTACGCATTCACTACTCCACTTAATTTAAACAGAGAGTACTTACAAGTAATAATAAAGACACCTGAGCCTGCCCTGGACCACATGGACTAGTTCAGCATAGTGTAGCAACTAGTTTTGAATACTGTTTGTTTTCAGGACATAATTCACATTTGTTTACTTTCCCTTGGCTGTTGTTTCAAACTGCTGTTTAATTTTTTTTCTTATGACATATGACACATATTCTATAATAGTAGTTTGTTTGATGTATAAAGGGAGAAACTGAGAATAAAATAATTTGACAACATTTGTTTTTACTGTAAGGTTTTTGAGATGGGAGAGGATTCTTACCTTAGCCTTCTCAGTGGGCTCAATGACAATGCCATTGGTGGAGTTGTTGAGTTCCCTGGAAACTACACATAAAAACTCCGCCTGGTCCTCGTTGCCATAGTTATATGAGGAGCCAATACTTATAAGCTGAGGGAGGAGATAGACAGCAAAAAGTACAGAATTAAACTTCAAGGAAACGTTAAAAGTTAAAAATGCAGATAGGGAATACAAATAATAAGGACTGAGAAAAAGAATACAAGAACTGAGTAGAGTTAGAGTAAGTTAACAAAGACTAAACACAATATGTTTTCATAACCAGTGAAATAAACAGGATGACATCATGAAAAGGCTTGGCGCTGTGCACCTGCTCAAACTTCCAGCCGTCCGACATGGTGGAGACCATCTGTGTGAGTTCCTCTTCTTGGCACTGCAGCACTCGATAAACATGCTTCACAGGGCCCTGGGGGACACCAGCAAAGCACACAGTGTTATGTTATGGAGGGACCATGGCATTCATTATCTACATTATAATAATGAAGTATGTGTTTTGTTAAGGAAATACACCATCATTTAATGTGTAGTTAGTGGACTTTTGGTTACCTGAGATGTCCGATTCTCGTTGTCACGTATTCTTTCCTTAACCATCCTTACCAGAGAGGCTATGTTATAAAACTCTGCTTCCTCTAGAACACCTATAACAGTATGAAGGGGCAAAAATCATATAAGATGATATAAGAAGGTAAATGTGACTGACTGCAGACATTGCAATTTGATATATTGCATTACCTTCTTCTGCCAAATTTTTGTCCATAATCAACTTCCCATGTCGAAGATAATTTAGTATGGGTCCAAAATATGTGGGATCTCTGTCAATCAGGTAAGCCCCTGTCTCATCCTGCAGAAATAAATATGTAAATTGTAAAGTATAGCATGTGTGTATAACTGTAACAGTAACAATACTAAAAGCACTAATAACACTAAAGATGCCAAAGATTAGGACCAAAAGCCTTGAACTATTTAGGTTAGATAAAACAAATGTGGCCGATACTTACTTTGTCAGAGTCTAGATCAGGATCATCTTGACAAAGTCGATAAAGAAATGACTTGGGGTCTCGGCACAGCGTTTGCTTGGTCGTAATAAAGTATGTACCACCAACATTGAGGCGAACCCAGCGGAATCCTGGCTTTTCCGCGGGTTCAGACGGTGAGCTGGGGTTGCTTTTTACCGGGAATCCGAACACGGAGCGGCCGCTGCTGCTGCTGGACACACCGGGGCTGAGCTGGCTCGTCCGCTGGGGAACCATCAGTGTGGGCGAAGCCAAGCGCATAGAGCCCCTGACGTCCCGGTGCTCGTTCTGCTCTATGGTACCCGTGGCACTCGGCTCCACTACATGTAGCTCAGCCATGTTTCCTTCGTGTAAAATGCGATTAGCTAACGATTCGCTGCAGGGAAACAATTTATATCAGATTTGTAAACAGAACGAGGCTATTTTTCGCGGACGGGAGGCTGGCATCAGGGCGTTGCTACTCACAGTCGATTGCCTTCGCCTTTTACCCCAAATACTTGGATAGCAATATAACTAATGAGCCTCTACGAGGTAGGCAGCATCGTGGTTATTCGTTTATTTTAAAGATAAATTGCCCATTTTTGTCTATTCAAACGTTAATCAGAGAAAGGCAATTCTTCCGGGTTGTAACGTGATTAATGTTTACTTCCGCTATGTCATGACTCTTCAAAATAAGAGCACAAAGTGAATTTTAAAACAAATTAAGAAAACACAACGAAGTCACTAAGGCACATTGAACCTATAGCCGTTTAATTGCCTATATATATACTTTAATATAAAAGCAGTTATTCACATAAAAAATGTGTCCAGTTGAAAGATATAATTATTTATCCATGATTTCACCTCATCTGAAGAGAGCGCCATAGCGTCTCGGCAGTGACAGCTCCGCTTTAGTAGAAGAAGATTTTCAGCGCTGGCGCGGTGGCCAGGCTTGTTTTTGATTCTGTGGTGTGGCTGTGTCGGTGCAAGGCGCTGTATTTGGGAGTGAAACCGTTTGGCAGGTAGACAAAAGTTGTCCTGATTTAAGATGGCTGTGGAGTAATTTAAGTAGCATTTCCTTTAAAGCTGCACTTCTCCCTACCTTTTAGCTGGCTATCATGCTAGTTAGCTTTGGCTCGTCAGCTGCAGTGGTATCATCGCTGGAGTGGATGATGCTGTGTAGCTGAAGCCCTAGATATAAACCTATAAATGTGTGCCTAGTAAAGTTGTTTAAAGACGTTTGTGCAACTTTGATTTTACATAGAGTTTATTGCGTTATGCTCTCTAGTGCGGTGCACCGCTGATGCAGTGTTTTCATTTGTTTCTGCTATTTGTATATTCCTGGCACAATAGCCATGAGTGAATTCAGGATTCACCATGACGTGAGTCAGCTGCTCAGCCTGCTGCATGTCCGCGGTGGTGATGGAGCTGAGGGCTACAGTGACTTACTGCAGAAGCACAGAACTCCATATGTCACCACCACAGTCTCTGCCCACAGTGCCAAGGTAAGTGACATAGTATAGATCCATCACAATCTGCTTAGAATGATGGATACTATAAATATATATTTGTTTTATGCAGGTTAAGCTGGCAGAGTTTTCTAAAACACCTGAAGACTTTCTGAAAAAATATGAGGAGCTGAAATCCAAAAATGTTCGGAACCTTGACCCATTAGTCTATCTCCTTTCTAAGCTGTCAGAGGACACAGAGGTTAGATTTTGGACATACTGTTCAGACATATTGCTATTAATATTTATATTGCGATGTTATTACATTGAAATATTTATTATTATCATCACAGACACTTCAGGCCCTGCAGCAGAATGCTAAAGACAGAACAGAGTCCTCTGCAAACACAACTTCCACTACAACCACCAGTTTCACGTTGCCTCAGACGAGCACAAAGATGTCCATGCAGGAGCTGGATGAGCTACGTAAAAAACTTGGTAATGTGACAGCCAGCGCTAATGCTCCAATGGTGAGAAAAACACCTCTTTAGTGTCATGCAGTTAAATTAAGTATTTCTATTTAAAAAAATATTCTCTATGTACTTCTACAGCCTGCTGAAGTAACACGGAAAATGCTCAGAGACAGACATAACAAAAAGAATCCCACACAGCCCAACCCAGTTTTTCCTAATTGGGTTTATGATCGCCCTGCTCTGATTGGAGACTTCATTACAGGCGCCACCTCCACAGGAGAGCCCCCTGTAGCAGTAGGTAGGTTTTCTTTAAATTCTGTTTTTGTCCATTTTTGTTTATTTCATTGTGATATAGAGAAAATATTGTAAAGCAAGTCATTTATTTTGAGGTTCTATTACTTTTGTTGATGTCACCACATTATTATTATTTCAGGAACATTGCCTCTGGCGGCTCAAGAGCAAGCCCTAGTAGAAGATCTGCTCTTTGTGCTGAGTGGAGTTGATGGCAGAGACATCACCGCTCAGCCTGTCCTGGGACGACAAAACCGCTCATTTATTGTAGATCCAACTCTGGACATGTCTGTCAAAGAGCTAGTCAACAGAATATTACCAGTGGCATCTTATTATTCAACTGTAACAAGGTATGGCAATTCTTTAAATTAGTATGTGTCTGTGAATATATATTTTTGTAACTGTATTTTTTAATAGATTCATTGAAGAAAAGTCATCATTTGAGTATGGACAGGTGAATCACGCTCTGACTGCAGCAATGAGGACTCTGATGAAGGAATATCTGATCCTGGTCACTCAATTGGAGCACCTCTTGCGCCAAGGCCTACTTTCTCTACAGAAACTCTGGTTCTACATCCAGCCTACAATGAGAACAATGGAGATACTGGCCTCTATAGGTAGGGTTGCACATGCAGAAAATATGTATGTACATTTGTTTGCTGTTTTTAATTGGAATGTTATGTAATTTCTACTTGCAACCGCTAGAGGGCACTGAAGAGTTAACCCCTCAAGTAACTGCAAACCACTTCAAAATGGAACATGACTTAAGAATTCAAATATGATATATAGTGACAGTAGCTTTATTACCTCCGCCAAGGAGGTTATGTTTTTGCTGGCGTTTGTCTGTTTGTTTGTTTGTCTGTTTGTTTGTTTGTTTGTTTGTTTGTCTGTTAGCAACATAACTCAAAAAGTTATGGACCGATTTTGATGAAATTTTCAGGATTTGTTGGAAATGTGAAAAGGAAGAACTGATTTCATTTTGGGGGTGATCTGGAAGAAATCCTGGATTCTGGATCACTTTGAAATTTTAGTTAACATTGTGGTAAATGGGGCCAAAAATCTTGTTTCTCAATATCTCAGTTAATTATTGACCAAACCCCATGAAATTTGACTCGGGGATGGACAATGGGATCCTCCTTCATATTCCAAAGGCTGACCCGGATCTGATCCAGAAAACTGATTTTATCGCAATTTATATAAAAAATGGGGGTAGTCCTTGGCGGAGGTCTGCGCTCTCTGAGTGCTTTTCTAGTTTAAAATATAATGCTTTAATAGCTGTGTCATGTGTTACTTACAAACACATTTTAATTATTATTTGTTAAATTATTTTTTTTATTTTTGTTTTTCTTTCTCTAGCCTCCTCTGTGGACAAAGGAGAGTGTATGGGTGGATCCACATTGACCCTGCTTCACGATAGAACATTTAACTACACTGGGGACAGCCAGGCTCAAGAACTGTGTCTGTACCTCACCAAAGCAGCCAGTGTCCCGTACTTTGAGATATTAGAGAAGTGGATTTATAGGGGTATTATCAAGGATCCATACAGGTAGATATGATCTTATATAATTAATACTGGCAAGGATGGTAAAGTTGTATTTATTGTGCTTGTAGTGAGTTTATGGTTGAAGAGCATGAACTGCAGAAAGAAAAAATCCAAGAAGACTACAATGACAAATACTGGGATCAGAGATACACAATTGTACAGCATCGAATACCATCATATTTACAGAAAATGGCTGACAAAATATTAAGTACAGGTAATCAAAAATAACAGGTTTAAAAGCAAATTCTACACGCTGAAATATTTGTTCTAAATAAATGTATCTTATAGGAAAGTACCTCAATGTTGTACGGGAGTGTGGGCGCGATGTGACCTGCCCAGATGCAAAAGAGGTCTTGTATACCCTAAAAGAGAGGGCCTATGTAGAGCAGATAGAGAAGGCCTTTAACTATGCCAGCAAAGTTCTCTTAGACTTCTTGATGGAAGAAAAGGAGCTGGTATCACGCCTTAGGTAAATATATTTCAATTACGGTACTATATTCATGTACAATTTTTTTTACTGCAGGAATTGTTTTTAAAATTATGTTTGCTATATTGTTTTGTAGGTCAATCAAGCACTACTTCTTGATGGATAAAGGAGACTTCTTTGTGCACTTTATGGACCTGACTGAGGAGGAGCTGAAGAAACCTGTGGACGACATTGTTCCTCCGAGACTCGAGGCTCTTCTGGAGCTGGCTTTGAGGATGAGCACCGCAAACACAGACCCTTTCAAAGATGACCTGAAAGTTGGTAGTTTTGAACAAATAAATCTGTATAATTTTATGAATTCAGTTACATACAATGTCTCTTCATTATGGATCATATCAGTTATACTCTGAATCATATAGCAAGTAATTATTTTGTGAAGTAATAGGCTGATGACTAGAAGTCAAGAAAATGAAAAAATGCCTTATAAAGGTGCACTATGTTACACATTTATTTGGGGTCTGCGCTGTTCAACAAAATCTGTAATTTATTAATAAAGCTCTAATATGGATTAAAGCATAAATTAACCTGTGTAAATTGTAAAATTTGCTGGTCTCAAATAACAGTGCATCATAGTTGCTGTAAATTAAACATTATGACCATTAATATGAGTCAGGGATGAATAAAACATTGTACTTTTGTATCCATTATTGATCTAAGAGTTGGTGATTCATTCTGTTACCCTCTTCTCCCTGCAGATTGACTTAATGCCAAATGACGTCATCACACAGCTCCTGAGAGTGCTGGCCATCGAGACGAAGCAGGAGAAAGCTATTATCAATGCAGAGCCAACGGATACAACGCTAAGTGGACTAGAGGCTTTCTCATTCGATTATATTGTGAAATGGCCCCTCTCACTCATCATTAACAGGTTGGATTTCATCAGCACTTATACTTTATACTATCAGCTACAGAAACTTTGTATAGTATAGTAGTAAAGCTCAATTATAATTTTCCCAAGCACCAAACACCAAGTACTTGCAGAACTATTAAGGATTATTTGAAAATGCTGATACCTTATCAAAACATATCTGGAGTTGAGTTATGTTTTGTTTCATTCACACATGTTTGAGTAACCCTTTATTATTGGTCTGTCTACATCTCCAAAGCTCTAAATGCTCTGTTCCACCTTGTGATGTTGTGGAGCAGTTGTTCTCCAGTTAACAGCTACCTTTATATCTTTTGTTCAGAAGTAGCAATTCCAAAGTGTATGAAGTTTATAAAACACAGTGGAGCACTTCCTGTATTACCACATGACATCACATGGTGGAACAGAGTGTTTCCCTATTGAGGAGAACTCAGCCTAAACATACAGGGTTTGTATGTATTAAACGTGTGTGAATGAAACAACAAAGATCAGAAAATAGAATAATATGGGCTCTTTAATGCACTTTGACCATTACAGTACAGTATATTCTGCTAGTTCTTCTCTTTGGGAGAAATAATGGTTTTCTTATCTTATTATATCTTATTATAGACCATTTTATAACCCTTAAAGTCATGCATGCCTGGTATAAATGTGGTGCATGATATTGTCTTCTAGAAAAGCCCTGACCAGATACCAGATGCTGTTTCGACACATGTTTTATTGTAAACATGTGGAGAGGCTGCTCTGTAATGTTTGGATCTGCAACAAAGATTTCAAGCAGTATTCCCTTCATTGTGGCAAATGGTAAGGCATGTGACATAAATAATCACCCTGTAGATGATTAAATGAAAAGACAAAGCTCCCCCCACTTTCCCTCAGAGGCTATAGAGACTTAATAATATATTAAAAGAAATTGTGCCTTTTGATTTATACAATATGCTATCATAAACCTTTTAAAATAACTAGACTGGTCAAAAAGGAATGTTTGTGGATTAAGAGGCTAGATGTTCCCTCTTTCTTTCTTTATCACAAAAAGTAATAAATATCATTAATTAAATGTTAACAAATGATTCAATAAGGATAGTTTGAGCACCATAGTCTCAGGCAGCAGTAATAGATGGACCATTCTGTGTCTAGGTTTGCTGCGTCATTTGCCCTCCGACAGCGGATGCTAAACTTTGTGCAGAACATTCAGTACTACATGATGTTTGAGGTCATGGAGCCAACGTGGCACGTGATGGAGAAAAACCTCAAAACGGTGATGTATTTCCTCCATAAGTGTTTCTGTTCTTTTCTGTAACATTTTATTGAGTTAATGGTGACTTATCTAATGGGAGTAAAAGCAGCTGACAAGCATCACATTGACAAGTCTGAATTGTGTATGTTCAGTTAGGCAAAACTTCACATCATAATTGTGTAATGTGCAAAAATATACCGCTAAACAAATACAGGTTTTAATTATGAATACCCACGCTTAGTATTTCTATGGGTTAGGTTTGTAAGTGGTTTAGAGTTCAACATTCAGAATGAGTATATTAAAATGAACAAGTTGCTTTTGGTTGCAAATTCTATACTTCCAAGAAATTCAAATGTATAAAAGTGAATGCCAAATTAAATACTTTAATTACTGTATATATATTTTTTGTACTATCATTCCTCTGTTTGTTCATGGCCATTGTTATAAATGTTTGAATTGTATATTTTTGTTTTCAAGGCGTCAAACATTGATGACGTTCTTCACCATCACACCAGCTTCTTGGACAACTGTCTGAAGGACTGCATGTTGACCAACCCAGAGCTGCTCCGAATCTTTTCTAAACTCATGTCTGTCTGTGTCATGTTCACAAACTGTATGCAGGTTTGTATCATACACTTTTTTTATATCTTATTTACATTAGATTATATTTCTTATGAGATACTGAGACATTGAAAAACATAATTTGTGATTTATTGTAGAGATTCACTCAAAGCAAAAGGATGGAGCGTATCTCTTTGGAGCAAGGATCTATTGACGGTGCAGCCTTTCAGAGTGATCATACCGATGATGAGAAGAAAAAGCTCACAACCAAGGTGAATATTTGAATAAATACAAGGAAAATATGCTAGTGCTGACCCTATATATGTAAAGAAAAGCATAATTTCTTTCAAAACTGAAAGGGCAAATGACTACACATTAGGAAGCATGTGACACCTCCCAATGAACAGATGGAAAGAAGCTATGTGTTATTATTTGATAGTAATAATTTTGTACTTTTTTTTGTACTTTTTTGTTTTTTTTGTTTTTTGTTTTTTTCAGTTTCTAGCAGAACACGCAGACACCATCCAGTCTGATGCCAGTTTTGAGGCAACAATAAACAAGTTTGACAATAACTTCAGCCTGCTTCTGCTCGATCTATTGGACAAACTTAGCATCTACAGCACCAATGATTGTGAACACAGCATGATCAGCATCATTTACAGGTTTGTAGTTAAATTTTTACATGGATACTGTAAAATAGTTGAATCAACTAATATTTTTTGGGATTTCACAGACTTGATTTCAATGGATTCTACACTGAACGTTTGGAAAGGATGGCAGTGGAGCGAAGTCAAAAGTCAGCAGCATAGCATGTTGAAAATCTTGTTGTGTATTTCATCAGTTTGCCCTCTTAACATAATAGCTGTTATAAAAAAAAGATGGTATTGCATTTTGTAAAATATGTAGACTATAGTGTTATGTTTTAAAAGATTTTGTGAACACATTTTAAAAGTGAATGGCTCTGCTGACTCTGTTCTCTTGCTCTTTATGGGTAAATTGTTGTACAAAGAATTATGTAAGTTTGTATGACACTTCATTAAAAGACTGAATATGAATTTGTTCTCAAGCATTTTGTATACTTATATATATATATATATAAACTTATAAATTTATAAATGATGCAAAAATGTAATAATGGCAATTCTGGTCCTTGGGTACAAACCTTGGTGGGCCTATGTACATGTCAGCTCTTCTAAGTAATTTTAAGGTTAGCTGTCCAAGTATCTTACTAGTGTCCTAGTATTTTATATTTTTGTCTATTATCTTTTTTCCTTTATAATTATAGGCATTATTACTTGGATTTGTGTGTGTTTGTGTAAGGGATCTTGTGGGGGATGGCATTATTTTTTATTTTTTTATTTTCTAAAAATTAAATACATTGATATCAAACTTAGTCCAGTAGTGTCTAATACATGACGTCTATATTTATAATCTACAATTTATGTGTGAAATTGCACAGGAAAGATGTTTTTTGTTTCTTTGAACTAACTTCTCACTAAAACTCAACACTTACATCAATCCTCCTTGTTGTTGTAATATGATCAAAGCAGAAGCGCATGGTGATGAGTAGCCGGTTTTAAAAGTGGTAAAATGATTTCATGCTTTAATGTTTGTTTATTAATTGCTCACTCATTACTCTGGTATTTCTGTGAGACTGAGATAAGACGTCACAGAAGGGGCGTGGCTTTAAGGGAAACGCTCGCGCTGACTCAAGGCGCAGTCAGAGCCGCTTCAGTGGCCGTACAAGGCGCTCCAGAATGGGATCTAACTTCATCTCTCTGCTGCTAACGTTTGGTAAGTCAGATTTACGTATTTAAACATGGCTTATCTAGCGGTCAGTATTGTATCTATCTTTAGTTACATGAATTTGTTTTATAATCACGTTTTTACTTGCTGTAAACTTGACCACCCCCCTGCAGAGAAGAGACACTGGATGCATACTTTGTCTCACTGCTTCCATACTGTGCACTAAAGGTTATTACAACCAGTTTTAGTAAATGGTTGCTTAAACTGCTATAAATTAAAAATCTTAACATTATTACTACACTATAGGCTAAAAGGATTTTCAATACTTTTGATCAGTTTTTTTTTTTTTGGTCAGTTACCTATTATTAATATCACATTTACTGTTTCTGCGTCCAAAACAGCTTCTGCTCCACCTCTATCCTACCCCAGATTATTAAACTATTACTCCTTCGACTGATATTGCAAGTACTATATGCATTGAAGATATTTTGGTATTTTATTGGTAGACTTCATCAAAGTACTTTAATTAAGCTTATACTTTACTTTAATTAAACCAATGCAGATTTTTCTTGGTATCTACTTTCTGGCATTGATCTGGTTCCTCTTCTCTCAAATCATCTGCACTGGTGTGAATGCCAGACTCATGGTGTAATGCAGTTCAACAGTTTAAGCTTTTGAATGGAGCAGATGTTTTCACCATAGGGATACTCTTCAGCCTGTTGTGCTTTTTCTTTGAAATAGTCTCTGTAAATTGAGAAAGGCATCCTTTTGTTTTCACTGTAAGGTTGTCATCTGAAATATTGGCTTGCTTCTTGATCTGTGGTCTGTTTTGCCTTACTTCGAGGGGGAATTGAAAATGTGTGTTTGAAATTTTCTGACTGGACGAAAAAGCTGTGGGGGGTGTCTACGCATGGGGTTCAATATCAGTTAACAATTTGATACAAATCATTGTAGCTTTTGAATGGAAAACGTCTTATAACACAAAGCTTACACCCATGACTAAAACTGCAGATTTGTAACTGGTCTGTTTCCTTACCTTTTGTCTTTGCCCAATGACAATGCCACAGAAACGTCACCCTAAAGCCCTTTTTGTTCTTTTAGCTTTGTCTTGACAATCTAACCAATAATGAGCATGGAATTAAATTAAGATTTTACTTAGTCTTTATTGATACACAAGGGAAATTATATGGACACAGCAGCTCAGACATCACAATAAATATAATAATAACGAGCAAAAATATAAATGGTAATAATAAATTCAAAATAAGTTGCAGAAAAGACTGTGTATGACTAAGATTGAATCCATTATCAATCACGTCACTGTGCATTCTGTTTTTAATCTACAGGGTTTCATAGTATGCGCTTTGAGTGCCTTGAAGGTGGAAAAGCGCTATAGAAAAATGTGACCATTTACCATAGTATTGTTTTTGTTTGTTAATAGTTTTTCTAGTACAGAGCTTGTGGTCACTGCCTCACGTGAAGAATTATGAGATTGTCAAACCACAGAAACTCCAACTCAGAACAAAAAGAAGTCTATCTGTCACACAGGTAATCTATACACTTTTTAATGTATGCATTTTTCTATAATGTACAAGAGCTTAATATTTCTTGCTTTGTCTCAGGTTCATCCAGATGAGGTACAATATCAACTAGCAATTGAAGGACAAAACCACACAATACATTTGGAGAAAAACAGGTGAATGTGAATAAGTATTTTTTGTTATTTGATTCACTATATTGGTGTCAACTGGAACACTGCAAATGCTTCAGTAACACAGTCATTTAGGCCTTAACGTTTGGCCTCTGGAATGCACGTCATTCTTGTACTAGTTCAGTTACAGTTAATTCTCAGACATGTTTACAATATGAAAACAACAAAAACAGAAATATAAAATCTTGCAATATTTGTCATAAAATTGCATGACACATTTCTCCATTATCATTCAACACTAATATATGTCATTGCTGTAGGGATCTTATTGGGAGAGACTTCACTGAAACACGTTATACCAAAGATGGAAAACGGGTGACGATATCCACACATGAGGTAAGATTCTTAGACGCCTCTGCACTATGTCATAGCAATAAAAGTTATTCATTTATAGTTTTAAGTAGCACTGGGTATCATTAAGAAGTTGCCAGTATGTCGATACACAGGCCACGATACGATACATATCTTGATACCATGAGTTTGATTCGATACAGTATATTTCAAATCTATTCGATACGGTTCAGTAAAAAATAAAGCTTAAATCATGTCTGTGATAATGTAAGTCTTCATTAAACTACTTCTTGTGTGAATATGAAACTCGCCCATTTTACTTGTGAAAACAGTGAATGTGTAAAATGTGTTGCCTAAACAAGTTTCCTTCCTCTGAACAAGCCACAAAACTCTAGCGCTGTAACAAAATAATTTAGTATAATATACCAAAAAATACTCAGCCCACGATATCGATACTGTATCATCACATTAAAAAATAAGATATATCGATATTTCAGTATTTTTGCACACCTCTAGTTTTGAGTGAGTTCAGCCCCCAAAGCTGTTCTGTCGGCCTACATCCAGAAAAGGGTCAAAAAGGGCAACTTAAAGGGCCCATGTTACACTATTCTATGTTATAATGTTGTTTCCTCATCACAGACATGCTGGAGTTGTGTTCTTTTTCATTCACACATGCTTAACACACAAACCCTGCAAGTGCATATTTAGGCTGAGTTCTTCTCTCAAACAGAAAACACTCTGTTCCACCTTGTGATATCATGTGATACTAAATGAAGTGCTCCATTGTGTTTTTAAACTCCACACCACATATGTATGAATGAAACAAATCACAGGAAACAACATTCTAACATGGATATAAGGTCACAGTTTTTCATATTATAGGATCTTTATGTTTTTGAGTCTGGATTTTTGGACGGTCCCTCTTGTCAGAACATGTATAGATGATAGTAGTTTAGATAGTGTCTTGACCATGGACACACATGGACACATTTGCAGTATACATTGTTGGTAGCAGGAAATGAAACATGAGCTATACTGGGCAATATGGTTGAGACAAGAGAGTTTTTCCTAATTATTATTCCTAAATATATCATGAGAAATACTCCAAATAGAATCCACAAATGCTGATTCTGATCATTCATTTCAATAACTAGGCCTATGAACTTGATTTATCACAACCCAAAACATGTACCATAGGGAAAATCCTCCAGCTAAGGCAGTCCTGACCAAGCATAGCAACAAAATCATGGAGATGGGTCTCCAGGTGCCCCATGTGCTGCCCACTGCTCCTGAAAGGAAATGCACAAAACAATTTCCCTACATGGATAATCAAGTACTACAAAACAAAACAAAACAAAATTTAATCAATAAGCTGTTGCATCATGTTTAATTTCCATTCATTTCAATACAGATTTGGCATGATTTATGTCAGATGCCCTCCCTAATAATTGGCAATACAATCTTTGTTTATCTAGGTCTGTGTCTAAACTCCTTGTGGCTGGATAAATTCTTGTTCAATGAAATGTTGATTAAATAATATTACATTAGATAACGACTACAGATTATTATCCGCTTGGCTTTGAATCACAAATTCTTCCAAGATTCATATCAACACTCTCTTTGTAGTTAATTTTCCCCAAACCAGAAACATAAAATGAGTATGACAGTTATACACACTATAAGTCTGTGTATATTTTATGCTAGATTAAAGTCACTAAATCAAAATGATTTCAACACATATTTGTCCTCCCTTATTGTGCAGTCTTAGTCTCAGAAATGCCATTCCTGACCTCTGACTCACAAATACATTAAGATTTGACACAAAGAGAGTGTTTGTGGCCTTGGCTGTAGCCGATTTAAAGAATGTTTTCTCTAACTAATCTATAGACCCTTTAAAATCCAATGTCATCAGAAAGTTCAAAATTCTGGAGTGTGAAACAATCATTGAAAATAATTTATTTTCAATGATTAACTGATAAACTAAATGCTAATGGTTTTGCACCATTATAACAAAAAATAAACAACTATTTTTCCAAGTTACACTTATAGTTAATTTGCTTCTCTGTTAAAAAGGATGGAAAAATAAAATGTTCTTCCCTCAAATTGCATTTGAGCTTCACAAAAAGCATAATTTATTTGATGAAATGTGTAATATATATCTGTGGAGGAAGTGGTAAACTATAGTGAGCTCAACTTTGACCACTAAAACCTAAAAATCTACATTTTTCATCATCAAGAATGTTGTGTCTATCATAATCTTCTGTTAAATAAACAAATAGTCTAAAACACAATTATAAATGTTTTTAAATCAGGCTCTGATCTCTCTCACATGTATCTGAGTGGGTTTCATTTGACAAATTTCCCTTGATTTTTCATATTTTGTGATATTCTGAGGTTAATCCCAGTATGAAACCACATTATGTTCCTCTTCACGTTTTTCACTTTTAAAGGCTCTATTGGTAGCTTTCAGCAAGAAACAGTTTTTTCCTGTTGATTATATTGTATTTTACCTTTAAATATCCAAAAATGCACAAATGTTGAACATGATCATTTCTATTAATGATTAGACCCAAGAACTCCCAGCATCACAACAAAAATAAGCATTTTTACAATATAAAATTTGCTGCCCCCTCATCTTTATTAAATATTATTGGTCTGTAGAAGGTTGTGATGTCATATAAAACTCAGCATTACTTTTGTGTAGGAGCACTGTTACTATCATGGCCGGATTGAGGGGATGCCAGACTCCTCTGTGAGTGTGGGGACCTGCTCAGGGATAAGGTGAGTTTACTGCACTCTACTTATACAGGCCACTCACTTCCTCATTTGGTATTTTTTATTTCTGGTTAAGTCATGCTTGAGAAATTCTTAGTACATTTGAATTGGCTAACATCTGTTTTTATTCATGGTGCAGTGTGTAATGTTTCTAGTGGAGGGTCCATCAAATGCTTTTCTTCAAGGAAATGTTATTGCTTTGTCTGGAATGTTGATATTAAAGCTTTCTATCATTGTGGAGACCAAACCAGACTAGTTACAGGTCAGATCTGTGGAAAGGCAATTCGCTCACAGTCAGAATACATGTTTTTCTAGGCATTTTTAGCAGTAAAACCACCTGTAATTGAATAAATGTAAGGTAGAGTTTTTTTTATGTCATAATGTGGAACATTCCAGGCAGAGCACTGACATATTCATAGATAACAAACATGTGACGGACCTCCAACCCAAAAGTTGCATAGCACACCTTTAAAGCCTTAACACCACACTCCACAGTGCCATTTTTATTGTGATATTTTGTCACCAAATACAGATTTCATGCTCTGTTCACTCTTGTACACTGCAGAGATTGTAATTGTATACTATAGCTTGTTTTCTTTATGGCTGATCCATTGGGTGCAAATCCTAATCTAATTTTTTTGGTCCATGATTGCAATCGAGATAACATTCTAACATGGCTTAAAGCTTAGTAATCAGAGTAAATTGTGTGTAATATAGGACATTTAAAAGTATTTATTTTGATCTTCTTTAGCTCTATAAGCTTGACTGATTATAACTGAGTTTATTTCAAAGCCTGAATGCTGCTTGTATAAACAGTTTTTGAATCCTAGTGGTTTTATTGCTTTTCTATACATCTCTAGGAGTGGCTATAACGTTTCAACCAATGTAAACTTTGTACCAGCTTGAAGCATAGATGTGGACAGGGTGCCTCATTAATGGCTTAAAAGTTAATGTGCAAACCACTGCATAGATGTTAGTTAATTCTTTACCTTACTGCCTGTTTTTCACTTCAGTGGAGAAAATGCATAATTACCTTTGTATTTCTAATCTGTGATGTGCATTTATAAAAATGTCTGTTATTGTACGATATAGTTAAATAGCATTTTCTATGTTTTGTTTTGTAGTGGTTTTGTGAGAGCGCAGCAGAAGTTGTATCTGATTGAGCCTCTGGGGGACACTGATGAGGACGATCACGCTGTGTACCGTCACTTAGACCCACCTGATGCCACTAACAGTACCACAGAGCGGTACGATGTGGATCAGGACTTAGGACCCAAACTGGCCGGACTCTTCAGATCCAAGTCCTGGGTATGTTTGATACTCTCCAGACAGGAATAGATGAAGTTAAGTTATTAGATTCTTTGATTCTTTACAAGATAAAATAAGATATATTTATGTATACAGATGCAACAAGCAGTGCCGCCAAGATTTTGCCTATTTTCAAAATTAACATAGACAAAGAACAGATTATTATTCATGGCTTCAGTTTCCCGTTAGATGCAACTACAGTGTTTTAGGACTTTTCCCCATTGAAAAGATCAACGTTTAGCTTTAAATTGTTGCAATTGTTGCTGTGGCATTGGTCCTATTTTTGTCATTCTGAAACCCATGAGTAGATAATATTTGTCCACACCCTCAAAACCATTAAATCACTACAACTTAGAATTAAATTGTATTTTATTTCATACATACTATTTTGCTGTAACAAGGAAGTAATTTTATGTTAATGTTATCAAATAAGTATAATAAATACTGTATATCCTCTATGAAAACTCCTCTGATGCTCAGATAACCTAATTTCTATTTAATATAAACATCTGCAGTGCCACTTCTCACTATAGTAACTGAAAATTTGGTCATTAAAATAGTCACGGTGGTTTGGCTAATAGCGTATCACTCGATTTAAAGTGTTCAGTGGAATACAAGTTGAGTTTTGGTTTTGCATAAATTATTACAATGTTTAACCTGCTGATCTCCTTTTCAAACTTGTGCCTCCTTTTCCTGTCCCTTATCTATTTTCTTTTCTTTTTCACATTTGATTTTAATTTCTCCATTTTTGGTTCTTGTTTAGAAATCAAAGCCGACTTCAGAACCAGACCGTTTTGTTGAACTGTTTGTGGTTGTTGACAAAGCTGAGGTAAACATCTTAACTTTCCTTGTTTCACATCTGCTAACGGACCCCTTTCCCCCCCAAACAATTTATATTTCTTTCATGTTTTAGTACCTTCGATATGGCGACCACACCAAGTCTCGCATTCTCAATGTTGTGAATCACGTTGACAAGGTATAATGATGATTTATGATTGTGAATTAGATTTGCGCGGCCAATATTTTCGAATGACGTATTGCTCTGTCTGTTTTTGTAGGTTTATCGATCTATAAACACGCGCATCGTTCTCGTGGGGCTGGAGATTTGGACAAATGAAGACTTGATGGATGTCGACAGGAGTTCTGAAGTTACTCTCGACCATTTTCTTATTTGGAGACAAACACATCTGCTGAAGAGGGTCAAGCACGATAACGCACAGTTTGTAACGTGAGAATCTATTAGAAACATTGCTTTTATATGATATTGCGTTGGGTTGAGAGTCTTGAGAAGGAAGTCAGAATTTTATGATAGAATTTTCCTTTAAAATGCAGATGTTTTTAGGTTTTTAGTTAATATTACAGATATTGACCTACATGAAATAGAAACTGGAACATTTTTTTTGTCAACGTAAGCTAAGATTTTTCTGTGCCAAAAAGTGGTTCTATAATTCAGTCAGATAGTCATGATTGTAATCAGTTTAAACCATAGTTTTAAACCATAAAATTATAATAGCAAGTGTGTACCAAATCCTTCAATAGTTCAATATTTAATCTTTGTTTGAATATTTCTTTCAAACTTTGCATCACAATTGTATCACCCATGAAAAAAATAAAGTCCCCTGCCCTCCATCTGAAATTCTGACATCACTAAAATCTTGGAAATGATTGCAGACTGTCATTTTATGTATAATTTTGTGGTAAAATTATAAATGTGCTTTACAGAGGCACAGACTTTGAAGGTGATACTGTCGGACTGGCAAATAAGTTTGCTATGTGCACAGAAAACTCAGGAGGTGTGAATCAGGTAACTACTTCATTTATTTAGAATAGATAATTGTTATTTCATTGCTTTTACTCAATTATGTTTTATCTCCTCAGGATCACCACAGAGACCCGATTGGCTTGGCCTCCACCATTGCTCATGAGATGGGGCATAACTTTGGCCTGTCTCACGATAGTCCTGGCTGCGTGTGTGGTCCTTCTCTAAGCACTAACTGTGTGATGACAGACAAGCTCAGGTATTCACCACAAAATACCAACTTAGAAGTTATCAGATCCCAGGATACCTTCTGTATAGCTCACTCTGTACCAGACGCCCTACCTGATACAACCTGTACTTGGTGTTGGTACTGGCTCTTGTAAAATTCTCTTGTAATGGTCTTGTGAATCCAGTGCTTAATTTGTAGCAAGTTGGACTTTTGTGATGGACTGAGTTATAGGCTGTGCAACTAAAACATAATCATTAATAGTAATAAAAAGTATTGACTGATATTGATAGCGTGCACTTCAAACGGCTTTACATTACATTTAGTCACTCACTATCTGGTGACTATAAGCTACTTCTCCAGCCACAGCTGCCCTAAATTAGATTGACAGAAGCAAGGCTGCCAATCTGCGCCATCTGACCATCCTTTAGATTGAGGAATTTTCCAACCACAGCTTCTCTATTACACACTATACTGATATTGTATTTTTTTAAATCATTTGACCCATGCAATCTAACCAGAATCAATGTACAATCTGTGTGTCCAATTTGGATAAATGAGAGAAAAGTATTAGGTAGGGCATGTGTCTTAAAACTTTCTCAATCCAAAGCTTTTGTAAGGAAGCTTTTATGCCAGATGGCCTACCTAATACTTTTCTCTCCATTTATCCAACTTGGACACACAGTTTATATCTTCAAGAAGTTCTCACAGGAAGTCCTCCAATATGAAGCATCTCTGTGAATCTTGTTTAAGTTGATGTCATCTTTGTACAAATCTGTTCTCAATCTCTTTTATCAGAACAGGAAGTCAGTCATTCCCCGAGTTGTTCAGCAGCTGCAGTGAGGCTCAGCTGGCCGAGTTTTTGGTCAGAGCTCGTCCCAACTGTTTACACAAACCAGCCCTCACTCGGAGCATAGAGACAGGCCCACGCTGCGGAAACGCCCTGCTGGACCCTGGGGAGGAGTGCGATTGTGGGACGGTGCAGGTAACAGCTGGTCTGGGGCTGCGGGACAGGAAAGATATAAGGTTTCATATGGAGATTCTAGGGAGGCTTTCTTTGTAAGTGATTTCACAACATATGGCTTGTCTTTTTTTTTTTTTTATCTCTGAAACATACTGTGAAATCTAGAGACAGGATATGAAACTTGACCCTTTTGACTTGAAATTTTTGTAATTTTATGTTCAACAACAATCTACACTGAGTACATTTTCAAATTTTTACCCTCAGCTCCTCTGTACAGTTTATGAACCTATGTATTGAGTTAAATGTGTTTATGTGTCTTACATTGTTGCAAAAATTTTAGTAGGTTAGGTTTTCCTGATTATTGTAATACCATTGGTTAGTGTTCATTTATTTTTTAGGCATTTATTTGTTTCAAGGACGTATATGGTGATGATATATATTAATCATAATGACTGAAAAAAGTAGAGAATTAGCTAAAGGGCTCTTCTTTTACCTACAAGATCACCACACAGTACTTATAACATAATCACATCTACTAAAACACACCATAGGTGTGTGTATTCGCCTCTTATAATCTGATTTGCAACATGGCATTGTCTTGTCATTTGCTTTTCATGATGATATGATCAATAACATCTTCATGAAAACAAGCAGGTGACAAGGGGTATTTTTGTACAAGAAAAACATTGTTAATTGAATAAAAATCATAATTTTAGCTCCATATTGCATTCTAGGAAATGCAATAACATCTTCATGGAGATTAACAGCTTGCACTCCCTGCAGAAATGTTACATAGATAATAATGCTGCATCATAAACATGAAGCTACAGTGGTCTTACAATTTGAGTACACTTTTCACTGCTCTTTTTGCCTTGGAGTTTCACTTAGAGATTTCACAATCCTATTCAGCTCACATTCCTTATCATGGACATAACATCTTGGCAGCGATCTGCACTGCCCCTGCGCTCTGAGATCAAGATGAAACTAAACACAGCATGTTTTTGTTTTTGTTGCAGGAATGTAAGAATCCATGTTGTGACCCATCTACGTGCCGCCTGACGTATGGATCCCAGTGCGCTCACGGACGCTGCTGTGAAAACTGCCAGGTACAGTCACTTACACACACAATCCAATACAATACATCAGTGTCAAACAATAAAGTTTTATGATGAATTGAAAGGGGAGTAACAGGTTTATGCAGAAAGATTATGAACAAAGAAAGACTTGGGTTTTAGGCCCATCATAATAACAAATTTTGAAGCACTATATATTGCTACAGAGAAATATAAAGCTAAACAATAATATTGAAACTACTTTATGCCATTGACACAAAAGCAATAAAGCAAGATAATCCCAGTAAATTATTTTTAAATACAGAGTATCATTTAGGCATGTGTTGCAAAAATAAATGCCAGAATTAACTATAGCTATCTAAAGAAGTTATTTATTAATTTCTCTACAGCTCAAATCTGAACGTATTACAACAAAAATAACAAAAATTGTTTCATTATTGCAAAGAAAATGTGCACGTGATTAATATTGAGTCCCAAAATATATTGTTCTGGTCTTAATATATTAAACGATAAGTTGGTATAGCAATTATCATGACGGGCCTACTTGGGCTATCTGCAATATCCAATGCACAATTTACATACATTTACCTTTTCCATATTCTACAATGTAAACATCTTTCATATTACCAGACCTAGACAGAAACTTTGGAGAGCTTATTTTTCACACAAAGGCTGAATATCTTGCATCAGTGTAGTTTTAGTGATGATCTAAAGTTCTTTGCGTAGTAGTTGAGTTAGTACATTTCTATGGAATGAAGAAATACCTAGAAAAATTGTTTTGATCTATCACTGACACTTCCTAAAAATAATATTTGAAGATGTACTATGTAACTTATCTGGTGGAAGGCCTGCAGTCTCTATGGACATGTTATTTTGCATGTGCATGTTTGCATGTTTTTTCAGCAATAATTATTGTATCTGTAAATGAAAAACATAAAGACATAAATTCCAGGCAAAGCAATAACATGGAGATGAGCAGGGGACATACCTTGAAAGGAAAAATGAGAAAAAGTTACATAGTGCACCTTTAAATTTATTTCTTGATACATTTTGTTTCTGTTCTCTGTGTTCTAAAGCATTGCATTGTCTTTTTGTATTCTTCTGTATATTTTCTCTGGAAACCCACCCATGTTATTAAATGTTAACCTTCTCCCCATAAGATTCCCTAGTTAAATGCCAGTTGGGGTCATTGTCAGTGGACTGTATAGAGAAAGGTCATAATTTACTATAGACACTCCCTGATGTTAAAATAGAGCCTAGTGAAGGTTGTGAAAGCAGTCAAAGAGCAGTTAAAATGGTGTAACTGCTAGAGCGCTACGTTCAATAATAACAGGAAATGCAGGAATATCCTGATGTTTCTTTGAAATTGACCACATCCTTCCTAAGAATGACAGACTCAGTGGTGAGTGACAGAGACAGAAACATATGAGTTTATGTGCACATTCAGATTACTGCTTTGATACAGGATTAAGGTGTTCAGATGCTCACTGAAAGGGCAAAATACTGAGTATTATTCTTATTTTTGTTCACTGGTATAGGTGGTAAGTAGAAGGGGGCAGTAATACATTTCACTTGCCTCACCTCTAGTGTCTGCATCCTCAGTTGTATGAATGTGTGTAAATGGGTGAGTGATTTCTTAATGTAAAAATCTTTGAGTGCCTCCAAGGTAGAAAAGCACTATATAAATGTGACCATTTACCACTGAAGGATTTCTTTGAACTAGCACTACTTGTACTTGGTTTGTACTTGGTTATGTAATGGACCATTTCATCCCCAACCGAAATGACAGAGCACAATAAGAGTGAGGTCTTACCTGCTGTATTTACCTGGACACTGCTGTGATGTTGCAGGACACAGACTATGGACACTCTTGGCTCTTCCTCTCCTCAGACTGTCCTGACACAGATCTGCTAACTCTACCTGACCAGTTAAACTGCACTGAGACCTTTGACTGAGACACAAAGGCGACTGAGAAGCACAGTGTAAATGTTACTGTAGCTAAACTTGAATTTTCCTCTGGAAATGTAGTAACAGTACTCTTTTTTGAGTACAACTTTTGACCTCTCCCCCACCATAGACCTCAGCCACTCACATTATATGACATATTTTAGTTGACTGTAAACAGAAAATATGGCTAAACTAGACATCTAAGTCAGGTTATTTAATACAGTGTTTTGTTTACATGTTAATCTTCTCATTGACAGAAGGGGTTTCATTCATAAACCACATTCAAGCTTTACCTTTTGTATTTATATCTTCACTGATGTATTTATTATTCTTTGTTTTCATTACAGTTTAAACCAGCGGGGACCGTGTGTAGGAGACCTGCTAGTGAGTGTGACCTGCCAGAGTACTGCACAGGGACAACAGCAGCATGTCCTGATGACAGTTTTGTCATGAACGGAAAACCCTGCTCTGACCTGGGTCCCGGATACTGCCACGATGGCCAGTGCCCCACACACCAGCAGCACTGCTGGAGGCTGTTTGGAAAAGGTACTCCAAAACATGCTTAGAAATAATACACCAAAGATACAGTATATTACAATTACATCATTTATCAAGATATTAATGCTTAAGTAAATGTAACAACTGGGCTAAGTATACAATTTTTTTTTATTAGTCTGTCCAGTATGTATAGACCAGTAGTACACACAAACACTTATTTTGGGTTTCCATGCTTTTTGACAACATTACACTGACTTTAATTCATTTCCTGAAGACAAATCCTGACACTAACTGTAGTTTCTTGTCGAACCTTAATGTAAACTATAACTCTAACCTTACTTCTAACTTTTAACTTGTATCTTAATTAAAAAATTTGAACTAATAATAAAGGCAGTAGTAGATGAATCTGTTATTAAGGTCTGAAGAGGGTCTTTCTTTTCTTTTTCAGTGTTTTAGAAAGTGTACCCTTTATAGTGTAGCAGCTCACACACAATCACTGTCCAGTTTTCTTGACTGAGATGCGTTTCCAGGAATTAAATTAATAGGCTTTTTACTTAAGCCGGAAATGTCTTTTGAACAAGCCTGTACTTTAGCCTTATATTTATCTGTTTCAGAGAAAAACAATCTGTTTTGCTTTCCAGGTGCTAAAGTTGCCAGTGAAGATTGTTTTAGTCTGAACATGCAGGGTCAAGAGGGGGCTAACTGTGGTAATAGCACGAATGGGTACACCCGTTGTACCTTAAAGTAAGTATAGTTATTATGCTCTTTGTAATTGTATTTGTTTACCACTAACTATATTTCAAACTTTTGCAGCAATATAAAATGTGGATCTATATTTTGCGAAGAAGGAGGCGACTCCATTACTGGGAAAAGAGCAGTGTTTACTGTGCGTTATCATATTAAATGCACCATCGCGGTGGAGGATGACAAGTCCAGAAATATAGACATGGTCCCAAATGGCACCAAATGTGGATCAAATAAGGTAAAATCTCATCTGGCATTATGAAAAATTATTCTTTGAATCAAATAGGGATGATATTTCAGCTGCGATGCTGATTTTAGATTCATCCAGGTTACTTTTCTTAAAACTACTTATTAAAATATATAAATAAATAAAGACTTAAAAATTCTATAGGTTCTGAGCTTTAAAATTAGGTATTAGATTTTACTGGGTTGAAGTTGGTAAAAAATGTGTTTGTCTTCTTAAAATGGCTGATTGAAGTATTGGATTAGTATCAGAAGATAGGGAATCAATACCAAATCCATCAGTATCAGTACCAGTATTCATGTGCATCTGTAGAATCAAAGATATTTCTATATCTATTTTTAATATTTCTGTAAAATCTATTTTTTTCACAGGTTTGCTTAGACAACAAATGCCAAGATGTAGCAGTCTACGGCAACTCTGATGATTGCTCCAAGAAATGTAACAACCATGGGGTGAGTTCACTTGATTTAAATGTGACTCCAACATTTTTTGAAAGTTTTAAAGGGACTATATTATACTATTTTATGATCTATGTTATAATGTTGTTTCCTCATCAAAAACATACCTGTAGTTGTGTTTTGTTTTATTCTCACATGTTTAACACGCAAACCCTGCATATTTAGGCTGAATTCTTCTCTCAACTTAACCTGTAAACTACTGCTTTTTGATATCACAAGATGGAACAGAGCATTTTGAGCTGTGGAGATGAATGAAACAAAACACAACTTCAGATATGTTTTTGATTGACCACCATTATAACGTGTCTTAAAGCACACAAGAGTCAATTTTGCGTAATACGGGACCTTTAAATGTGACTAAATGACCTTATCTGTTATTATAGGTGTGTAATCACAAAAGAGAGTGCCACTGTGACCCGGGCTGGGCTCCTCCGCTCTGCAAGGTTCAGTATGCAGACTTACCTCAAGGTATTACTTCAATGGGTGCTATGTGTGATCATAATGCAGGAAAATGTTAAAATAAAGTCAGCGTCATGTCAATTCATTTTTTTGTCTGTTTCCAGTAAGATGTTATAGTCATGTATCCTAATAGCTGCTTTCCCAGTAATGAACAATAGACGCAGTAACCAAGTTAACATGAATCATCAGTGACATACAGTACTTTGTGTTACTGCAAACCTCTCATATAACTTAAAGTGTATATTACAGGTTTTCAGGTTTTTTCAAACTGTTTGATTTGGTAGGATAGTATATGTGGTAAATAATTTTCATAGTTTCACATCTACTGTGATATTTAGTGGAAAAAGTTGCAAGTTTTAGTGAAGTGAAGTCATTTGCACCAATAATGTCTATAAGTAAATCATGATACAACTTAAGATAATGAGTTTGAGACTTGCAACCCCAATTTCTTCCTCTTTTTAATGTCCAAAGGGTAACTAACAAATGGAGATACTTACTAAATTATCCATCCATGGGATTCAGAATAATAAAAAATTAGGACTGTTGCTGTAGCAATCAACAATTTGAAAAAATATATTGTATATTTTAAATGGGAAAAATCCTCGAAATGTCACATGAGGATGTCACAGAAAACTGAAACCCACAAATACCATGTTGCAGATGTATGTAATTTGTGGACAAAAATGCAGACTACATATAGCCTGAATGCACAAAGGAGTGTCTAACATGTGTTTCTATGGTCTCATTCCCTCTGTCTGTGCCTGTAGGTCAGACAGCTGTGATTGCTGGAGTGTGCGCAGCGGTCTTCATCATCCTCCTCATCATTGCTCTCGTGGCCGGGCTCATCTGCTGCAAAAGAGACAGGCCCAAAAACTACATCTCCAAAAGCAAGAGGTAAAACTGTCTAAAGCAATAGCCTACATAATTTTTGTTAGGTCAGTTTTAGTTTTAGTTTTCAAGACAACAAAACAACAGCCTACCAAAAAGCTGAATTACATTTTGATCAAGGAATGACAGTTAGAATTAGTTTGAATTATCTGTCTTCACTGTCCTACACATTGAGAGATAGAGAGTGAGAAAGAGAAAGACAGAGAGAGAGAGAGTGTGTGTGTGTGTTTGGAGAGAAATTAAGAAAGAGAGTTTAGAAAGAGAGAGAGAATATGTAGAGTGTGAGAGAGAAAAAGAGTGTGCTTCGAAGAGAATCTGAGCCAGACTTTTATTCTGTGACATTCTTTTGACAGTGGTGCACAATTTGCATCACATAACCTGCTTCTAACTTGGACAATTTCAGCACATTTCCAATAATTATAAAACACACAAATAATATAAATCATAATGTTGTACAAGCCATTTGCCTTGAACTAAACATAATGTGTTTTTGGACAGGAAAGTGCACTCTGCATTGGAGAAGCAGACTCCCATGTTTGAAAAACCCAAACCCAGACCTGAGATCAGCCAGCCCACCCTGATGGAGTCCACTGCTGCTCAAGTTTGTAACCCTCATTTTGTGTCCACGCCTCCATGCCGACCGGCCCCTCTGGTCAGTTACACTTCTATCATGTTTACTATCATGTCTACTATTACTTTTACTGGATTGGTGGGTTTCAGATGACATCGCAGCATCCTGTAGGCCAGTAATATTTAATACAAAAGGAAGCAGTTAAAATTCATGTTGTCATATTACGTCTTTGAGTGTCCAAAAAAGCGCTATATAAGTCTGATGTATTATTATTATTTAGATTTTGTTGTTGTGTTGAGTTCTGGGGTCTAGTCTCTAACAAAAATGATGAGGTTCAACATTTGTGAGTTTACATTTTAGATATTTCATAGTGAAATAGGATGATATCAATGGGAGTATGACATTAACACATTCTAAAATCTGAAAAACACCAATACAGCCATAAAAATGTTAGAAAATGGATCATGTTAACATTTTACTGTTGTATGTTGTGTTCAGCCTCCAAAGAAATCCCCTCCAGAGCCCCCTACCTCTCACAGTGAGGCGGTGAGTTTCTGAACAGATGAAATGTGGATTTTTAACAGAAAATCAAACTAATAAAGCTCTCTGTCTCACAGACCAAACCTCTACCTCCAGTGAAGCCTTTGCCCCCTATGAGTAAAACAGAGGTGAGTGTTGTGTATGAATATATAATGGCACTTTTGTTATGTTTTTGGCATGGCTTTAGTTTTACTGGATGTTTGCAGTATAAGGCCAGGTTTAAAGAATGTAGAAAGAGGTATATGAGCATACTTCTGAAATGTTTTTCTATGATTTTACTGTAGTTTGATCTGGTTAAATAATTTCTTTCTAGTGATAAACTCCTGTTTTTCAGTTCAAAATGAAGCCAAGTCCCCCTCCAGTGCCTCCAGTAAAACCTCGACCTCCAGTTGTCCAGAAGAAGCCTAAAGAAAACTGTGATGGTTCTGTAGCAGCACAAACCCAGCACTGATCCTCGCGGTCTGTGGGGAAAAGGACTCTTATCAAAGCTGCTGATGCAGATTGTGTTAACATTTGTTAGGATCAAATTTTGTTTGCACTTTGTACGACGTAGAGCATAACATTGCTTGTTTCTATTTTTTTAGTCTTTTAAATATTTATTAAGTAGTTTTGTTGTGTTAAAGCCAGTTTGTGCCTTCTTAGGGGTATTTTGTATTACTTGGCAGTCTACTTGAAGAGTGTGAATGGTACATAGTTGTATGGACTGTGTATGTTCTGTTCATTTTCCAGCCCTGACATGTGAGCCCTCAGGGGAGCTGTGTTTTTATTGCGATTCATTTTGTGTAAAATCAGTCACAGGGTCCAGACCTGGGAGGAGGATCTTTAAAACTTCCTAATCACTTAGTGAGTCTCAGTGATGGGTGCTATTTGTTTGGGACGGTCCCGCTGCAGTGGTCATGTGTTACATATGACTGAATACATTCTCTGTTTAAAGGTTATTTTAAACCTAATGAAGCCCCATGAGAGGGCCTTTGTCTCAACAAATAAAGTGCACTTTATTTCTGACCCGTACTACAGAAATGGTCATGTTGCAGCTAACAGGATTTCACTGAGGAAACATGTATCTGATGGATATTGTGTAATCAGCATTTAAGAACATTTATCTGATTTGAGCCCAGTTCACTCCACAGTTCATCAATATTTACAGATGCCTGAAGAGAGGCTGAGGAAGTGAGTCAGAGCTTTGCCCTCCCTCATCTGGGTCCACTGTAGCTACAAATCTTAATATTAATCTCTGAGTGGAGAAAAAGGAAATGTAGGTAGAACATTTTGAGAATGAGCTGTAACGATTACTATCAGTTCAAACTGTATTTGTCTCTGTCTATTGCACATTGAAGAAAGTGGAAATCAAGATGAAAATACAAAAAGATAGAACATCTCCTTCACCTCAGCAGATAATTAAAATAGGTCAAAATGCACAACTATGGAACCAAATCTTTGTTTATATCAACATTAAACTGCCCAAGATTCCAAGATTAAACTATGAATAAACAGGATTAACATAAACCAAGCCAACCACAAAACCTAAGCAAAACCATAGCCAGAGTTAGTTTACGACTTCACAAAGCACACAACACACAAACTGCAAAAAGATTGTTTTAAACAACTCAAAGGAACTCATTTGTGATATGTCTTTAACGCATTATCAAATCACTGCTGAAGCAAGACATTCCAGTTCACGAGTGTGTCTGGGAGAAAACTAGATGCATATCCGATAGCTGCAGTGGGAGTTGTGTATTTGAGGAATGAAGGAGTGGGCCTTTGTCTCACAGTGGGGCTGATTTATTATGATTCACAAGCCAAACTGCTTTCCAACCAACCGGTTTATGGCAGTGGCTGTCTCTGCTTGTTTAGTGCAATTATATGAGGTGATGACATTTTCCTCTGAAAATAAAATGGGGTACTAAACCACAAGACTTCCCAATGTCCACTGTGCACCAGTAGGATGTATGCTATAATTTAATCCATAGGGCATGTACTATTTATACTTTACTGTCTTGAGGCGGGTGACCCAGTTTTGAGTCAAAGCATACAACTTGGGGTCAAAAAATTCCAGACCAGATTTTAAGTGACTAGACTCTTTGTAATGTTATAGGAACTTTGGTGTGACCCAGAATGGCTCCACACAGTTCACATGGGTCTTCACATGAGGGTATTTGCAGATGTTCAAAGACAAAAAAAAACAGATGAAAAGTGTGTGCTAAAAACGAATTTGGAAAGAAAGTGCCGTGGATGACCTAAACTCTGAGTAATGACCACAACAGACTCACAAATGTAATTGTTTCCAGATTTACATGGGTCAGACTGAAATCTATCCAACTCTATAACAGGAATGTGACCATAGTTAGTATATAATTGGATAACCTACTCTGACTGTGTTGTAATTATTTGCCTTTTGATGTCAATGTGCATTTAGACTTAGACAAGCTTTACTGTTCCACAAGGAAGATTATTTGGACCATTTATTTATTTATTTATTTATTTATTCACCACAGCTCAGAGGTTGAAACTGGAGCAGCAAATAGCAGTGTCCTTTGGTAGACATACAACTGATATTCAGTAGTAAGAATATTGAGTGCAGTGTATAAGTTTCTGTTGCAACCAGGAATTACACTGAAAAAAGCCAATCACAGTAATGGCTTTTTGTCACTTCTGGTCACAGTTTTCTAAAAGTCACTGCTGTCCATTTCATATTTAGCCTTTAAAATCCACAATGTAACTTGAATACCTCCACCTGAACATTATTGAGGATTTAGTTCAATGCCATACTGTGGAACATTTCAGGCAAATTAATTAATTTATTCATAGTTTATTTGGATAGGAACAGATACAACAAACATAGATTAACAATTCAGTGATCTGATACAGGTGCAAGGCTAATTTGTAAAAACACCAGTTCCCAGCTTTTAAACTGTTCAGTAAAAGGCAGTGGGATTATTGGTAGAAAAAGTCATCTTCTTGGAGACAAGCAGATTGTTTTTCCACATGAAAAGATTTTACTTTTGCCTCAAGTGGAGGAGTTCAAGTATCTCGGAGTCTTGTTCATGAGTGAGGGGAGGAAGGAGCAGGGGATTGACAGGCAGATCTGTGCAGTGTCTGCAGTTGAAGAAAGAGCTGTGCTGAAAGGTGAAGCTCTTGATTTACCACTCAGTCTACATTCTTCCCCTAACCTATGGTCATGAACTCTGGGTAATGACTGAAAGGGCAAGATCGCAGATACAAGTGGCCAAAATGAGTTTCCTCTGCTGGAGGCGCTAGAGATAGGGTGAGGAGCTCAGTCACAAGTGAGAAACTCAGAGTAGAGCCACTGCTCCTCCACGTTGACAGGAGCCAGTTGAGGTGGCTCTGGCATCTGTTCCAGATGTCCCTCTCCCTCGGGAGATGTTCCGAGCATGTACCGCCATGTCTCTGGGCTGGCCTGGGAATGCCTCAGGGTCCCCTTGGAAGAGCTGGAGGAAGTGTCTGGGGTGAGGGAAGTCTGGGAGTCCCTGCTTAGACTGCTGATCCCGCGACCTGGCCCAGATAAGCGGAAGAAAATGGATGGATGGATGGAAGATTTCACTTTTAGACTAAGACAATCTTTATTGATCCACAAGGGAAATTATAAGTGCAAAAATATAAATGGTAATAATTAATTTAAAATAAGTAGCAAAACTAGCAGATAGACTGGTGTCAAATAAAGCATAATTATATAAATGTATGTGTTAAAGTAAACTAAATTGTATAAAAAATTTTTTTTAAAAAACAAGCATTTTTTAAACATGTTTTTGGGTTTGAGGTTATGCAGAAAAACAATGTCACACTCATGCCAAACTGATTTTATTTTAATACCAAGCAAACATTGGATCTTTATACAATGAACATTTTCTACAAATAAAACCAAACAGATGTAAACCAACTGTCAAATGGAAAGAGAATTAAATACAAAATATAGATATTTTTCCATTGCACTTAGACTTCATAAATACAACCCACAAGGTCAATTTCAGTGGCTCATAGTAACCTTCTTGAGGCATTTTCTCGTTTTATTTTCCTTGCACTGTCTACAGCCATCACTGCACCTATTCATTGCCTTAGAAAGTGACAATTCATTCTCGTGACCCGTATACCAATGATACAGAGCCACACAAATGAACCATTATCCAAACAAAATGTGCACATAAGACAATAAAACCCTGTGAGACATTATAAAGATGGAGAATAGACCGTATATAACATAATGGCCAGCCACTTTGTCACAGAAATAAACAGACACTTCTGCCTATGAGTAACACTAGGTTTAAAAATCAACATTTACATATATTCCTAACACCCACAAAGTGTAAAAAAATATCAATGGGAACCGAATAACAGTTTTTGTCTTGTAATTCCAGGCTTGTTTGACAGCTAGGGTTTTATTTGAGCATCTCTTTACAGAAGATATAAGAGATGTTATCAAAGTGCTGCTTGCTTGATTGCCATTTCCTCCAAAGCTCCACCCAACTTCCCCTGTTTACGCTGAACAGTTATGCCCAAAATGATTCATACAAACCCAGCACACACATTAACTGGTACAGAAATAACTGGTAAAGAAGAAAGAGAAATCTTGCCAACTCATGTCCATATCATTCAGTTCCTTTTGTGAGTTTCTGGAAAAAACTAAGACAAAGAACTGATGTTAATGTGGATCTGTGACTAGGTACTAAAAATGTGTACCAAAAAACTGTTTTGTTTTTTTTTCTTTTCATGTTTTTATACCTTGTAGAAAACTAAGCCTATATTAAGTAACAGGCCAAAAATGGACAAATAGTATTGTTCTTTAATGGTAAAGTAGGTATTGTACCAACCCATACCAAACATTATCTCTTCGTACATATATATGAAGAGATCAACAGTAGAAGAGAAAATAAATATTATTATTATAGATATTAAGTTATTTAACAATTGCGAAAAATGTCCTTTTTCTGTTTTATTAAAAAGTGTGACCCCATGTGGTTCAAAGGAAAGCTGCAGTGCATTGAGTGAAAATGAAAAATAAGGCAATACTTTTAAAATACTATCTTAGTACCACAATGTTGTCCAGTCATTGTCTGAATAATTGAGTAAGTTTATGTATAAATTATTTTGGGCTTAACTGATTGTCCCGCACTGACCCTGTTCTTTTTATTTCTGTTGTGTCCACTTCTACACGTGCTACAGGCGGCTCAATGTTCAACAGCAGTAAATAGTAAATCGACTTAATCCATACCATGAGCGAGGATTAAAACTGTTCAGAAAAGAAAAAACAGTGCGTTACAATATGTACACACGTAGTGGAAACCGCTTATGTTACAAAGATTCAGTGTTTTCTCCTTTAAAACAGTCCCAACGATACGCCATAATAAGGTCTATATCAGATCTGTTTTTTAGGTTCAAGAGCTGAGATAATCCAAAGTCCAACTGTATAAAGACTCCATCCACAGAGTTGACAGCTTTAGTCCTTAGTGTTACTGGGAGCGCAGGCCAGGACCCACGCACCCGAGGGTCTTACGCATTTCGCTTTTTTAATTTTGTAGTTAATGTTTCATACTTTGTCCAGCTCCAGTCTTGGTCCTTGAAAAAAGAGGTGGAAAAATATAGTTAAAAACATATAAGGTAAGCTTGGCAATAAAATAAATAAATTAAAATAATAACATAAATAATAATAATAAAAATATTTTAAAAACTACATACACACATACATATAAAATAAATAATAATAAAGAAAATATTAATACCTTTGTCTCACATTTTTGAACCCATGACAGCGTGAAAGAGAGGACTCACCACTATACTCTTGGCCTGGTCATCAGCAGCTTCCTGCATGAGGCTGGTCAGCTGACTGAGGTACTTCTGGTTCTCCTGGAGCAGGCGTGGGGCTGCGTCACTAAGGGCAAGACAAAAAGATATTGATTCACATTCAATTGATCATCTTTTTTATGAACATTTAAAAATACAGTTTCACAGGAACCTTCAAAAAAGCTGTATGAAACATCAATAGTCATATAAATATTACCAATATAAAATATAAGTGAACTGTAATCTACAAATGCCTAATAGAAATCATTAACTCCTCTATCTACGACCCGTTTTCCGTTTTTCATTCATCAATTTTCCATCATGATTTGTCTAATGAAGGGTAAGGGGTGAAATGTTGCTACTTTGTAAATAAAATCACTGATGCTCCAAGACAGAAAGTGTGTGAGAGACTTCTTTCTTAAGTTTTTCCATCATCAACATAGAGGATCCAAGTTGCCAATATGCTTTACATAATGGAGACAATTGTTATCAACTTTGCAAGTCCTGGCAAGTCCTGGCTGAAAGATCTTTGCAAATAATGACTCCCTTTCTTACAAACCAAAAGACAACGCATAAAAGACACCAACTAAAAACACAGTTACAAGAATTTTAATTCACACGTCTTGTCTATGGTCATTTCTATTTGACTCTTCCTCTCCTCAAACTGCCCTGACATAGAACTGCTAACCCTACCAGACCAGTCCTCCTGTTAAACTGCACTGAAACCTTTGACTGAGACACAAAGACCACTGAGAAGCGCAGTGAAAATGTTGTAGCAGTAAAACTTTAATTTCCCTTAAGATCAGTAAAGATAGTAGTATTTCTCCCTCTCTAAAGCTCTCCCTGATTTTGTAGTGTGTACCTGTCATTGGGTCCAGGCAGAGAGGTGAGGGGGTGAGGGGAGCTGACTGGTTGGGCAGATTGTGCCTGTGACCACTGGGATACCTGCAGCAGATTGGATGACTCTGGACTCACCGCGATTGAGTTTCTCGACGAGTTCTGAGCCTGAGGCAGAAAGAGAACACCACCACATCAAGCATTTATGAACATTGAGATTTACATGTCTGAGGAAAGTAATGGCTCATTAAAATGCCAACCAGTGAGCCCTTTACAAACAGCACACATAAGTGATCTCTGGGTGCTGTCCCTGGCTCTGTGCAGTACATTTCAGTTTCTGTGGTATATCTTGCTTACAAATATCCCAGTGCTCTGAAAATGAGCAGGCTGGAGTCCATCTGACTATCCATGCATGTTTGTAAAGGGCTGTAGAAATGCACTGCATGCTGAAATGGTATAAAATACATTATTTTGTTAGACTTTTTCTTTAATAACCAAATACTTACACATGCAATTTTTAACAAATGCCAGAACTCCCTCTGCCTCTTAATCTGCATCTGCATCACTGTGTTGTCAGCTTCTTTGATGTTTTCTAGCGTTTTTTCTATCCGTGGAAACAAGTCAATGATCTTCTGTTTGCTGATCAGGATTTTACTGTAACAGTGCAGAGGATAAACTGTTAATACTTCAAGACATTAACTTTGGGCCTTGGTCTTCAGCTGTATGGGGCTATACCTGAGATGTGTGTACAAGTCTTTGAGGACCTTGTCCTGGTTTTGAACTGTCTGAATAATGGCCTTCACCATCTCAGAGCTGTCTGAGCTCACATCTGACTCAGGGACTGGTGACACAGAGGAATTACAGCAATTACTCATTTCCATATAATAAAATAAAAAAGTATAAAAGAAGAAGTGAAGAGGCTTACTTTTGCATTTCATCTTCAGTTGTTTGTAAAGGTCAATTGCCTTTTCTTCCCTGCAGTGAAATAAATGTACATAGTGATTAAGTGCTCTTTAAGAACCATGTTTCTAAGTGCAGAGCAGAACTCAAGACTAGACCGACATAATAAACTACACAGTACAGCAACTGTCATAGCCCACAGACACACTCATTCACAAATACAGAAACCACTCACAGCTGCTCAATCTTGTCTCCTTGGCGACGAGCATAGGGGCTTCTCTGTAGCTCCACTATTTCAGAGTGAAGAGCCATGATCTCATCATCTAAATGGCCCACTTCTGCCACCTGCAGGACAAAACACGGTCACACACTCCTAATACTAATCATTAAAAATGCTGTAGGAAATGTTTTGCATAATTTACCTGTGCAAAAGCAGCTGCTCTTTCTTCATTCTCCTGCCAGGCCTTCAGCATCTTTTCAGAGGCTGGGAAGAGAGAAAAATTATTTTTATATGACATCTTCAACCTAACGTCATGTTGGTAAATCAAGTGAACACTTACATATGCCATAATGCATCTGGTCACTGTACTTCTCCAGATCGTACTGAATACTGCTTTTAAAAAAATCGAGTTTGGCTTTCAATTGCTGAGAAAATCCAAACATGCTGTTTTTACATCTGGTCAGGTTGGTGTTGTATCTCAGAAGACTTAACCTGAGGGATGCAGGTGTTAGATGCACAGAACATCATAATTGTACTTTACATATTGTCCTGAAATATTGACTCACATAGCAGCTCTCTGTCCCTGGAAAAGTCTGCTGTAGTCGTCCTTTAAACCACAGATATAACTAACTGCCTGCCCCCAAATCTTCTTTAGCACCACTAACGATACTTGGGTTTTGGGTTCTTGAACTGCAAAAATAAAAATAATATAAAATCGCATACATCATTTACACGTGAGAATATACTGCACAGAACATTAATCAAACAAAAACTCACCAATAGTGTTGACTTTTTCAGGCAGCTGTCTGGCACTGAGAGGGCCAGTGTACTTGGTCATGCTTTTGTCAAACAAGTAAACGATGTAGCTATCCCAGCCCCGCTACATGGGTGATGAAAAATACAGAATCTCATTACAAAAAACAACAAATACTGTCTATCATAGCAGTGGGCAACATGTTGTTAAAATACTATGTCAAAGTTAAGGGTTTAATTATGGTTATTTATGTAACAATATAAATCATAATCTTGACAATTTTAAAAGCAAAAATCAGTCATTTCTATCCTGTTTATGTCTGTTCATGGTATTAGTAATCGTGAATGTTTGCAAAAATTGTGATGTTTCTTTTTCACAATAACATCATAACACTAACATTTGAAATTGTATCATCTCCTGAATCCTTTAGGCAGTAAACTACTTGATTGAATTGTCCTCCTTCCTTCTTTCCATCATATTCCCTCACCTACCAGGAGAGGCACAGAAATTGTCATCATTTTTCTGTGCAGCACTTTGGAAACGGTCAGGTTTATATGCTACATAAATGAAGCGTGTAACAAGACAGAAAAAGCTACAATGCTACTTTAAGGTCACAAGAGGACCTAGTCAGTGGGGGTGAAATTAAGAACTACAAATAAGACGGGACTGGATTAAAAATGAACATGTTTTCTGATTGGAAATTGGTGTTAATCTTAATCTTGTTGAAAATCACAATGGAACATGTCTAGATTACTGAAGGATTACACTGACATATTGACAACATAATATAATGTAACACAATACTGCCCACCCCTAGTCTACAGTGGTCTCTTACCACTCCATCCAGGACACACTGGGCGGCTGGTTTGCGTGGGTCCAGGGACACTCCGGTCTCTTGAAGCAGCTCTTGGTTCACGACTTCGATCTTGGTCTCAGCCTCAATACGTTTCTGGAGACTGTAGAGCGTTTCGTCTGGAGTCAACTGAAACGAATGGACTGACGCCGTCACCATGTTGAGAATATGGACCACCTGTTGAGAGAGGAGGTGAAATGTGCTGTTAAAATGTCACAAAAAATACAACAAAGAAGAAGAAACTCATGACCACTGACAGATGAAGTTAACAATACAGATATTTTGTCATGTTTGTTGTTAGCAATCTTTACAAGCTGTTAAACCAAATATTTAGCTTTCTTTTTCAGCATTTTTTTAAGTAATACATCTGTTCTGGCTGAGAGAGAACCAACAGTGGACCAAACAGAGGGACCAAATACAGTACTACTCTGTTTCCCAAAAACAAGCTTTGTACCTGAAGCTGATAAATAGCAAGGATCTGTTATGTTTTTAAATATATATGTTATCTTAGCACCAGCATTATGGTAGAAGGGTAGAAAAGGTAATTACTCTAAAATATGTAAACATAGCAGTAGTTGATGATGAAACAAAATGGTCTGCTTTTTGTCAAAGTCAATATGAAACTCTTTATCGTCTAGGTGGGTAGTACTGACATTACATATGTATGTCTGCAGTCTTTGCTTACCCTCATACTAAGTATCTGCTCCAGGACTTCGAAGCACTGGGGCTTTTTATTTTCCATGTTGACTTTGCCTCCTCTATGAACAGGATCCCATTTTAACATGAGTTGAAGTAACTCCTCCATTGGTTCCAATAATGGTCTTGATTTGAAGAGAAATCATATTTAAACAAATAGAAAAGTGGAAATACATCGTGTCTTCTACCAAAATAAACAAAACTACAAAAAAATGGTCAAACAAGATATTTCTTACCTGCTAAGGTTATTGGGGTTCGGCAGGTGTTTGGAAAACTTGACTTCTCCAGTTGGTTCCTCCACTGCCATGATATCTTTAGGTCCTTTATTTCGTACTTTGCTTACCCTTTGGATGAAAAGTTTATTAGACAAACCAAAAGATACATAATACACATAATAACAGTAGGGTAAATAAACTGCAGAATACTTACCACTGCACAGGTTGAAGATTATGAAAAAATGGACGAAACCCACAGCTACATTCAAAAACCATTGTACCAAAACTCCAGTAGTCCACAGTAACAGTGTATGGTTTATTCTCAAAAAGTTCTGGTGCCTAGAAAAAAAAAGTCTCCTTAATTTTAAAATAATAAATATGACATACAGTAGGATTTACATCGTATAATTGTGATTACCAAATACTGTAGAGTGCCGACAAAAGATGTACAAAGACTGCCTTGGTCCAAATCTTTTGCATAGCCCAGGTCAATGATTTTATGAACCAGCTACACAAATACACAATCATACACAATCACACAAATCATAATGTTAATACACACAACACAACAGTATAACTATTACAACAAATATAGTTAATTTATATGATATTATACCTTCCCGTTAATATCTTGTAGAACTATGTTTTCAGGTTTAAGGTCTCTGTGTATAATCTTGTTTTCATGGAGATACTGGATACCAGACCCTGCAACAGAAATTATTATGGGTCTCAATAGATTATGACAACTTGATAAATTGACTGAAACATACCAACATCGCTGAGTAATGAAAGCACTTCACTTTCTTTTAAACCACAGCAGTTTTCGGGCCTGCTCAGCACCTGTCCAAGAATAAGACATCGCACTCACACTCACAATACAAACAGCATGTATGTGGTAATATTTCTGTAATTTTCCAGATAAATATATTCCAATACTTTTTTGACAATTTCCCCTAAAGCTGCACTATGTATCTTTTTGGTGGAGTTTATCTGCTTTGTCTTGAATATCACACAGTATTATCTATCTCCATGGAGATGAGCAAGTGATGCCACGAGGTCAAATTCCAAGAGGCTCACAGGACTCAAGGTGCTTTAGTAATAAAAACACCTGTAATTGGATGAATCAAGATAGAACCATTAATGCCATACTGTAAAATATTCCAGACAAAGTAATAACTTGTCAATGGACACATGTAGACGGTGGACCTGTGTACAGAAACCCCAGTGTACCAACATAACATTGTGTCTATGTTGATCAGCACAATGCAACTTTTTCATGACCTTGGCACAAAACTAAAATTGACAGAAGTCAAACAAAGCTTTCTCACCTTTCTTAGGTCTCCTCTTGAACAGTACTCCATGGCCAGCAGTGGAAGATCATTTAAGGCTATATGTGTAATTTCTTCAGGAACATCCCGGGCTGTCACCACGTTTATATGATTTAACCTGGGTGAAAACAGAAGGAAAAGCAAATACCATCAACGTCATCAGCAATTAAATAATTAACATTTATTACATTCTGTCAAAGTGCAATATTAACATAATTTTGGTGTTGTCTGGGTCACATGTTCACGTTATATAGGTATCCACAAACTAAATGATAAACACAGAAAAGATGCATATGATAGATAGATAGATCTATCTATCTATCTATCTAGAGAGAGAGAGAGAGAGAGATAGATATATATATATAAACAATAACCTAATTTAGCATACTTTTTACATTTTAATGTGTTGAATGACTCACAAGGACATGCATTACACATGAAATACAAAAATTGAATACTCACTTTTTCATTATCTGTATTTCTCTTCCCCATCTCTCACCGTTCCGTGGTGTTAACTCTAGACGACACATTTTGACAGCTAGTTTTTCATTAGTCACCTGCCAACCAGGAAGACAGTAACTTTGTAAGAAGGACACACACCCAAATAAATACCAGAATATAGACCTAGCAGCAATTTCCTTTATGCACCAGTGTATATTTTACAATGGTTATGTAATAAGAGAATCTGTATACTGTTAGAGCTGAAACTGTATGTATGACACAAATCATGTTATTGTGGACACTTACAACATGCTGGTAGAGGTATACATGGGCAAACCCTCCCATGCCAAGCCTTTCTTTGAACTCCCAGTCTCCGCAGTACTGGTTTTGCCTAAAGGGAGGTTTCTCCATTGTTCAGACAAAAGCTAAAACAAAATGCAAACACAGAAATAAATGACCAACAACGAAATGTGTTGATAAAGAGACCCACGAGCTTTCACTTTCGCATTGGTGATCACACGACCAGTAGCATAAAGAAGCCTAGCAAGACCCTCTTCAAATCCTGACCTCTATGGCAAAATAGAGGCTAAATAAGCAATTTAGAACGAATGATCACAAATAAACCCGTATTGCACTATCGCAACAAAGGTAGCACGCTATATAAAAAATAACAGCTTTGCGTCTTTACGTCTCTTGTCTATGTGTGACCCAGGAAATAGACAGCTCCCGCCACTAGCTTTGTTGTAGCAGATCCAGTGTTATTGTCCTTGTCTAATGGATAAATTGAACTGGATATGTATCAGATTAAAGAAGTTTTTGACTCACGCCGTGCCCCTACGCAGATGTCATGAGCCGTGGTCCGTGGTGGTTTGTCGGGGTGATGGTTTGTGTCGGTCCCGTGTTGTTTTCAGGTCAGTGCAGCGCCGTCAGATGTGTACTTCCGGTGTGACATCACCACCAAACCGGGCTGTGCAAAAGTTTGTTTTTCTATGTTTTATACTTTATTTTATTATTATTTATTGTTTATGTTGCCGTGTTTATTCTTTACCATTGTCTGAATTCGTATGTCTGCTCATTGTGTATGTATTGCATCATGTTGCATTACAGCCTTTGCCCTCTGTATTATATAACTTTGTGATAATAATAAGAAAAAAAAAACACAGAAACAAAAAAACAAACAAACAAACAAACAAAAACAAAAAACTAAAAAAAATGTTTATTTTATTTATTTATTTTTTTTCTGTATTGCATAACACCAATCGTACACTAGAATTCTAGCCATAGAATTAACAATGAGGGCATCAGAAATGTATTTTAAAAGTATTTAGACAAAAAAGCATTGTGATATTAAAATGTTTTTGCTGTTGTTTTTCTAATAACCTGTGACAGGGGCTCATTTACAGGCCTACATCTTAAGTCAGTTTTCAGTCTGTATATATAAAAAAAAGACTTGCACTTTTAATTATGCTGATTACTCATATCATAATATGCAATTAATTAGAATTTCGAATATGCCATTAATTTCTACATAAGCATAATTTGGCTAATTTTACTAACTATAAAACAGAATAATTTTGACAAACAGTAACCTTTCAAATCATGTTTATTTTCAATGTCTCTGTCTCCCAAAGGAGGTTCACATACAATACTTCCTTGGTGTGTTTTAAACAAGGCAGTGACACATGTAGCTTGCTGTATGTAGCATCAAATGAACATTATCATTTAAAACACTGAGATGGAGCCAGACCTTTACATGTAAAAGATTTCCCCAAAACACAGCATACAACAGCTCCAAATACAGTCATAATCTCCATTCATATTGACAAAAAGAAGATGTGAGCTCATGTTGACCTACTCTAAACCCTTCATTTGAATACTCTTTAATATAAATAAAAGCAGGCCTTAATATCTCATGCTTTATTTACATGTCACATTCAGAGATGGGGGCTGGCGCAGGCCAACCAAAACATCAACAAAAACAATACAGCCAATGTTGACCAGTGCTATGGTGAGATGACAACAGAAAGGCATGGGAAAGGGTAAAAAAGTGCTCCTAAAAATCTACAACAAAGTACTAATTTTGGATTTGATGTGAAGCTAAAACCTGATAGTTATGTTAAGGCCTAATATGGTTGCACAGGCCTACAATTTTATTTAAAAAGGCAATTTATTTCAGTAGTGCAATTTATGTGTGCAACGCTATATTACTTAGCACATGATTCATTAATTACTGACATGGTCATATGGGAAATAATATTGTTAAACAGTATGCATGAGTTCAACTTAAATTGAACTACTGAAATTGATTGACTTTTAAATAATCTATGTATGTGTGTTATAGATTACTACAGGCAAAAACAAAAGCACAATAAATTCTCATTTGTGAGCAGTTTGAAAGCATTGTGAATGGCACTTGACTTTGCCCAATGCACCTCTTTGCAATTTTCTTCATAATTTCCATAAAATAAAAACATTGGCATAAATGGAGCCATGTACCATCCTAAATGTTAAGAACTCAGGCATGTAGACTTGACCAAACACTGAAATACGAGCATAAAGTGCACAATAACTTAAATAAAAAAGAACAACTTGACGTTTAGAAAATACAAAATGGTTTCTAAAATCAAAATAAAATGGAGTGAGTTTTCATTTAGTATTTGTAGAAAACAGATGAATGTGTAAATAAAATACACTGACATGAGACTAATTCAAACTGCACCACAGTGGACAGACACTCACAAAGCTTCATGTACATTGGTTTGATCTAATAGCCCTGCGGATCATGGACTGGGTGGGAGATGCCATGCATATTCACTGCAAGTGCAGCAGGAGTGATTATGGCTGAGTTACAATACAACTGAGCGTCCACAGCGCTCCCTGCTGGTAGAAACTGGCACTGCAGCTGCTCCGAGTGTAATTTTTAAAGCCTGAGTTAAAAATGGCTATACTTCAATAAAGAAACTGTAATGAGGTGTGAATGGCTACCAAAATGATCCATATCCATTATACCTTCTGTTCCTCTGTTCAACTGTATTCATCTAATATTATTTTTATTAGAAGTCATGCCTTTGTTTTTTCTACCAAGCACCTTCTTTGGAGTATTTCCTGTTCTATTCCTAATCCTAAAGCAGATGGTTAGTATTTCCTAATGTAAGACTTATTCACTTCACAAAGACCATCTGAAATTACTAATCTCTGATAAATTGGCATTATTATGATACTCATATTGTGCTGTTGCTGTGTTACTTACTTTCCAAAAAAATAACAAAAATAGGATTATTGTTTAGTGCTTCTGAGACTCTGAGTACAATGCGTTGTACCTAAATAATTTCCACAATATTGTGTTGACTATATTGTAAATATATACTGATATATATCCTACATTATACTGCACGCATACAGCAGAGGTTGCATTATATACAAACATATCCCAGATGTTTACAAATAATATTATACATTTCCTGTTACATTGTCAATAGCATCTCAACTTACACATGACATACATTACACAGGAGGAGAAGGTTCAACAGTAACATATGACAGTAAAAAATATCAGAGACATTCAGGGTCTGCGCGGTGAGTGTAGAGGTGGTCACACACAGGGGGTATGGCACCAACATGAAGAAAAAAGACTAAATGATTTCAGGATAAATCATTTTTGCTGCGTTCAGTGTTCGCCCTCATAGACGTAAAAGCCCTAAAAATCATGGAGCTGGATGCAGGCATGCGAATCACAGGAGAAAACAACATTCGGCCAATAAGAAGAAAGAACAGTAGCACACCACAGGACGCAAGCTAAAGCAACTGGTAGAAGATTGTCTTTTCAAGTAGAGCAAAACTGGAGCCTGTCTGGTCGAGATGTTGTAAGCACTGAGAAAACACGTCTAACAGGCCACCAGGGCATCACCATAATAAAGACTTCAGTATCCATCTTCTTCAGTGACAGAGAGTGAAATGCTGAAATGTCCCACTCTTCTGTGGAATGTGAACACACCATGAGGATGTGGAGCTAGAATGTCATAGCTCCAGTGAAACTCATGAGTCTAGACTCTAAAACAGCACTTCAAATCAGAGCAGTGGTGGCAATTCAAACAATCAGTTGTCTAAAATATAACGCTCTTTATGTGTAAACATATTTGGTCCCAGAACTGAGTGAAAGATCAAGAAAAAGGTGAAAAGGAGAAAACTTGGCAACAGCAATGAGAGAGAGTGAGGCTGGAGAGAAGCAAAGATGTCAGATGTAGTTCCCTGTTGGTGCCTGGTCCAGTCTTAAGCACCATGATCCCTCTCCTGTTCCTTCGTCTCCGCCTCTGGACAGCCACTGTCAGGCTCCTCTACAGGAGGGTGGGGTGCCATTAGGGCATCAGTATTAGGACCCACCCGGCCCCCCTTCAAGCAGAGCTCAGAGCCTTTCTGGTTAAATGAAGCCTGTGCAGGAGGGCCTGTCACAGCAGTACATGCTGTGGGCCCCTCACTTCTTCACGGCCTGTCTGTAGCTGTGTCTCTGGGCCTCCTGACGCGGCTTCGTGCTGCAGCAGGATGCCTTGCTGCTGTTGGGACCGTCCTTGGCGCTGCTGGCTTGAGAGGCCAGGCTGCTGTCCCCAAGTGTGGGGCTGGAGTGCACCCTCTGCAGGCCGTTCTCCTCCAGGATCAGGGACTCGAACACAGACAAGTCCTCCTCACCCGTGCGAAGTTTGGCCCTCAACAGCATGATATAAGTTCCATATCGGGTTTTCTAAAGTACAGGCAAATATAATAATAATGGTCAAAAAGACGTGAAAAATTTAGACAAACACAGTACTGGACTGTAGCTCACCTCAAACTCCAGATATTCATCTCTTTGGCGATACTCGTCCAGCTCCCGACCTTTGACCTTTCGATCTGGAGGGGGGCAAGAGCGTACTTCAGCCAGTTCAGTGGAGACGGCCCGAAATCTGGCCTCATGGGAGCGCACCTGCTCCTCCTGGATCAGACAACAACAGAGGTCATTAAGGTCATGACTGCATTTGTTACAGTAATTTGTTTAAGTTGTCAAACTCACAACTGTAATGTTTTAATGATATGTGTCCCTTGCGCTTTGTATATTAAAAAAGTATTAAAAATGACGCTATAATAAATTTTGTATTTATTATTTAAAATAATGGGTGTTTGAACTCAGTGGCATTTCAAACTTCCAAACAATTACATGAATAATAAAATATGCATAGGCCGTAGCACAGCTGCCAATAGTTATGTATGGCAAAGGTGTTGGGCGCAGTGTTTTGTTATGAATATTTAATTATAAGCACTTTTTGATGAAGCACGTGCCAGCCTCAAGTAGTTGTGCAGTGGAGATCAATAATTTGTGATTATTTTCCTTTCAGTCTTTACTGTAGTGTGCAAACACTCATGTACCTCGGTCTGTCTGGACATGGTTCCGGGCAGCAGGGGGCGGCTGAACTTCTTCTGGGAGCCGATGGCCGCGGGGAACGGTGGAGACGAGAACATGGCCGCCACCGTGTTGATCCGAGTGATCCAGGACTGCATCTGCTCTGCGTTTCTGCACACGCCCACACACAAACAACACAAAACAAGTTAGCAAACAAACCCTCTTATCAGTTAGCTCCATGTAGCCTGTGCACACATCAGCCCTCTACATCAAAGGGATAATTATCGGAGAGCACAGCCTCACAGTTGACAAAGGAATTATTTTGAAACCAATTAATGCAGAGGAGAAACGGCCGATTTTAAACAACAAAACCATTAGGGGTCCATGAGAAATATCAGTGTGAACCAAACAACCCTGTTTAAAGCCCAAGAGAGGGAGGGAGACGAGAGAGAGAGGGAGGCTAGAGCAGCGAGAGAAAGAGAGCAAGGGAGGCATGAGGAAAGAGAGAGAGAGAGAGAGAGAGAGAGGGAGGCGGGAGGAGAGGGGTACAGTATGTGGGACAAATGCAAGCTGCAACTAGAGCAGAGAGAGTGTCCTCCTGGGGCCTGAACATGTGGCCACTTCCCTGTCATGTCATTTTCTACTGCAGACATCGAGTCATACAGACATATCATAACATGTACTATGCATGTTCACATATGTACATCATGTTTATTTATGTGATCGGCCTGCGTTGTGTGGCTCTGTGTGTGACAGATTGTGTTGCATGATCTTGCTCTCTCCGCACAGACGGGGCCTAAGGACAGACTCTGCTGGAGCAGTCACCTTGCAGTGTCACTTTGGGACAAGGGTTCATCTCTGCTTCATGTGATAAAGGATTTTTTCCCCTTGATCTACTTTTCACAGTCTGCTGCAGATGTTAGACTGCTTTTTATATTTTTTTGCCTGGGTAATTGTGAATGTATAATTTAAGTGTGGATTCACTTACGGTGCTTGGAAGAGATAGACCCTCCAGTCTGCAGTGCGGAGGTAGAAGACATTGGGTCGTTTGCTGTAGTCTGAAGCCTTCATGGCCAAAGAGTGATGGATGGACACTGCATTTTTAAGGTCCTCATCAGAGAGCTGCTTATCAGGCCTGTACTCCCCCTGAAACACACATTAACATAATGACTTTGATTCTAATTGACTTATTTTATAATAGCCCTAAATTTGGTGGGTTAACAAAACTGTTATTTCCTGGGGTAACAATGATTAAAATGTAATTAAAAGAGGGATAAGATCTTTCTGTACATTTCTAGTAAAATTACCCAATTGCGTCACAGAAAAAGTTGAATAAGTGATTTACAGTATATCACAGCTTTAGTACGTACTGAAATACTTATGCACTTACTTTTTGCAGGTAGAGGATTAGCCCTTTTAAGATCGCATAAAAAGTCTTCCAGCCTCTTTTTCCTCTTGGAGCTGTCAACAAAAACAAACTGGTCATTGGATGCATCATTTAACACTAACAATATACAATGTTTCCCATAGATTTTATTTAGACTATGATGTCACAAATACTTTTTATATTAATACATTTCTTTCATACAATTTGTGGAGTTTAAATGCCACTTATTGCCTGTATTTCAAATTTTAGCAGGAATTTTTAACAGTGTAGTAAATTTTATGTATTGAGCAACAAAGTGATATTTTGTTATAGCCCATGTTCTTTTTAAACTATGGGAGAGGGCCATTTATATCAGTGTATTCTGTTAATGGGAAACACTGATGTATATACACTCTTTTAAAATTATGGATAATGTGTGAACAATATTATCTCAAAACTCCCAGCATTTCAGATGAATTTCTAACATTCTTCAGGCCTAGTATTTATATGCAATAGAAGACAAAAATATCTAATGTTAATAGTTTTATGTTGCACTCTATCGCATATAGTTTGTGAATTTTATTTACTGACAGTAGCGATAAAACTTGAATTTAACATTTTAGAACCAGGAAACGTAAGATCGTACTTCTCTTTCCATCTGAATCGGCGTGCACTTTTCGGACCAGGAAGCCGTTCTTGTACAGCAGCGTTCCGGAGGGCTGTGTCCCGTCCTCCAGGGGCTTCCCGCTGCTGTCCACGCGCCGTATGGGCCTGGAGGCGTCCGACTCACACAGACTGTCCCCGAGCTCCGAAAATGACTTCCGCAGCTCCTCCTCGTCGCTATGGAGACAAAGGCACAGATTCGGCGGGAGATTAGCACTTGTGTGTCACGTCTCGTTAGCGACGCACCAAACACATCATCATCGGCGTTCATCCTGTCCATTCGCTCGCTCTCAACTACAGCACAAGAGGTCCACGACAGGACTTCACACCGAAAACTTCATACAGTACACATGAGTAATACCAGCGGGTCAGAAGAACTTTGGGAAAGCACTATTTACAAAGCAATGATATCAGGAAAAGCATTTAGTGTAATGACATTACATTAGCTGTAGCTGTGTGTAAGCTGATAGATATTTGGTATGGAGTTGAGATTTTATTTTTACTTACTGAATATAATGTTTCACTTTAGTAATCTGAACTTGCTGTGTAAAGAAAGTAATTGGGTTAGGTGATTGGTGAAGTGTGTAAAATGGGAGTGAAATACATATATTTATGGCAACAGGATATTTGAGAATACAAATATGCCTCAAATTTAGACTTGCAGTGTATGTCTCTACTATGGAGAATAAAAGCAGCAACTCTCTCGCAAGAAGGCAGAAGGGTTAACCACTCTACCACGTTGCCATCCTTATTGTTGATGTTTCACCACAGCAAACGGCATTTTTAAAGAAATGTGTTGAATTTTTTAATAATCACAGCACAATAAGTAAATAAAATAAATAAGTAAGAGCAGAAGGCAGGGATAGGGGTCAGGTGAAAAAGAAAGAGTCCTCAAGCCTTGAATGCAGAACGATACAGGATTATTCAAACAGGCACATCAAAATGCAAATTTTAGTGAGTTTATGATAAGGGAGCACTGTTATAACATGGCTTTTTATAATTCAATTTTGTATTGTTTTATTTTATTTTACCAATCTGTTAGTAAATTCAGTCAACTCAAACCCAACCTTGCTAAAATAGAATGACCTTTTCACATATTACTGTACATCAGTGACAGATACACGTCACTACAAACATAACTGAGAACAGTTGAGCAGTGATTTGAACTTGACTGACCTTTGAACTAAGTCAATCTTTACAAAGCACGGAAGTCAAGGGAGGTGCTGGACCAGTGCACTCAAAGTCGCATCCGTACTCACTGTAAGTTTTTGTTCCTGTCCAGGACTAGATCAAAAAGTACCTGAGCAGTAGAATGACTCTTAACCTGATTTGAGGATTTGAGGTGAGTGTAACAGGGCCATCTTTACCCAGGGGGCTCTGGTACTTCCTCCTCACGGCCTGAACAAGTCAAACTCAAGCACTCTCCAAAAGTGTTTGCTAAGCATAATTTCTCATCGCAGATCATCTCCTGCAGGGTGCACAACGCTCATTAGAAACTGTCAAGGAGCCATGTTTTTAAATGAGAATTTTGATTAATTGCCTTCCATTTTTGTGCTCAAGTAACTGTCTGTCGAAAATGTTAATTCACTAATATGTAGAAATGTACTTTTGTCTAATTTCATAATTTTCAGGTGTGTTGTGTAACTTTTCTGGTAGGGGGTCTGTCAAATGCTTTTCTCCATGGAGATGTTATCGTTTTGTCTGGAATGTTTCACACTAGTATGATATTAAACCTTTCTATCTTCATGGAGACCAAACTAGACCAGACAGGTCATATCTGTGGAGAGGCAACCTCGCTTACCGTTAGAATGCCTGTTTTTCTCGGAATTTTGGAGCTATAAAACCACCTGCAATTAAATAAATGTAAGGTAGAGCTGTTTTATGTCTTACCATGAAACTAGGCAGACCAATGACATATTCATAGAAACAAGCAGGCCTTTAATATATTGTTTCAATTGTTCAATTGTCATAACTGGCTTAGACATATGTTATAGAACTAGTTTTGCCAGGGTAAAGATTGTTGAGGGTTAGTACTTGTTTAATTTTGGTTTTATTAAAGATTCAAACAGTTACTCCAAGTTTAGTTATGTTTAGATAGTTCAGTGAAGGTGATATATAAGCCTTAATAATCCAAGTAACCCAAGAGTTGCAAAGAGTCCTGAGTCTATGGTCCAAAGAGATATTGTGGTAGCACTGTTCATTCAAGACTGGCTATGTTTCTATTGTAGGGAGTATTATAACATTTGATGACATAGGTGAGAGATGGAGCTGTCCATAAAGAAATGTCAACAAAGACCAAGTTAGCGGTGTCCTTGGTACGTCAGTGCATGGAAAATCTCCTGTTATAAACCAGACGGGCAACAACTATGCACATTAGGTTAGTATGCCATAGACAATGTCTTAATAAGAAAACTGTTCTTTTTAACTGTAGAAAATGTGTTCAAAGAGATTCATTTGGTCTTCTGATATTTTATGTTATTAGGTTCTTTTTACAGACCAAGAGTTTGTTTTCATACCTGACAGTCAGGTATGAAAACAAACTCTTGGTCTGTAAAAAGAATCTAATATGTGTGTTTTTTCTCACATTGTACTGCTTTTATTAGAATTATTAGATCTATTATTTCAGGATCAATCCTTTAAAGCTTTAAGCCATTTTAAAACATTGTTACCTCATTAAAAACATACCTGGAGTTGTGTTTTGTTTCATTCACACATGCTTGAGTAACTCTTTATGTTATTTGATATTATTTATTATTTAGTTTGTCTACATCTCCAAAGCTCAAAATGCTCTGTTCCACACTGTGATGTCATGTAGACATAGTTTTAAAGTTAACAGCTACCTTTTACCTTTAGTTCAGTAGACTGGCAATTCCAGGGCTGAAATCATCCAAATGATTGTAGTGAAAATGTATGGAGTTTAAAAACACAGTGGAGCTCTTCCTGTATTACCACGTGACATCACAAGGTGGAACAGAGTGTTGTTTGTTTGAGAGAAGAACTCAGCCTCCCTAAATATGCAGGGTTTGTGTCTTAAACTTGTGTGACTGAAAGAAAAACTCAACTTCAGATATGTTTTTGAAGAGGAAACAACATTATAAGATCAGAAGATGTAACGTAATATGGGCTCTTTAAACAAAACCAAATCAAGTAAAATGGCAATTCCACTTGTTACATCACACGTTATTGCAAAAGTTCAGCCTGAAAATAGCAGGAATGGCTGTATGCCTGAGCCCCCCTCCCTGGAGACCACACTATGAGTAACCAACAGTAACATAACAGCAGTTAACCCCATGCAGGAGCCGAGAGAGAGAGAAAGAGAGGCTGCACCAATGAGCACGCAGCCTGTTGCCTGGTAACTGGGTCCCATTCTACACAGAAACAAGTGGAGGAGAAGAAGAGGGGGGATGGAGGGAGACGAAAGAACAAAAAAAAGAAAAAAAAGATAGTGCTAACAACAAAATACGAGATAGGAAGTATGCAAGAGAAGGTGTCATGAGGAATACAAGCAAAGCAGGGGTGGTATTTGTGCTACTTTGACATGTGCTCCCCAGAACCTTAGCAGTACGGTACCTCATTCATATACCTTTAATATGGTTTGCCAAGGTAAAAAATTACATCATTAATTGAAATGGCTGACGTTTCGCTTTGCAAAAGATGTCAAAAAATGTCATTGATGAATGTATGATGATGCAAGACCTGGCACACGGTCTCCTTCCCACTGTGCTTCTTACTGTACAATATTATGAGGGGATTAGCAGATGGGGCTAGCTGTTCTATGTATCAGCACCACCATCACCATCATAATAATAATAATAAGACATTTGCATTTGTTTGTGTTTTGTTGCCAGTTTAGCAAAATTACCTCCAACTTGTTGCTTCCCCTTTAACCCGCCTCTCTTTCCCTTGTACCTTCTGCTCCAGCCTACGCCTCCAAACCAGGATGTGTAAATATACAGTGTATCCTTTTGGAGATGAGAACATGTGGGGGCCTCCAACTGCATTACTGCGAATGTCCATATGTGTGTATTTCTCTGTGGGGGTGTGAAGTAGCGGCCATTGCTGTTTTGTTTTGCTTATTTGGGTGTGTTTTTTTTTTTTTTTTTCTGGGTTTTTAATTTTTTATTTGAGAGCGCAAAAACTCACAGCACACCCACACGAAAGCACACCTGTTATAAGCAAAGCCAGCTTTCATACATGCAGTGTTTGTGTAGCTTAAAATCACACATAATTTTCACATTCAAGAGTAAATAAACTATATATAGCCTGTACGCAAAGCAAACAAATGTGTATTTACAAGATAGGGACTAAGCCATCACAGGAAATGCTGGCTTTGAGTTGCAGTCAATGGGTGAAATAAATTATCATTCTTAAGATAAGCCAGCGAGGGTGCGAAATAGATTCACTGAGAAAAAGTGCACTGCACTTTTGCAAATTATTATTTTTCAAAGTAGAAGAAATCACTAGGAATGTATTTTAAACATGTGAATGATTGAATGTACAACAGTTTATCCCAGCCCAGCCTATGGGATATTGAACTATGGACGTATATGTCTAGCTTCGCTGTGGCTCTCCGCCTCTGTCCACTTTTATTCCTGCTCCGGGTGGGAGATATTTTTGGAAAGCTAGTGGGCGACTTTGTATAGGACACACAGGTAAATGGACCGAGCTTTCCCTTTTCCATTGTACATTATGTATTGTTACTGGCAACTTTTGTTCTATAACCGTTACTGTGCAAGAGCAGAATTTTCTGAAACACAAAGGGGACAGTGCTATAAACAGTAATTAATAGACACTAAAAAAGATAAAACTAAAATGTAACTGAAGTTCATTAATAGTGAAATAAAAGTTAAAATGATATTAATAAGTAACAGCCCATTGTTTTAAAGTTCCATTACTTTTACCAGTATTCCACTACAATAAGGATAAAAGCTTTTAATACTAAAACAAATGCATATGATCTATTAGCCTATATAATTTTGCTGTTTGTATGTGAAAGCATTATCTTATCTATCTTATTATTGAGTAAAGGCTTGCTTGACCAGCGTTAAATAGTCTAGTTGATTGGCTGCTTGCACTTTTGCGTACTCTTTTATCATTTCATCTTAAAATCTTAAATCTAAAAGTATTTATATTACTATCTGATTTTACTTTAGTTTTAATCTATACCTGAGTTACTTGTTTTTGCATCAGTAACTTTCCTGTATTTGTTTATTGCTCTGCTGATTGTTGTAATAAGTGTTCTGTAAAGCGTCCTTGTGTGTCCTGAAAAGCACTATATAAATAAAATGTATTATTATTTTATTAATATTTACTTGCAACTTATATATTGTTAAAGTTTATTTATTAAGTATAGCGCACGAGATGGAGAGGAGAGTGATGCCGTAGCCATGGAGTCGTATCCATGGTGCCGTTGCCATAGAAACAGAGGCTTGGAAAAACGAGTGACTTAATTGGCATCTCGGAGGCGCACTCTGGATGGGTGCGCGAGAATAGCAACCCTTGACACACTAATGTTGCCTTCACATGCCAGACAACGCTCACGTCATTAATGAGGAAGCTAGCAACTTAATCAATATACCCCTTTTGTTTTTGTTTTTTTTCTTTTACCCTTCAGGACAGTGTCAGCGTGTGTCCTTGTGTGTGTGTGTGTGTGTGTGTGTGTGTGTGTGTGTGTGTGTGGCTATTTATGGACAACTGAAAGCAACAATTAGCACACGGAGGCAAGGCTAGGCTACAAAAATGGAACTAGTGCACAAAGCAGAAAGTCAATGTTAAAGAACTTACAGCGTCCATTGGAGCTTCTGGTTCTTGATTGAGTTGTACAGTGCCTGAAAAGGACCAAAAGAGACAATTGTGAGATTCAATACAAGACAGATGGGTCATTTCAGGTTTTGAGTGTGGGCACGGATGACACAGATCTGTTTTTAGCAACATTAATTACTAGTATTTGTATTCACTTTTTAAATTATAAAAACTTTACTTAGTTTTGTCTAGGTATAGAATTATTTCATTTCAAATTTCAAGATTATTGCCAATGTACACAAGAATTTTAACTTTTATGAATACAGTTTGTTATTAGACATGTTTGTGTAAACTTAGTGAAAATCTGACAACTACACAATCATGAGATAACCCAAAAATTAGATCTGATTTTTGGTGTGTTTACATGGACTAAAGAAATCTACTCATCAAAACACCTTGTGGCATGTGCCAGTTAATCAGTGGATTTTCAGAGTAACTGTTTGGAAGACAAAGTACAATGAATTTAAAAATAACTCGTAATATCTTCTCTTTCTCTTTGTATCATTAGTTTGCCAGTCATAATTGTCCTTGTCAAAACCTGCAGAGGTGTGAACAACCAGAAAGAAATCAGGTTGGATTTAATGTAACTGTTTGTTTACATGACGTTTCAATCATCTAAAATCAAATAATGACCAGATTGTTGTGAACATCCCCACTGTCATAATCGTTGTAATGATTTGTCTATTAGTGCATATTAGTGTTGCTATGAGAGTAATGTTTTATGCCATCAGTTTGCAAATTAATATAGTTCTTATGCAGTTGTTCCTGGTTCTATATAATACCTTTCATCTTGTTTTGGTCTCATAAACTGTATATATAAATGGACATAGTTAACTCAGTAGCTGCTGTGTTTCAGATAAGAAGTGAGCATGGGTGCACTTCCAGCTCCATGAACTCTGGCTCCAATTGACCTTACATTAGTATTAACTAGGGATGTAATAATAACGGACATCGTTTAAAGTCTCACAATAATATCGTGGGCTGTCACAATATATCAAATTACAAGTTCCTTTGCTTAAATGCATGGTTTTCTAGTACCAGTAGCTTATAAACATCGGAAACTACACATCCCATGATTCATTTCAGCACAGACAACATAAAGAAATATGTTTTTACTTAAATTCTTGGGATTATGAAAGTAATTCAAATCAAAATCTTGTCAGGGTATTTTTAAAGCAAAAATCATCAGCCTCTCCAAAATATAGCCAATAAATATCATACTGTGAGATGCATATCGTGATAATATCGTACAGAGAGATTTGGATATCATTAAATCCCTAGTATTAACCCACTGTACATGATCCTTGAGTCTTTATTTTGCTATTTTGAATGTAATTAAATTCCTATTCGTAATATGGATGTGGCCCCAAATTCACTCCAATAACTGCAAGCCTCTGTAAGCCTCACTTGACTGGAGCCAAACGCTATGGGTGACGTCACACTCCCTCAGTCCACTTCTTTATACTGTCTCTATGTGAACTCTAATGTCATTGTCTGTGCTCCCAGTTGCTTTTAGTTGAACAGTTGTCTTTACAGCAACCCCATCCATCAATCAGTCAGTCAGTCCAGCCCCCGTCCTTCAGTTAGAGATCTGTTATCCTGAGAGCCACCAAACGTCGATGGACAGATGCAGAGATCAATAAATAATTTAAACCACAACATCGACATACTGATCCACATAGGGCACAATTAAGTTACAACGAGAGATGTTTTCATTGAGAAAAATGGGATTATGTTTGGAAAAAAAGAAGAAAAAAAAAGAAAGAAATAGCTTAATTGTCTTTTGTTTATTGGGTTCACTGCAATCTGGAGCACATTGTGAATAATTAGATTGTATCAGTGTTTACACGATTTGGGATTTATTATTATCACACTATCTGCTTTGTAAAGGTTGTTTTTTTTAAAGAATGGGACAAACTCTAAAGAATTGCTATGAGAAAATGTGAATCAATATACAAAATAATTATAACAAAAAATATATATATACATTTGGTCTTGAGCTTAGCTACTATTTGAATTCCATCATTTAACTAGGATATTAAGAGACTATATACAATGTATTTTTCAACACAAAATTATAGTAGTTTCAATAAAACAAACATATATAATAGGTCTGTCAATTTTAAGTAATTTAAATTTCATCTAGTTTAAAAACTAGTTTAGCGGATTCATTCATTACTGAGTATTGACTACAGAGTATAATATAAGCATAGGTATGGATTTTTGACAATGCAAGACTCAAACTCAACCTTTAATTGTTTAGGGGTAAATCCACATTATCTTTAAATCTTATACTGGCAAAACTACTGAAAAAATAATGATTTTGTTACTGCATGAAGTAACTTGGTCCATATCTTAAAATAGTACAGTCCTGGATCAAAACAATAATCTGGATCCACACTGTAAGTTTGACATGCCTGCCTAAAACTTTTGCACAGCACGGCAGATTTGCAAGATTTTTTTTTCTTTCTTTTTTTTTTAAGAAAATGTCATTGAAAAACTCAGGGAACAGTGCACATTTGGCATTATAAACCTGTGACAATCGAGACCTTTAGACACTTGTGGGCTGCAGAGTGACATTAGAGACTGAATGTGATGGTGTGGTGGCAGTTTCACAGCCGATCTGCAGTGATAGGGACATGAGGACAGTGAGAGGAGAGGAAGAGGAGGAGAGGGGGAAGTAGGGGGAGAGGGGGACAGAGGCCAAAAGAAAGAAGACAGGGGGAGAGGGGAGAAGAAGAGGGGATACGGTGAGAGAGGGGAGGTGAGGAGGGAGAGAGAGGAGATGGTAGGAGGAGAGGAAGAGAGACGAAAGGAGGAGAGAAGGGAAGTGAGGGGGAGAGAGGAGGAGGAAAGGGGTAGAGGGGAGATGGGTTGTGCAGTTGACAGAAAAGGAGAGAACATAAAGAAACGGAGAGGAGAGGTGAAAAAAGATGGGAGGAGAGGACCCAGAAAGGAGGAAAGATAGGAGAGGAAGGGAAAAGAGGAGAGGAGAGTCAGGAGATATAAAGAGGGGGACAGGCGGTAGAGAGAAAGGGGGAGGAAAGAGGGGAGAGAGCGAGAGATGGTGAAAGAAGGGTTAGAGAAAAAGCAAGAGAAGGGGTGAGAGATGGGAGAAGAGGAAAGAGGAGAGGAAATGAGGCAGAAAAGAAGAGCGAAGGGAGAGGAGAAGGAGCATACAGCCATCAGAGCTGTGTAGTGTTGTGAAGACATAGACGGATGGACAGCTGTGACAGTGGAGGTGATGGAGAGGACGCTCAAGGGCTGTTTGTCATTCACTCCATCACTGCTGCTTTCCCTATGGACAGATACAGTATGTGGCCCTACTATGACTGAAAGTGTCAAATACTCCACGCTGAAACCAAACAAATCATACAACGCTGATACTATACCTGTTAGAAAAACCTCAAGAGAAAACAAAGATGATCAGTGTTATACATAGGCTATTGTACCATCATTGTTAAAAATGTTTTGGGGGACGACAGATAAACAATAACCAAACCAAACAGGACAAAAACAACAAAAAAACACACTCCACATCATCTCTTCTGCAGCAATATCCTCAGCCACCTTAGTCTCTCCATCTTCACCTTCAGTAAAGGTCCATGAAGAGGAGGTATTTCCAAGACATATCAGTTAAGATCAGGAGTCTCCAAACTATATCTCAGGAGTTACCAGTAGCTGTCCAACCCTTTGCAAGTAGCTCAAAGGATTTTTGAATTATATGTAACGTACTGAATAACTCAAATTTGATTAATTACCACTGTAAATGTGTTACTTTGAACATCGTGCACTAATAAATGGATAATGGTTTATAGACATCTAACTGTACAACATCTAAGGCTTGCCCTCTTATATTGACTCAATTTCTTGCAACTGCTAAAATGAGTAACTCTCTGTCATTTTCATTTTGTAAAGGTAGCTCAGTGGAAGCAAAGGGTTGGAGATCCCTAGCATAGATATTACTGTATTGCAGGCACCTTTATCTGTTGGGATCTATGCCCAATGTGTACGGCTAATTTGAATATAAAAGTTAAAAAATTACAGAAATTAATAATTACAACTCTACTGTGGATGCTGAACATTTTCCCCCTATTATTTATGTATTATTTATTTTTCTATGCCCGTTTTAAATTTTCACCATTTTCAAGTTGAAATAATTTCTAATAATCTTCATTGTGTAACATTTAGAATATACTGCTATCTTTATTAGACCTAAAAACAAAACATCAAAGTTACATATACTTTCCATCTTAATATTAGGCAAGCGCAGGGTTAGCACAGACATTATGTGAAGTCCAATGTGCATGACCCAACTGTGATGAAGTAACTCTATTGACTTCTCTCTAACTCAATTACATTTACATAATCTCCTCCAGTTTATATTGTAATTATACTAATTGCCATTGTGCAATCTTTGGTAAATCATCTCGTTTTCTCCATGACAACATTTACCGTATTTTGTAAGAGCTCCTTCAAAATTAGGTCACCCCTGTGTCCCCACGCAGGTCATGCACTAAACGCAGGTCATGCACTATAGCAGATATTTAAATACACTGGCTGCTGTACATCAGAAAAAACTCGTCTGCCCAATCTGAAGTGACAGAAACTGCAACTGTAGCAATAAACTAATAAACATCAAACATTTACAGAAATAAATTTAGCCAAAAGCTCTGTCAAAACTTCAATCCAGCTCCGCATACACGCAGAGGAAACATGATTTGTCAAATAACACACAGTAATTGTTAAATATTTAGTTTGTTGTCTGATCCATTTACAACAGTCAGAAAGCCTCACTAAGCCAGACACTGAGAATCTGTTTACTGGCTCGTCTTCTGCCTCATCAACCTCATCTGCTCAGCCTTGGACTGAACCGTGGCCTTACACAATATGTTATGTGTTCATTATGCAGGCTCTGTGGGGCCACTCCCAGCTAAATGTCAATGGAACTACAGTGAATGCATGTTGTCCCTCAAACTTGTGACAACTTTGAAGTCTAAAAGGATTTGCTCATTAGTATTCATTG